ACGCTTTTAACGTTTCATGAATAAAGAACGAATGCACTTTCGCCACTAAAGCCGTTGAACATGCATACATACAGATTTATTACAGATTCTAAAATAAAGCCAAACTGTTTCAAGCAAACACACTAATTGTTATCTGAAAGCAATATTTCGAAATCTGCAAAAGAACGATTTTTTGGAAAATTGAAACGGAGTAGTTTGGAAATCAAACGAAGTGAAGCCGAAAGGTTTTTAAGGAATTTCTCTAACCGAGCGATTTTTAAGAAATTGCTAAAAGCTCAATAAATAATTAAATGAAATAAAAAATCCATCGAAGGATAAGCAATATAATTTCACATTTTACTAGGAAAAATAGAATAAAAAAGAATTTAATTAGTTTAAAACAATTTAGAAGTTAGAAATAAACTAAAACAATTAGCTTATTTAGTTCTTATGAAAATAATTTAAAAGCAAATTAATCAATGCGAAACTGCTGAATAAATGGATATATCAAACAGAGGCGCCGATAAATCTCGGAATATTCAGCAACAATGTTGATATAAAAGGTATTTATAACACAGAAATTTGTCCTATGGAAAAGATCTTTCAAACAAGCCTCAGACAACATTGGTTTGACTCAGTTGCAATTCTAACCGCAAAGGGTAATACTCTGGCAAAATGCCTCATTCAAGAGCCAGTGAAATTAGCCAAATCAGCAGGAATGGTGAATGCTGTCGAAATAAGGCAGCAGACAAGATCATAAGCATTTTCAGTTAATATCAGCTGATCATAGAAGGAATCCCTTTTATTGAAAATTCAATACAAAAAATATGATTAGTACAAGTTTATCTTAAGAATCTCGCCATTACTGGTTAAACTCGCTCCACTGGCTTGTCGCATTGGACAAATATACCAGGAAGTCTCTTGGCGATCGAAATAGACACTGGCGGAGTCGCCAGTATCACCCTCTTTAAATATTAAATGCCTCTTCTGTAAAGAAATTCTTTTTTCATCTCCTGCCTCAACTTCAGGCCCATCCCCTACTAGAGACTTGAAGGTTCGAAGGTTCTGCGCAATATTTTAGGTGTTCATAGGAGTATGTTCTTCTGAAAAGAGATGTTCTTGGAATCTGCTGGAGCCACTTTTCCAACTTAATAAATAATAAACCCTAGTGCTCCTTGCACTACTGGGACCACTTTGGTCTTCATTTTCCACACCTTCTCTAGTTCCTCTTCCAGGCCCTAGTATTTTCTCTAGCGTCTCATATTTTCTCTTCCTAATGTTCTTGTCGCTTGGTATTGCTATAATTATCATTTGGTATTGATAAAAATATCACCAAAACTGTTTTCTGGTTCTTCTCAACTATTTTTGGTTGGTTGGCCAACAAGATTTTTACTTTATTATTCTCCACGGTTTTCTGAGAAATCTTCTATCTGGTCTTGGGAGGGTCTAAGCCATGCACTGAGCAGATATTCCTGCAGACAATACCACCACTTAATTATATTTTTTAACCTGCATCTTACACCATTATGCATGCCGTTATGTCTTGGAAGTTTCTAAGGCATTTCTGCATTTTGAATCCTGTCTGATATGGTAGATCTCTGCTTCGATGGATCTGGTACCTGTTCTTATGCTATTATAAGTTTTTCTAATTCGATTTCTCAATACCAGCCACCTGATCAATTTGTCGATGGTATATATGATGGAGAACCTTGTTTTGGCACTTACCGCGGTACTTCTCTATTTTCTCTTCTTATCGCATTATTCTCTTGTCGCATTATTTGATGCTATGGATTTTGCTGTCTTTCTTGCCTGCTCATCGTAGTTCCCATGTGATCATAACTAACCCATGTACTCAGCTGGTATGTACTCAGCTGGTAAGTCTACATGATCTGACTATCTTCGTTCTCTCCGACCATTCGGCCATACTTTTCTCCAGTCTGAATAATATCTCAGTGTCTCAATGTTCTCATTGAAGATGAACGAGTCAACGTCTCGTTTCTTATGTCATCCATATCGAGAAAGTGGATGATGGTAATTCCACTTTTGAATTTGGATTCATATTAACTTATGATTATTTTGCTGAGGGTTTAAGATGGTGCAGAAGTAGCATTGACAATGCTCACCTTGAGATATGCATCATTTGATAACCACTTGTGCAAGCTGTTTTGAGTTGATTTCAAGTGCCGTCTTCCACTGAGTCCCATTGAATTCTGGATGATCTTTAGAATCCTGTTAATTTTATATAGAGCCAGATATCTATTTGTGGGATTTTGAGTTACAGATTTTTCTTTACTCAGTTCTCAGGTTGATTTTGTCGAGAACCTTGAATCTTGACGACTGATCTTTTCTATTTAATTAACTAATTTAAATCTATAAAACAAATAACTACTGTTTTGAATCACTAGCATTGTTCGAAATTCGCTTTAGAACTACGCTCATATATAATTCGTAGCTTGACTTCTAATACATAGTAAGAGGTGCAAGTTAGTGATTTACGGTGTCGTTCTCTTATGATCATGATCAATATCATCGATATCTTTCTTACGTTAGCGGCCTGGGTGGGGTGCCGTTAGCGACTGGCTCATATATTTTGCAAGGTTGTTCATGAACTGCTGTTGGATTCATTAGCCAGTAAGTGCGGACGACATTCGGACCAGGTGCTACTCAACTTTTCATGTTTTTAACCAGCTGTTTGCTATGCTGCTATTTTCTGGCCTGGGAAATTGCTGTGGCTTGTCCTCAGGTCCTTTAGCCACCTTCCATTACTGTGAATGAAAATGAATAAATAAAAAAATCCTGTTCTCACTCCATGAATAAATAGATCTTTTGCATCTTTCCACATCTCTCGTCCCTCTTTAAGCCCTAGTATATCTCTATAGTCTAATACTCCTCTTTTGATTTCCTGTCACCTGGTATTGTCTTGGGTTCTTGTCTACAATCATGATATCTAGTTAACTGACCAGTATTTACCAGTTGACTAGTTATTTCCGATTGTCTGGATAGAAAAGTCCGAAAAGGCGTTTATACAGAATTCATATTTTAGAATTCCACGGAAATAAGAAAGATTGATCAATTTAATAATTTTACAAATTTATAAATTAATATAACTTTTATGTTAATAAATTAATAAATTTAATTTAATAAAGATTGATCAATTTAAAAAAGTCAAATAAATGGATTTTTTTCACTGAAATTCATTCAATTCATTTTCAATTCATACAACAATTTCATTAAGAATTTTGTTTCTCCAAAAAAACTGATTACAGAAATTATCCACAATAGCAGTTGATTTTAGTTTTATTTGTTTACTACACATTTCATATAAAATCTTAAATATTTTATAAAATAATACTACTTTATAAATTTGTTATTTTTCTCATTTTCTTCATTATGATAAAGAAAATGCTAATAAATGAAATTAACTATTTAGAATAAATTTATACGACGAAATAAATACTTATATATGCAGAATTATAAATGAAGCCATTTATTTTGTAAACAATTATCTAAATTAAAATCAAATTTGAAGAATAAAAATTGAAAAAAATTTTGGCGAAAATATTTATTACAAAATATTTTAATTCATTTAGCATTTAAATATTGCTACAAAACTAAAAAAAAAAATTAAAATGAAAATTTTCTTAATCTCTACTTTCCGGAAAAATGGCTGAGTGGATAATGGATCAGATTATCGTATTGAGAGGGTATTATCGTATCAACGATTCGGCTCTCCTTCGACAGATAGATGCTGTTAAAAAATGCGGGCGATACCCCCCTGCACTCATATTGCCAAATGATTCTCTGGCATAATAAGAGTTAGCAGATCTCGCCTAAACAGAAACAATGAGCGCAAACCATTTGTTTTCATTTTACTAAATAATTAATTTAATTAAATTAAATGGACAAATAAAAAGAAGAACAATAAACCGATTGTTTTTTATATTCGGGAAAAAAAACAAAATCTGGAATATTTCTTAATTCCTAGGAAGTGAAGAATTGATTTCCCATTAAAATATCTCAAAATGAAATGAAAATGACCGAAAGGCTATAAATAAATCAGAAAACCACTACACATGCATGGCTCGCTAGGCCATTACAATACAAAATTTATTTCCACACCTCATATCAACCCACATTTCCATCGCACCTCTCGCAAGCCATAAGAGTAGGCTCCACAAATCTCTAGTTGTTTAAGTTGAAACTAATTTAAATAATAGCACTAAAAATTTATTAAACTGCTTGCTTAATGCAACTATCGGAAGAAGCAAAAGTCATTTTTACAATTGAAACATATCGAAACGCTCGCTATTCATTCGATCCATTCGATCTCATACAAATGATATACAAAAACAAATTAAAAAAAAATTTATTCCATACCCGCCATAAATACAAGAAACATATACTCAAATTTACATCGATCAAAGAGATAGAAAGATAAAATGCAGTTTTTAATAATATTGCTTGATTTCATTTATTTGACATTGCTTTATAAAAAGAATTTTATTGATAAGACTCTAGATAAGACTGATAAAATTTTAAGTTATATTATATTATAGAAACATTCCGAATAAACATTGTTATTAAAAGTTATGAAAGAATGAATCCTATATTTTGCAGAACAAGTAGGAATACTTTGTTCCCCTTAATCCCCCAATCAGCTGATCTTCATTGAAATTTTTTGTGGTCGCCATAATACTTCCTTATGGGGAGAGTAATCACGAGAGATTTCTCATACGCATGTTTCAAGGTTCAACTAAAGCACTAAATTAATTCAGAAATATATCTATGCTTAGGTGTATTAGGTCATTCCAAAAGTTAAATTCTTTGATGTGTAAATTTGGAAGCGCATTTTTTATTACAACGTAAAATCAATTGTCATTTTGCTACTGTGCTCAGCCAGACCTTCGGGAAGGAACAAATAACTAATAATTTATGCCTATTTCACCCCTTAAAATTCTCCTTAAAATTTAATATGGAAAAGTAATTTTAGACAACTACGTCGATGGGTGGAAAGAAAATGCTTATATCGCTGGGCGAACATTAGATAAAGACGCATTCTGAAATAATCTCTTCGCTGCTAATATGCCATGAAAATATTTTCTGGAGTTGAAAATAACTGAATGATCGGCCACAGTAATTTGAAAAGGATGGACCTTCTCGATCCATACGAAAGCTCGACCTCCATTCGAGGTTGCAGCCACTTTTCCGTGGTTTGCAGCTGAACTGATCCGTAATAACTCCCTAAAACCTAAGTGCGACGACCCAAGAAAAGGACTTATGGTACAATAACGCCATATGACACATCACCAAAATGACAGGAAAAATTTATCCAGTTTCATACCGAAGTCTTTCTTAATCCACCATATTTTTCAGAGCTCTTGTCAGCCGGACCTTATTCTGCCCTACCGCCCTCTCCAACAAATTTCTCAAACAGAAGAACAATTTCAAAAATAAAAAAAATAAGAAATCTTTGAAAAAATTTTCCTCAGTTTACTGATTTTACTGATTTCAGAGATATAGATTTCTAAGCAAATGAAATAATTTCACGCTTAGTTGATATTGATACTACTTGTTATTTGGCTATAAGACTACTTTTTTGAACATAATTATTAATTTTCTAGAGTTATTCTTTTAAGTAATCGGCTCACAAAAAAAAACTTTCGAATGACCTAATAAATATCCGAAAAATTCGTCATATTTAGTATAGAAAAAATTTTTAAAAAAATTTTTACACTTTCGATTTATTTTAGATATTTTAACGCGAAAAATTTTTAAGACGAAATTTTCGAAAACCTTTCTGTAATTCTTTAATAAAATCATGAGGCTGGGCAATAATAATAAAATTACTTTGAATGGATATAGCATCAAAGATAAGCAGAAGAGAAGAATTGTTTTTCGAATAAATATCCACATTATATTCATTAACCTGCGTTATACAGGCAGAACTTTCTTTGTCTGAATAAAGACCAGATGGTATGCGAGGCCGTAGTCCAGCACACCAAGCAGGAGAGCCTGGTCGCACATTTTCAATCTACAATAAGGATATTTCACGAATTTTTGCGAAGATCATCGAAAATAATAAAAAATAATAAAAAATAATAAAAATGGCTTTAAAAAACTGAAATTTATGCAAATTTTTGATTTCTTGATATTAGACTCAAGATCCATGATCAAAATTCGCGAGGAAAAGGTAAAATATTTGCTGAAAATTCACTCGAATTTTATGCTTATGGAAGATAATTCCCAGATCATTCTCAAATTTCTTAATCGTAAATCTGACACTCAATGGGATTTTGCGAACTGATAAATTAACCTGAAAAGTATGGTAAAATACTGATTTTAGAAATACTTATGATATTTTATTGAAAACAGAAGTTCAAAAAATAAAATTTATTGGTCTTTCGCTCAAATTTATTCGTGAAACGATTTATTAGAATTAGAACTAAGGCGATTAAATGGATAAACGAAAAGTGCGAAAAGCGATCATTGACTAACTGGTGCACCCAAGGCCGAAGAAGAATATAAAAGAGATGATAACTGTTCAAGATTTTTGACTTTAGTTCCTCCAATTTCAACTAATTCATCGCCAATGTGTAGTATATTGGAAATTTGCTTATCTTTATTGGAAGACCATCCCGCTATCCTATAATTTATTTTATTAAAAAAATTCAAAGTGATAGCTTAATAAGAACTGAATTTCGTTGGATCATTAAATAAATAACTTGTATCTTAATATCATTCCACATTATAAATAATTAATTTTCTAAACTATTATAATTAAAATAATAAATGAGCCGCTTGCCAAATTTTTTCTTTAATTTCAACGAATGCAACGTGTTCGGCAATCGTCAAATGCAGAGTCAGTTGGATCAAATCGTTACTGCTTTCGTGCATTGAGAAAGGAAAAACACTAAATTTAGATTCTGTTGAATGTGAGTTTGCTGCAAATCCACTGTAGTCTGGAAGAGAAATATTAGTCCGTTCAAAGGTGGAATTCAATTCAATATTAGAATTCAAAATGCAGCTAGGTGTCGAATATCCAAACTTTGCACCACATTTGGCCTTCGATTCTTCCGGAGGCGAAATAAAAGTATTTAAAGTTGTATTTTCGGCTGGTGCGCTAAAAAAAAAAATTATATATAATTCTGTAGAATTCTAAGAAAAATAAATTATTTAAAAATTTGGTGTCAACGAGGTGTCTAAATCCAAAAATCCAAAAAAAGAAATTGCATAAAACTTTGCAGTTTTCATTTTCTGAGAATGACAAATATCATACAAAATAAATATAATTTAAATAAATAAATAAATGTATCAATATAAATATATTGTAAATATAAATATCTTCTTTTAACAGTACTCGCTACTACTGGTTAGGTTGAGTCTGCTGGCTACAAGGTAAAATGTGTCCAAACTGCGCAATCTGATGCCATCGCTGTAATAGAAACCATTCTTTTTTCCATCGTCTAAGTCCATATATCACTGGTCCCGCTATATGTTCAAATCTTTCCTAACTTTATCTTGAATAGTCGCCTTTTGACGCCATCACAGAGTTTAATCACAAAGAAATATGCATCAATTCTTCTCATGTGTCCACAAAGTGGGCGTACCCTAATTAACGAACGCTCTATGATGGTACTGTTAATGCAAGTGGTATTTGAACGAAGGTGGATACAGTCATGGGCGATTTTATCCGAACCCGTAAAATGCATTTTAGACATGTGTGGTCAAAGACATAACTTTTTAATATCAATCATGTCTCGCATAGCAAGATCAAGAGAACTGAAGCTATAAGGACGCGTACTTTCGTCTTTATGGTGATTTTGAGACGGCTGCATAAGGAATTCGTTAACCTGCAGAACGCATTTACTAGCTACCGTTATACAAGTTGCTTTTTGCCTGGCCATTTGGGATTAGATTGGATCCAAGATATTTAAAGATATTTAAAATCGGGCACTTCCTCAATCAGCGATAAATTTATAAAAAGAGGCATTTTATCAGCTTCTTGTATATAAGACGAAAAGACTTATTTACTTATTTCGTCTTATTTACTTCGACCCCGAGTACAATTCTTGCTCCAGTTGTTAACAACTTGTTTAACATTGTTTATATTTTTTCATAAAATAATTTATAATTATATAAAATATATTTATAATATAACGTTTAATATAATAATAGAATATAGCGAAAAGGACTAAATCACCAACATATAAATATATCAAATAAATATATCAAATATACCAAATAAACATATGAAAATAATAAATAAATAAAATAATAAAATAAATATATCAAGAAAAAATAAAATATTTAAGGAAATAAAAAAAAGAAACAAAATTATAAATATCTGAAAAGAAAAAATATCTTTACCCATAGTCTGAATCGACCTTTTGAACAGAAGAGGATAACGATGATGATTCTGTAGAAGACGAATATCGCCGATTAGAGAAATCAAGAGTATCATAAGAAAACGATGATATAGCGAAATTCTTTGGATGATCATAAATTGATAGCGACTAAAATGACGAGAAAAAAATATTTTTTCTAGCAAAAGAGATTAAAATAAAGTCATGCTATCAGCCATGCGTGAACGCTCTAATATTTTTTCATTTGTAATTCATGCCAACCTTAATCGCATAGGACGGACAAAAATGACGAAGATCAGATGAAATAATTCGTGGCGGAATTGGAGGAGGCAAAACCCTATTAATATTCGTATCCTTTGCAGATGTATGATTAACTGGCGGTTCTTTTGTTTCATCCTTCTTTATTGAAAATAAATTAGTAGTCAGAGAAATTTTTTCGTAAGGCGACTGCTCAACTGTAGGAAGTGAGGGAGCAATACTCAAAGGCACCTGTAAATATTAACTTCTTTTTTTTCCTGATGAAATTCCATTTGTAAATATCAAAAAATGAAAACTAGAAAAAAAAGCAGAAATGATAGAAAAATTTAGAAACTAAAAAAATAAAATTTAAAAAAAAAATAAAATTATGCAAAATTAATTTTAAAAAAATTGAATTTTGCAGACTTCGTCGTCTAATGTAGAATTCATAAACAAACAATGCGAAGAAACAGTGCAATTTGAAGGTAAAATATCAGAATTCTGCAATGGAGAATATAAGTTCGACGAATCATCAATGCATTTGAGACGCACAAGTGTAGATATTAATTTCTGAACCCAATCTTTGCAATCATCACTAAAAATTAATTAAAATTGCTAATTAAAGTTATATTATAAAGTTATATTAGTTATAATCATATTAAATAATGCATATAAAGAAAATGAAAATTTATGAACCAGATGATAGGTCAAAATTTTTAAAAAATTCAAAAAAAGAGCTTCGGAAAGTCATAAAAACAAAAGAAACAATAGCCTGAAAAAAGGAGCGAAGGAAATAAGGCCTATCAGAATCACTTGCACGAGAAATATACTCCACGTACAATAAAACTAACGTTGTTAGGGCGACGAGTTCAATAGCATCTCGTGAAAAGTGAGAAAAACCAACAATAAATGATCGACTGTCACATAATACACTGCTCACGAATGCTGAATCCAAAAGATCGACAACTTTTACTGGGCTGAAATTTAAATATACCGAAAACCAAGAAAACAAATTTTTTATATAATAAAGCCATATATGCACCAACTCAATACACTTTATTTGAAAACAATAGCATTCATTTCCAGTCAACCCAAATAAACCATAAATAAAAGAATCGAATAAATAAATGAATAAATTGAAAAAAATTTCAAAATTAAAACGTCCTTGCAAATAATATTCCATGAGTTAAAACGACTGGCAAACTAGCTATGGCAAATTTTCACATTAATTAAATTAAATTTTTGAAAAAAAATAGAACTTATGCGTATCGACGCCATTCTCACTAAAGTACCACTCCAAAAATGGTATGTGACCATCATGTACACAAAGAACAACCCATTCTGCTTCTTCGTACATCACTTTCTGAACAAAAGTGTAATTTAACGAAATTGGAATTCATATTTAAATGTTTTCAATTAAAATCGATGAGTTTAGTGCCAAGTTTTATGACTTTATAGACCAAAAGTATTAATGGGTAAAAATTTTCTTCATTCCAATTAGTTGGAAATCTTTTTTGAACTTAAAAGATGCAAATAGAAAAAAAAAGAAAAGACCTTTTTTCGTAGCAGAGTTCCACTTTTTTTTCGAGTTTTTTGCTGCAACCAATTCCCTTTAACAATTTCTCGATCTATGCCGTTGCTCATTATTAAACGATGAAAAATTTCCAACAACAATAATTATTTTCACTTTTTAATCGAAAAAATTAATTTGAACGCGCACCTCAAATTTTTGTTTAAAAATGAGCGAAAATATAAACTGATAAATTAAACTGATAAATTTATTTCAGCTGAAAAATTTTCCCGAACAAAAAATAAAAAAATAGATAATTAAAAAATTGAAAGGGAAGAAAGGGAAGGGAAGGGAAGGGAAGGGAACAATGAAAAAAGTAATTTCCAATAACGGCAAAATAACGATAAAGATATGCATATCACCGTTTTGTTAGTTAGAAGGAAGCAAAAATTAGTGGTTTACAATCTCTAATTTTTTAAAATTAGCTGAAAATTATATGAATTTATTCCAATACTTGTCAGTTATCTGATCCATCGAACAAATCTTTTTTCCTGTGCTCTTTGCTTTTTTTAATTCCTTAAATAAAATGAGTGCAGATAAGCCAGAAATTTTATCCAGTATCCTCTAAATTAATAAAGATCAATATTAATATACACAGAAAAATAATATCAATATTAAATTTCAGATACCAAAAAGTAGCATTAATATTAATTAATAAGATTCAAAAATTTTAAAATTTAATTAATTTATTTAAATTTAATTAATTAATTTAATTCAATTAGACTTTGAAAAAATTTTAAAAATTAGCAAGATTAAATTAAATATGAAAAAAATCAAAATATGGGTAGGACTGGTGAATAATTATTGCTCAAATCTCGAGTTAAGAGTTTCGGCAATCTGCTACTGAAGTATCGGCGGAGCCAGTTTGACCAAAATGATCAACGCCGACTACACATTTACTTTTTATATATTAAAAAAGTTGTATTTGTTTAAAAATGAAAAATATATTTCTTTTATTCCTCAATTTTTCAATTTTTACTGATGGGATGAATTGGCTTAATGCTCTGTTTGCTTCATGTAAATAAATAAATAAATATTATAATTCAATAAAATTTTAAAATTACAGCTAAAAAATAAAAGTGGTAATAAAATTTATTAAAATATTCTAAAATAAAATAAAATATTTATTATTAATAGAATATTGAAAGTTACATTTTAAAATGAAAACTTAGAAAAATGAAAAAAGGTGTATATGAATAAATAAAGAAATAACTAAATAAATAATAAATTTTTGTACTAATAAATTATTAAAGCTAAAAATTGTCAATCTAAATCATTTACTATTAAAGGCAAATCTATCACTTAAACACTTCTCCCTCCAAACATTTGACACCATGGTTTAGACTGAAAAATATCAGCACTAAGAAAGTACTTTTATCAAAGTGAACAAATAAGAAATAAGAAAGAACTGACATAAATCCATATTAGAGGTGTATATTACCGCGAATCAGCGAGTGTAGCGAGTCTCCTATGAATGAAACCAATAACGAAAAGTTTTCCAAGATTTAACCTGACATTTTTCGGTTCTATAGACCGCAGCGGTTTGTCCGAGAAAAAAAATTCCGCGAAAAGGGGATGAGATGAAGAAAGAGGAAAAAGGATAAGAAAACAAGGTGATGCAAGCACGATGAAAAGATTAGTAGTGAATAATTAAACGGATAAAAGAGAATATTTGGAGGAGCTTTCAATAGTTCAACTTTATTTTACCTTTTCCCTGTTCCTTTTCGTACTTCCATGCATTTTCTCCTCGAACCAGTTATCTAATTAAGCATTGGTCGACTAGCTTAATGCTATGTTCAGTTGTCGCAAATAAATAAACAGAAATAGGAAAAGCGAAAAATGAAAAATGAGGAAGGAAATAAGAGGAAGGAAAACCGACGAAAATTATAAGAAAACAATTTGAAAAAACAAAGAGTGCCCCAATTCCTTCAAAACAAATATTGATTGGACCATCCGAAAATCGATTTTCAATAAAGTTATTATCTCTAGAAGGAAATAAATGCATCGAATGTAGCGTATTTCTCAAATTAAATTTAAAAACAAATGGCGCATTCATGTTTATTCACGATCTTCCTAACTGTTCTTTTAAAAATAATTTTTTATATATTCAATTATTTAATTAATCGTCCTGGCCATTTGCCAAATGACCAGACGAAAGATGAAATTGTAACCTGGATAACGACGGCTAGAAATATGTTTTTTCGGCTGATGAGACCTTTATGGGATCGTCGCGAAATTACCATAAAGACGAAAATCCGAGTCCATATAGCTGCAATTCGTTTAATGCTATATGACTGCGAAATATGGCCAATGAGAGTGGAAGATATTAAGAAGCTATCCGCCTTTGACCACTCATGCCTAAGATATATTTTACGGATCCGTCGAGTGGATAAGATCGCACATGATTGTATCCATCTTCGCTCAACTACCACCTGTATTAATATTATCATAGAGCGTCGCCTTCGCTGGGCACGTTCTCCGTCGTCCACCATAGGACAGCGCATATTTCATTACTTGATAAACCCTGTGATTTGACGTCAAAAGCGAGAACCAGTCAAGACCTGGATTGATACATTCAGGAAAGATTTTGAACAGGAAACCAGCGATATATGGACTTAGACGATGGAAAAAGGAATGGCTTCTATTACTACTAGCGATGGCGTCGGACCGAGCAGCTTGGAGACCTAAGTCTTACCCTTGTAGCCAGCGGAACCAGCTTAACCGGTAATGGTGAGAGCTGTTAGAAGAAAAATTTAATTTATCGTGAAATTATTTAATCAATCACTTAATTAATTGTTCAAATGGCGATACAAATAATAATTAACAATTTATAAATTTATTGCTAAGTTTTCGAATTCGAAAACGCAACGAATTCTCTTCCTCAAATTATTAGCGATAAAATGAAAAACTGCCGAAAATTGATAATCAAAGATTATAAAAGATCGCGGAATTAAAAACGGCCGCGGCCTGCAATCGGCAATTGACAATTAATACTTAAGAGGAGGGCGAAAACAGTTTTCGAATGGGGCTGTTAAAAATGATGAATGATTGTCTTGTGGATTGTTTATTGTTGATTTATCGCAAAAAAGTATCACCATTATTATAAACATCGCATCATCACCACCATTATCATTATCATCAGCATCATTATTACCATTTCCACTGTCGTTATCACTGTCTTCAGTATTGTTACTTTTGTTATCATTTTAATTGATGCCACTATTCCTAACACTGTCATCGCCACCTTCATTATTATTATTATCATCAACATTGTTATTGTCATTATCTATTTGAAAAAAAAATCAAGCAAAGCAACAGCTTTATTAATGTTAATGATAATGGATAGTGCAAGACTATATCTGCTTTTGGTCACATTTTTTTTTTTTGATTTTATATTATATATTATGTAACATTGATTTTATATCATTAATTTCTTATCACTTGGCAAGTCATTCGTTGATTTTAATGTTAGCAGATGGCACTTGGCGCTCTTTTTGGTTGTTTTCAAATAAATAAATGCAAGATCAACAATAAGTAAATATGGAAAATAACGAGAAAAATAGAATAAAGGTGAAAAAAAAGACACTATATGCTAAGGGCATAATAGACAGATAGATACTAAATTTATGGATCCATTATTGAAGTGAAATAAAATAAAGACGACTTCTCTGGTAGAGCAGATACTGGTCCCAGCTAAAGTCATGTCTCCAAAAGTTAACCACTTCAACGCTATGACGTACTAGTAGGAAGTGGATTAATTGGGTTTCAGAAGCAATTGTCTAATTGTCCGAAAAAATTGCTAAAGCATGAATCACTTGGAATCCTGTCTTCTGGATATTTCGAAAAATTACAACGACAACAGCACGGCGGAAAAGAAATCCACTCGAGCGATATGGCCTTGAAAGGCGGCGGCTTGATTAAGCGATAAGGAAACTGTTCCTCTATTTCACAAAGAAACTGCAATATCTTTCATCCAGAAGATTAAAGTAAAACTCTTGGAGAAGAGAGAAAACTCTTCGAAATCTTCCAATATTGTCCATCGTCCTTCATAAAGAACCTTCAACAAATATACTTTCTGGTATGTGCATTCCTCCAGTTGAAAAAACGAAAGTCCATATCTATCTAGCTGCAATTCGCTCGATCTTGCTATATTGCTGCGAGGCATCACCGATGAGAGTGGAGGATATTAAAAAATTTTCTTATTTTGACCACTCATATCTAATATGTCTAATTTACATATAGTGTCATTTCTAATGTACAATTTCGCTTTTCGCTGAGCGGATAAAATCTCGCACGATTACATCCACCTTCACTCAAATACCACTTGCATTAACAGTACCATTACAGAGCGTCATCTTTGCAGGTTCGGGTACTTCTTCATCTCCCAACACATGACATCTATTTCGCTACTTGCAAAACCCTATGATGGATGGCGTCGAAAACGAAGAGGGCCAATCAAGATCTGGACTGGTGCATTTTGAACCAGTGGTATACGGAATTAGGCGATGGAAAAAGGGGATGGCTTCCATTATTGTTAGCGATGGCGTTTGACCAGCTTGGAGATGTCTTACCCTTGTAGCCAGTGGAGTCTGCCTAACCAATAACGGGAACTGTTAGGAAAAAATTTATGCTAAATAATTTAATGATAATTCAACTGTTTTATTGATTTTCTTCGCCTCAATTTAAAGGATTACTTTCAGCTTATTTTTAAAACCAGATAAAAATCAGATAAGGATGGTGCAAGGAGTACATCTGGAATCAACATATTTCATTAGTCAGTGCTTCGAATAAACAAGATCACTTTTGTTTTGGATATAGGTTTCCGTATCTTCAATTCATCACCCCCTGTATTATTAAAATTTAACGAGAGGTAATTGTATTTCGTATGGCCTAGATCAATGAAACCAGATAGCATCCTATAAGTATAAATGAGGTCCCGTTTTACACTCCTAATCCTCACTGAATATAGACGATCTGTTCATCATGTTCAATTATTACCACCATCGTCACTTTAACACTATTATCATTGTCGCCACCCATTATCATTTTCTTTGTTTTCCGTTATATCTTTATCACTATTACTGATTGGTGGTAACAAATGCTGGATAGCGTTAGGTATCATTCACTTATCAACAGCTTCATTCATTCCATTCGTATTTTTCTAAAAACTAAGTTGCACCAAATAAGCACATTCGTTTTAGCGAAAAAGTTTTGATAAGTATTATAAAAATATGCATGAATTGTGGAGATTTAAGAAAGGGAATTATAGTAATCTGATTGTACAAACATTGATAAGTCAATAATGTCGTTCATTTCATTTTCTCCTTCATTTATTATATATTATTTTCGATAGCAATTTACGGGCTATCTTCTTCGAGTTGCTTATTTTATAACTGCCCAAGTCTTCGAAACTAATCTGTTTTAGCGACTATATTAAACTATTCAGTTGCCAGTCTACAATTGTTCAGCAATAGACTTCGTATAACTCTGCCACAAATCGTACGACTGCACAAATATCGGCTAATACCAATGGTGCCTGGGAAATCATGACTCGATCTTCTTGGAAAGGTTCCATGCTTACGACAGGAGTAGTAGACCTGCCTCTAAAAAATCCGAGTGGTGATGACGACTTATTTTTCCAGCCAGGTAATTCTCTGGCAAAAATTTCTAACTGTAACAGCTAGAATAAGAGATAGTGAGCATCTTTTTTCTGGATTACCAGTACCATAATCCCAGCGTAATAAGAAAGGGATTGCTGCGAACGAAGTATCGAATTATGCGAAGTTGAAATGGTCCATAATAATCCAACTGATTCATATTTCGCTCTAAGTTTTCCACCAGATTTTATTTTCAGTTGTTTTTTTAAGGACGCAGTTGGGTAATGCGAGGGTTTTACCGTCTGCTATTTTTTCTTTTCTTTATTCCACAATATTTATTGCTGGTTTATTTTATGAGTGTAAATTTTTGTTGTATTTTTTTTAGAATTTGGAGGGTAAATCGTTTCGTTGTTCTGTTTTATTTTCCTTTAAAAACGTATTCCGAATTTCGAGAAGTTTATAATTGCAAACAAATCATTTTGCTAATGAAAAAAATTCCCTTAAATTGTAGATTTTTTCATTAGAAAACGATTGTATAATTGCTAAAAACCAAATTAAAAATTTGTGAAAGCGTGTAGAATAATTTGCTTACAGAAAAAATTGACTTATTTATTTTCCTCGTTATTTTTTAATTTGTTTATTTGTCTGCTTTTCCAAGCATTTATTTTTATTTAATTCTATTCACTTCTTTTTACTCATTTCTGTTCGAAGAATTCAGAGAGTTTTTATTATTCCGATCCCTTTCTAATTCTTCTATATGGTTTTTATTTCTTATGATTTTATGAGTTCTATTTTGCAAATTATTTTAGCGCAGGTGTGTGATTGGGGAATTGGCACAACCTTTTGACGCACCGATAGGCAAGGTTGCGTCATCGCTCCCGCCGGAGTCTTCAACTACGCGATAGGTTGAGTTATGGACATCACTTGTTGGCATTCAAGAGGTTACAAATCAGTCTATAGCGTCGCGAGCTGGAATATGCCGATGTTGCTTTTTTCGCTATGACACACTGGACTATGTGTCGACCGTGGCAGCGAAAAAATCAACGTAAATAAGACTCATTTTGTCTCATACAATACGTTGATATGATCGCGATTTATAGAAATCCATCGTGATCGATAAAGCTTTTTAAATATCTCGGATCTCCCATACCTAATGGCCAGACGAAAGATGAATTTCCAGCTCGAATGGCCGCATCATGCGATTCTTTTCTTTTATCTGGCAATCTCTGGAGTCAAAATCAGCTTCAAAAATTCGTATTATAAAATTCGTAAAAATTCGTATCTATCTGACTATAATGCGCCTTCCACAATCTTGCTGTATCACTGCGAAATTTGGCCAGTGAGAATGAAAGATATCAGGAAATTATCTTTAACGGGTGTTAATATACCTGCAAAGTGGACAGAGTTTCACATGATTGCACATCTTCGAACATATCTCAGCACTGTGAAATCCTACCAGTGGTTAGAGAAGGCAAGTCTAAAAGGCAATATTGAAGCAATGATTATACTAGCACAAAAGCAAGATTCATCGAAATAAGGATTAACCGCACTAGTCTGGTCTCTATATGCATGTTATGCAAAAAAAGCCCAGAAATAGTACAACATTTAAATGTGCAGGATGTAAGATGTAAGCAGGAACAACTTGTATTAAAGGCCTTAGCCTTTAACCAAGTAGCTGGCATATCGGAATATCTGCTCAACATACGTCATAGACTCTTCCAAGGCTAAGTGGAAGATTCTTCAGAAAATCGTTGAGAATAAGAATTGAAGATCCTGTGGGATTTCTGCATAAAGACACACAAACAACTGCTGGCGAGTCAACTAGATATTAGATAAAAATCAGAAATGCACTAGTGATAGATATATCAATGCCAAGGAACGAAGAAGGAACCAAAGAAGGAAGAAATATAAGAAGTTAGAGAAGCACCAAGGGCTAAAAGGACTGAAGCAGATGAGGAATATGAAGGTCAAAGTAATTCCAGTGATAATTGGAGAACTTGGAACTGCGATCCCTAAACTAGAAAAATGGCTTGAACAGATTCCAGGAATATCAGAGATCTCTATCTCACTAGAAGATCGCACTATTAGTACCAGCTAAGATATACTGCATAGAACCCTCAATCTCCCAGGTCTCTGGTAGAAGACTCGAGGTTGGTCATGAGCACTCAGAGATGAGAGAAAAAATTTTTTTTTCATGTATATCATATCATATCGTTTGACTGGAGCAAAGCAAAAATTATGATACAAAACTGTGGCATGTCTACAAGTCATCGAAGTGAATATCTTTTGGAGCAATAATTTAATATAATATAAAATTAAGGAATAATATATTAAATAATAAAAGGAGTTCTCTTCATTTCAGATTATTTTATGCTTTTCAATTAGGAATATCAACGATAATGGATAAAATGAAAGAAGGATTACAAAGACGTGCAAGAAGAATGCAGGAAAATCTTCAGCAATCTGTTGGGTTGTAAGTTTTTTCAGCAGTTAAATCAGCAATTTCATTTATTGAAAAAAAAACAATAAGAGAAGTATAGGTTACAAATGGTAAATGACCGAGAAAATATTTTTAAATTTTTAAACTTATTTTTAAATTTTTGACGATGTGTCATTGTATTGATTGGTAAATTATTGGTAATAATAAGGTGAGGTTTCAAAAAAAAGGAAAGTGTGGAAGCGCATAGAAATATATTCCTCAACTGTTTTTGTTCATATAATGATGGGCATTATTTTTTCTTTTTGTGCTTTATAAAAATTTAGATTTTTAAAACATTGATGGAGTTAATGAATTGAAGTTTATATTTCAAAGTTAAATATAAAATAAATGAAACAAAGTTTATTTTTCATTTATTTTATATTTTCCCTTTTCATTTTTCAGTATTTTGGTCAAAAAATTTTTATACTGTAATAATGAGATATTTGTGGTGAATTTAAAATAACTTGTAAAGTTTTTTTTTTTAATGTAGTGTTCCGTTAAGCTTATGAAGAGGTCTCTCAAATTTTTTTTTCTTGAATTATATATGATAAGTTTTTGCGAAAATTTCTTCTAGAGTAGTTTTCTCATGCATATTTTTTCCTTATTTTTCACACATAGATCTGTAGTGAATTTTTAGATCTGAAAAGAAGGACGAGTTACAGTGTATAAATCACATTGAGCAACGTAATCAAAAACTTGTTAGTGCTGTTAAGAATACCAAACAAAATCTGCAAACCTGCATTCGCAATATAAATAAAGAAGAAACGATCGAAAAACGTAAAGTAAGTAATAATTTTATTTTACACTTGTTGTTTCTTACAATTCATCCGTTCCAGAAATTATCTCATAAAAAATGCACTACACTTATGCATTTTTATATGCATATTTTTTATTGTAACTCATACAAAATTTATGTACTCTTAAATAATCTTAATAATTTTTCTTTTAGCGTCGTTTAGACGAATTTGGTCTCTGGCAACAACTACAAGTCGACGCAAGGGAATTGGAAAATGTATTTTGTCGACAAGAGTCATCTCTTTTATGCGATATTCTTCGATTATATGCCGATGTTATTGGCTCAATTTTGGAAGAAAAAGTACTCACAGATCAGGTGATAGAAAAAAGGTATAAATGATTTTTAATTTTTGAATGAAGGGAATGATTTTTTTAGAAAAAGGGTTATTCATGCATTAACCTGTAATTTTTTTTATCTATTTACTAAACAAGTAGCAAATTTATTTTTAGTGTTATTGATGCTTTTGGAAAATATATTGAAGAGGAAAAATCCATATCGAAAGCAAAGGATAAACTAGCTCGAACTGTGGTTGATGTGGAAGTGAGCAGAAAAAGAAAAAATGGCAATCATGATGAAGCAAAGGCTCAAGAAATTCAAGATGAGTACGACGCTTTACAGCTAAAATTAGATAATTACAAGGTAAAATAATGCGCACATTACGTGATTATGGTTTCAAATTATTTATTTAATATATTCTGTTTAGGATAATATTTTCACTGATATTTATAACCTTTGCTCAAAAGAAACAGAAATAGCTACAATTTATCAGAATTTAATAGTAGCTCAGCTAAATTACCATCGTGCAGTAGTACATAAACTTGAAAGTATTTTACCCGAAGTTGATCGAAAAATTGGTTCGTTTTTTACTTTTTTTCTTTATCGATTTTATTGAAATTGGGCATTATCATATATTTATATTATACATCGTGAATTTATTATTTTGTTGATCCTCTTTACATATTTTATGATTTTAACTCGCAGAAAATTCTCATCAAAAAAAGTGATTAAAAATGATTATGTACGATATTGTTTGTGAGTTTTTCATATTTCCTTGTTTTTTGTATTTTATATCTTCTTACATTTAAATCATTTTAAGCTTCTTATCGTAGGCGGCCTGTGTTTGGAATTCATCTCGATGATCACTTATGTTCTTCTAATCGTTCTATTGCAATAGTTTTAGAAGTGTGTTGTTCTGCTTTAGTACGACATGGTTTCAATGAAAAAGTTAATACTTTTACTCTTTACCCATTTCATCTATTGTAAATTCTCTTTTTATTTATTTATGATTTTTATAATTTTTAATTTATGATAACTGTAATTTTTAATTCTTCATTTATTTATTGCTTATTTGCAATTTAAAACCTTAGTAAAATTTTAGAAGAGCTATGTTCGTTTACTTCCCTTTTTTTGTCGTTTATTTTTCATTCGTCGTTAAATTTTTTCAAGGGGCTATTTCGAGTAAATGGCAATAATAATCGTATTCGTCGTATGAAAGCTGCATTTGATGCACATGAGATTTGTGCTTCCACAAACGAACTGAGCGAATATGTATCTGATCCACATTCTATTTGTTCTGTTTTAAAATGCTATTTGCGTGAACTTCCAGAACCCCTTTTGACACGTGAACTGCATACTGAATGGGTTCGAGTCGCCAGGTAATTTATTTTTTTTATTTTCATTGTTTATCTGCGAGAAATTCTGCGCTTATCTATTTTTTATTTATATTTATTTTTAAAATACTTTAATTATTGTTAGTAAACAAAGTATGTGGAAACTTTAATAAGGGTACTTCCATTAAATTTGTCGAAATTTTACGAATCTTCCAATTCCATTTATTATCTGGATCTTTATGAAATTTTACTATTTTACTTTTTGAGCTATTTTTTTCTTATATTTATTTGTTTACTTTTCTGTTGTCATTTTTTTTGCCTTGTTTTTATGATCTGTGAAATTTTCCCATTGATTTAGATTAGAACAAGAGTCTAGAAAAGACTCTATAAGTGAATTGCTCACCGATCTTCCTGAATCAAATCGATTGAATTTGGCATATCTTATCCGTTTTTTACAATATATGTTAGATTTTGAAGAATACACCAAGTAAGATACCTGCTATTTAATTTGGTTAATATTATTTTCCATTATTCAGTTAACAATTTTTTTCAAAAATTTCTTGCAAAATTCTTAAAATTCTCAAAAAAAAATTCTTATTTCCTGGTAGTTTTTTTTACTTTTGAAACTGATCATGACTGTTGATCATAGAATGGGAGTCAGCAATTTATCGATTGTATTTGGACCCAATTTGATTGATAGCAGGAGTGCGAACTCTGATAATATGCTAGGTTCGAAAATTGTTGAAAGTCTTATTCTGAATGCAGACTATTTTTTTCCAAACGGTAATTCATTTTATTATATAAAAATTTATAATTTTGAGATTCACAGTTTTAGATGGTCTGAATTGATGTCTTCTGTGGAGTATTAAAGTTGATCAATTTTTTCAGACAAATTCAGTTTTAATTCTTCATTAACTGATTCTTTTAATCAACGATTAATCGATTCTACGGGTGGATTTGAAATGGAAAGAACACCACCAAGGTCAACACAGTTACAAATTGATCCCTTCATAACTTATAACAAGTAATTTTGTTTTAAAAATATAACTCAAAAAGTTTGAAAGGTGGTTAAAAAGTGTTGTCTTTTTTCAGTAGTGCTCCTGAAGTTTCACCACAACCATCTGTTGCTTCATCACCACAAGGACAATCATATAGATCCCGTCCAAAATTACCTGCCCCTCCACCTCCATCATGCGCCAATAATGTAGCAAATATATTCAATGATCATATTGAAGAAATGTGTACTAGTTTGGAGCAGTTAAATACTATAACAAGAAAAAGTCCTTCAATTGCATCGAATGATTCCATGGCAGAATATGGTTGTATAAATAATGAAATATCAGAGGATTATGACTGCATATCGATGACAAGATCAATAAATGAAAATAATTTGGCAAAGCCGTTACGGCCGCCACCTCCAAGAAATACACGTCGCACATCGTCTAGTCCGGATCAAATATCACAAATTTTTATAAGGCCAACCTCATATATTAATGCAGTTTGTATTCAAGATTTTACTGAACTACCTAAACGAGAGTCAAGTGTATCATTTTCTAATACCGAAGATAATCGCAAGATTATTCGTTTGGAATCCGAGGCTTTTCAGCGTAGTCCATCATTAATAACGACGATTGCAAATGTTCCAATGCCTAAACCACCCTTGCCAATGAAGCCGAAACCAATTATTGATTTAAAACCGGATGAGGTTACAAAATTGTGATAATAAATAGATTAATAAATAGGTTAAATTTTAATGAAAAGAAAAACTCGAATTTTAGTTTAAAAAAGCGGAATGAGATTTAAAAATATCGATGGACTTGTGGTCCTGAAAACCTGTCATCTAATGTGGTACCAGGAGTGTTTTTTTCCAGAATCAAGTTTTCCTCAGAGGCTGTGTTCCTGTTTTTTCTTCGTTATTTTAAATGAAAAATTGATTTTTTTTCAGTTTTCTAATATCAGTTTTCAAAATAAAATCCACTAAAATGTCTTTCCTCCCTAAATATTTTATTTCATCTGGGCATGTAATTAATATCTTTTTTGATTGCTGGTTGTTGGTTAGTTTCGATTAGTTTAATGGGTGCTTTGTGTTTTGTTGTTTGCTATAATATAGCATTCTTGCCCTTTCATTTTTTTCTTATCTCATTGTTCAATGAAAAATTTTTTATAATTTAAATTGAAAGTCAGTCCTGTTTCTTTGAAAAACTGAGAAAATTCTTGAAAATTTTCAGATGAATTTTCAGATGAAATATGTTATGACCCACTTATATTGTTTTAATTTTATGTTGACTTTCACTTATTTAAAACTATATTTTTATGTTCGATGTTTTTCGAATTTTCGAAATGTAGATGTATTATCCAATCAGAAACTTTTAGGCGTCAATATGTTATCAGTATTGTCGAAAATAGCGTAACGGATGCACAAATATGTTCAGATTAGTGGTGCTTGTTTTTTTTCTTAAACATGGGGTTTGCATATTCTCAGGCATATGCAAAAGAGGATATTACAATCCGGATAACGGTAACTAGAATGTTTTAGCTTCTTCCGAAAAACGAAAGAAAAACAAAAACGAAAGCTTGCGTCCATATAGCTGGATTCGCTCGATCTTGTCATATGGCTCCACAAAAGTTGATATATTTCGTTAATTGCTAAACTCTGGTGGTGTTAAAAGCGAAGTGGACCAATCAAGACCTGGACTGATACAGTCAAGAAAGATTTTGAACGTATAGGGGGACAAGTTACAAATGGATTTAGATGGTAGGAAAATGCTTCTGGAGCCAACTTAACATTGTTATAGTATTATGTGATAATTATAGAAACCACTATTGAAAAAAGAGCAAATGAAAATTCGAAAAAACGAAGGTTAAAAATTAGAATATTGTGGAATGATTTATCAAGGAAAAAATAGAATCTATAACGAAAAATAAATTATATATTTGCATTAAATACGATATTCCAGTAGTTTAAAACATATAATTGATTTTAAAAAATTTATATTTAAATTTATACATCGCAAAGCTCTCGATTTTCATTAATTTTTTAAGCAACAAATATTGCAAATGAAACGGAAACTTCAGAAAATTTTCGAGATATATGCATTATTATTAAAATCGAAACATTTGCCCTAATCGAAAGAAGCTGTCGCTCTTAAGCCCTCCTCTCTCTATCCATCGTATCCAAATCGCAATATAAAAAATACAAATTTTTCAAACAATAAGAAATTCTAAAATCGACCTAAAAAGATTATAAAATTAATTAAGCAATATACAATGTTTTAATTTCACCAGTTAGCAAGCAAGTTCCAATAATGATTATAAATCAGTTGAACCAGTTGAAACAGAGATTCTTTAAAGAAAAAATGGAAAAAATACTTTACTTATTTTTTAGAATCGAATCGAAAATAGAATTATTTTTAAAAAATTTATTCAATTTATTTCCAAAAATTTTTTCTACTTCCCAATCACAAAATTAATTCTCTTCCATTGTTTAACGTCTCAAGATCTTTCGTAATTTCGAAATTAAATGTAATGTTTATTTAGGAGCATGAAATATTTTTTGGTATAGTGGACAAGCTTTGAGAATTTAAGGACTATCAAAGCGCTGCCACTGATTCCTCGCTGCGGTTTTATTATCAGAAGCAGATTCAGAAGTGGAAGACAAATGTGAAAGAGGATCAAAAGTAAATAGGTGAGGATTAGGATAAGGTGTAGTTGCATTTGATGATGGAACTGAAGTATTAATCATTGATTCCGATTTGTCATCACTTAAATCGATTAAATCTTCAGCATTGTTATCTGATGATGAAACCTAAAAAAAATGAAAGAAAATCAAACGATAATATTTGCTAATAAAAACTACTGCTAGTAAATTTTGGAGACCATGAAAAGAAGAATAGCATACCACTGTAGAAGGCAAAGGAATAGCATCAGTCGACCACTGTTGAGTGTCAAAAGACATTATAACATCATTAAACGCCGACGATTTCTTACTAGAGGTCTTTTTAAATTCCCTTGGAGTTAAACGACCAAAACGATCTTTAATCTGAAAAATTTCGAACTGAGCACTTATCCGAGATAAGTACAATATAATATGAGATAAAAATCTCTAACTTGGACAAATGATAAAAAATTTTATAAAAACAAAACCTTAAGTTCTCCAATCGACTGTACTTTGTCTTTCAGAACACCAAACATATCGTTTGCATTTTCACGCACCTATAAATACATATATAGTAGAGAAATATTTGAATAATCCCACTTCGTGATAAATAAACAATTTCTTCAATCAAGCAGCAGAACAAAAATAGCAGTCAAAAAAAGTAAAACAATAGACAATGCATGAATATGAATTATATGGTTTAAAAAAAACTCGTAAAATGACCACGATATCAAATTTTTGATTCATAAAAAGAAACTAGCCAAAAAAAAGAAGATATCGTCACTCTGAAGTGTGACCAAAATAAATGAAGCTAGTGAAAATATTTAGAAGATCGTCCAAGATCACATAATTAGAATGCATATTTCTGGTTGAACCAGAAAATTATACATGAAAAAATTGCATGCGAAAAAATTATGATAAAAAGAAATTCTATGGCGAAGAAATTTCAAAAGAAAAAATCACATTTCGATCTGTCTTAACTTCTATTCAGCACTATTTCACTTAAAGATTTTTGGTTATGATAAACCGTCAACTCGAAGCGAATGGCTAGATTATTCAATTTTTTCCTTTCCTTTCGTTGACTAACTGGTTAATCTCTGAATATGAATACCAAACTGATTAAGATTAAAAAATTTCTTCATTGCATAATTTTTTTGTATTCATGTGCAATTTTATCACTATATAACTTTACTGTGTAATTTTACTAATTTTTTCGCAAGATTTCATTGTGATACCTACACTGATTACAAGCCAATTTCAGAAAAATACTTACAGAAGATACAGCTAGCTGAAGAATTTCAGGATTATTCTGGAAGAAATTCTGTTTCAATAAAATCATAGAAATATTAGCATTTACAAAATACTAACCAAATTTGAGCTCTTCGAATTTTTTTCTTCATTTAATCGAGCTTGTTTCTCAAATTCATCATCAACTGGTTGTCCTGCATTTAATGCTGATAACCTTTCATCAATAAACTGCAAAATGTGGAAAATTTAATGAGACAGACATAAGAAGATGTGGGACGTGTGGATTAACTTTTTTTCAGTGAAAAATTTCAGTGAAAAAAACAGGAAAAATCGACATACTCGTTCAAAATATTGCACTCCATCATGACCTATTAATGATCGTAGAAAAGTTTTTAGACTATTTCGTTGATTTTGAATAAATTTTTCGCCATTCCATTTATATGAAGATGAATAATAAAAACCTTGCCGATATCCGCCAAAGAGAAAAGCATTTGTTCTTTAAAAAAATTTGATGAATGCACAAAAGAAAACAATTTGGTCTCGATTATCATTATTTATTTCTTTTACAGACCAAGGTTCATTTTTGCTTCTTATCCCATCTTTCATATAAAATAATTATGATACAATCCACTGTGGAATTTATAACTTCGTGAAACCTGAGAAAAGATCGAGCAAGTCCATCTGACAAAAATAAATCGGAAGATGAACGCAACTCGTGTCGCAGTAAACTGATTACATCGGATGGAAGATCACTGGTATCATTATGAGGGTTTTGCATTGTGCGTTGATCCAGGTCAATTAAAACCACATCGCCAAGCACATCTTTTCTTACGGACTTAAGCAGAATAATATAGATTTTATAGATTTTATTTCAAAAATATTTAACTTGGAAATAACAAAGCTAACCAGAAATGTTTTTTTTGGAATTCCAATAAGGTAAGGCATAGGAGCCCTGAAAAAAAAATTGGTACAAGCCATTTGTTCATGAATAAGCTACACTATATGAATATAAGCAAAATTTACATTATCATATCTACAAGAGAAACTGGTAGCACAGGAATGAATACATTTTGCCAATGCATCGGAAAAAGAAGTGTTGAAGCAGCTAGCACGCATGAAGACAACTGACTTAATTTCCTACCTGTGAAAAGTATGCGCCTTTCTTTCAACATACTAAAAGATAATAAAAAAATAAATCAAAAAATAAAAATTAAAACATAATTTTTTAAGTACTAGATGATGGAAAAATTTAATCTAAACTTTTAAATTTTATCACTCTATTTTGGTGAAATTTTCTCTAAATTTTTTCTATACCATCTGAGAACAAGATAAGTTACAACAGTAATAAGCTTTTTTTCACAAATTTTTCTCAGAAAAAACCGGAAGGATAAAACTGCATACAATGGATAAAACGAAAATAAGCTATTGAACTATTATTCTTCATAATGATATGAAGAATTTAATTCGTGTTTTCTTAAATTTTCAGGTCACTGTTCATTTTCCTATTTGCTGCTTATTAGTTTTTTTGTTTTATTTCTAACATCCCACTGCTTTTCGTCCAGTTAGTATTGAAATAAACAACAAAATAAACTAACCTTGCGTAAAGTGCAATCATTTGTTTTTCTGGCAAAGCATTGTAAAATTCGAGCATAAACTTATCTTCCTTCAATGTTGGTAATTTCTTCGTATCCGGTACCACCACCTCTAATTTCTAAAAAATCTACAAAATGGTAATTCTAATAAAAAAAGGAACGATTTCAAAAATTTTGAATTTTTTTTCCACTTTTAAGTATTTAAAAAATACATTTTCTCCAGCACCAGATTCCAAAATCAATTTGGCTCCAGGAGATGGTAAAGGAACATGATACATATGAGCCAATAAAGATTCGAGATCACTTGCCTAAAATAAATTATTAATATTATATATAAATTATCAATAAAACATCGGCCTATTGTAAAATCAGCCAATTTAAGCCAAATTAAGCTAAATTATTTATGAAAAGATCAAACCTTGCATAATATAATATTTTCTCATAAATTCTAACACATTAATTTCGCAAAATTTTGTAGATATTTTTATAAAACCATCTTTAACCAATATTTATTTGTATTTTTAATGAATTTTTAATGAATTTAAAAGAATTTAAAGTAAAATCTTGAAAATATACTGGTCGATTATTCATAACCATCGATATGTGATTTAAGATTTTGTAGAATATGCTAAACCACGAATACCCACTGAAACAAAGATAATGCACTATTGTTGCATAAAATAAACTTTTAATTTCTATAAATCAGAAATTTTCTCGAAATTTAATTATTAATTTCTTAAAATTTTTTTGAAATAAAGATCAGAATGAATGAAGATAATAACAAATCATTTTAGGGAATTTATGGAAAGATTAACAGCCACCTTAAAATACACAGACATGTATTGCTTAACGGTGCATAACGACAATATGCGAACGTATATTCTGATTTTTCATCAGTAAGAACGAATGAGAAAAGTTGAACTGCTTCGACTTCATCACTAAATGACATATAAAAACAATTTTTTTAATTTTCTTTAAATGAAATAAACTAGCTGAAATTGCAAGAAAGAAAACAGATTTTCTCCAACTAATTTCTGTTCAATTAATTTCTAAAAACTTTTATAATAAAAACTAAAACAATATTGTTTAATAAAAGAAATCTTACCACAAAAACCCTCCTTACTGCTTTTATTCAAAATAATTTTCAAAACAATCCTACAAAAACTTATGGAAGGCCCTAATTTAGAAACAATAAAAATTGAGTAAACAAATAATGAACCTATGTAGTCCACAAGGGAATGTAAACTGAACAATTGATTTTAAAGCTTGTTGATCATTGAAATCTTCCGGATATTTTTGAAGAATTACAGCGACACCATCACCAAAATCGGCACCAACTTCGCAAAACACATCGAACAAACTAATTAGTTCCTTTCTAAAAAGTTAACTTCTTTAAATTACCTAATGAAATAACTGTTTTTTTTGTCGCAATCGGTCGTGTCAATTATCGTTCTTGTTAAATTTATATTTATATTTTACATTTATATTTTACTGCTCCAAAAGGATACTTTGTTATTTATTATTTATATTTTATTTTTATACTTTATTTCTCTTATCGTATTTGTGTGTATTTAAGTGGAAGATTTATTGAAAATGGCTCCAAAAAAAAAGCAAGCAACAACGAGTCAACTGAAAATATAAATTCTTTATACAAAATTATAGAGGAATCGAGATTACAGTTGGTCCTCTATTACTGAAAAATATGATAAGAAGCAACAACAATTTCGCAAGCAGTAAGATCTGTCGAATCTCTCTTCAAGAACAATGGGGAACTCAGAAATGAAAAAATAATGTGAAATCATCGACTATAGTAAACAACATCATTTATGCCACAATTCCTTTCGTGACTCTCGACAGAATTGATTGGAAGTCCTTAAGAGCCCTCACCATTACTGGTTTAACTTCCTCCACTGGTAATATGCCAGGGAGTCCCCTGGCGACAGAAATACAGGTGATTCGCCAGCATCATCCGGATTTTTGTACAGATTTATTCCTGCCGGGAATCGAATCTCAGCATGGGCGCCCCCAATCGAGCGATAACCCACTGAGCCATTCTATCCATTGATTGGAGGTATCGAATATTTTGAAAAAAAAGGACGAGCCATATTTAGCTGATATAAATATATCAGAAAAACCTATGGAAGATAAAACTAATAGTGCTGATAGGCCAAGGTTATATCAAATTAGATTGTTCAAAATATTACAATTTAGGTTAAATTTCAATCCAACAAGACCTAATGGGCTAAAATTATTAAAACGTAAATGCAAAACTAACGCTAGATGATTTTTTTAATTCCACCATTAGTTACTGGAATAAGCTCCTAAATGACGTTGTTTATGCATAATCCTTAACTAAAGATTAAATTTCAAAAAAATATTCATCCATGATATCATTTAAAAGCTTCACATTACGCAAGTATTCTGAGATCTTGATCATTTAGGATTCGAATATGTATTCAACAATATATTCATTTCGACTTGAATTATTCTATAATCGCCCTTTATTATTTCTCTTTAAATTACTAGCTTTTGATCCTTTGCAATATTTCTCCCTAATTTGTTTTTATTGACCTTACTTTGTGAATTACTTTGTGACATGGCGCTTGTCGCTCTATTTGGTTGCTTCAAATAAATGTATAGATATATGCGACGAAAATTGGTACTGATCGATTATTATACAAATAATTATATAAATTTTTGGATAATTCGCTTCAAATGCAAATTATTTCATTGTTAAGCCATATGGAAAGTTTCTAACCAATTTGTCCATAAAAGGAACTAAAATGTTTCACTATGTCAGCAATAAAATAATTTGAAAATAACCTATTCCTGGATGACATAACTGAAATTTTCCACCGGCTAAAACATTTTGAACAACAGTATCATACAACAATTGAAACTATTTTTCATTCGATTGCTGTAAATTAGCATGAAATTAGCATCAAATAACAAAAAAATTATTTAAAATTTATCTTCACTGAATAAATAAATAAGTAGATGAGTAGTTATAAAAACGATCCTAGAAAAATCTAAAAAATTAGTAAAAATAAAGAATGGGTGAAAAATGAACTCTTAACACTTACTGAATGTCAAAAAATTGTTTCTCATTATTTTCAAAAATTTGGTTTGTAAAAACAAATGTAAACATAATCTAAAGTAAATATATCGTGAGAAATTAAATGAACAATAACAATTATTAAAATTTATGGTATTTATAAGCTATACAGTCCACATCGCTGACAGGTGCCGTATATATCTGCGTACCCTCTTTTTCCTTTTTCCTTTCTCCTCCCATTATTTTATTCCATCCTAAAATTTCTCAACTATTTCGCAAGCAACCAGTAATTTACTTCTTATTCCCTGATGCTTTTTCATGTAATGTAATCTCATTTTTTCTTCAGCAATAAGTTAATTATACAACTCATCAGTATCACAAATGCAGTACTTCTTCGTTTTTGGTTTAGCTGGCTTGAATTATTTTATTAATATGAGAACCTTCTCGCGAAGGAATCAAAGATAAAGGAGAATATGCCACTCCATTTACATATGAATCGAGTGAAGGGTTTAGACTGGAAAAGATCCTCGTAGTCCTTTTAACGAATTTATATTACGAACTCGATTTTTGCTTTGCAACTTATTATTCAGTGCTGGCACCTTCTTTCTTTTTCTTTTTTAGTCCGAAATCAAAAAGTAATTTTTCACATTCTTCTCAAATAAATCATAAATTAATTAATGCAAATAAATAAAACGATGAGATTAATTCAGTAAAAGAAAGTAAATAAAATGAAAAACTGTTGCGATGCAATAAATAAATTTTCATAAATGTAAATTAAGAAAAATATTAAGAAAATATTAAATATTATAAATATTATTAATATATAGAAGAGAAAAGTTATAAAGTTATAAATAAAATGCATGAATCGAGAAAATCAAAGAAAAAAGGAGAAAACAAAAAAAATTCTTTTCGTCCTTCTAATAGCTCTAACCATCACCGCTCAGGCTGGCTATAAGGATAACGTTTCCAAGCTGCTGCCAAGCACCTAGTACCACCGATGACAGTTAAAGAAGCCATTCCTTTTCGCGCCATTTATCGATGGTTGAAAAAAAATTCTAAAATAACCTATTCCTGGAACTTTCCTGACTGTATCAGTCCGGATGGCCCTCCTCGTCCTCCATCACAGCATTTAGCAAGTCACGAAACCCCTGCGGAAAATGGAACTAATACTGCCCTAACCAACGAAGACGGCGCTCTGTGATGGCACTGTTAATGCTGTTTGAGTGAAGGTGAATGCAAGTGAATGAGTGCTCAAAGACACATAATATTCTCCGTAATATTCTCCACTCATTGGCAGTGCCAAGCAAAAACAAAGCACGCGAGAAACTTGAGAGAAAATGCGAAAAAACGACAGAAACATAATAAAAAACATAAAAAACAAAAACTTGAAAAAAATGCAGCACACCAATGGAAAAAAAATAGATGTCCATTGATCAGATCGAAGTTCCGACCTTTATGAACAGCCGAATGTGGCCGAATATTTACAATCGCCTTTGGTGTACTAATTTGCGACCTTATTTTCAGCTTTATTATCATCGATTTTGCAGTTTTTATATTGAAGGAGGTTTTTTTAATTTCGATTTCCTTTTCACTTTTTAACTGAAACTGATTGCGCTAGAAAAATGGCTGAATTTTAAACGAATATTTTGAAGCCGGTGATAAGGCTGTGTGTGCAGGGGCTCGGATATCAGATAAGAATTTCGGAAAATATATCAGTGAAAGCTGATTGTAGAGCGTTATGGTCGGTGATAAGGCTGTGTGTGCAGGGGCTCGGATATCAGATAAGAATTTCGGAAAATATATCAGTGAAAGCTGATTGTAGAGCGTTATAGTCGGTGATAAGCTGATAATGTGTGCAGGGGCTCGGATATCAGATAAGAATTTCGAAAAACATATCAGTGAAATTGGTTGCTCTTTTCCTGCCATTTTTAATCAGATTGGCTAATTAATTGGGTTGGATTAAGTTTACTTTTAATGTTTCGGAACGTGCTTAACCTACAGAATTTTTTAAATCGTTGTTCAGAGAATTTTTATGGGGTCTGCAAATATCAGTCAAATGTTAGCAGAAATGCGTCAACTTGTTATGAATCTTCAGCATCGGGAACGTATAATAGATATGGCACTTGCAAAAAGTCAGATTGTTAGCGACAAAATTTCTGGAATGAAAGAGGTGATTCGTAACTATTTTTCGATTTTTTTAATTTTATCTCTTTCCTTTTTTCCAAATTTTCAAGGATTTGTTAGAAACTGTTCAAACATTGCATTAATTCGAAATATTACAGTATCAGGAAGAAGTAGCAAATATGAATGGATGCTGGCGAATGCAAGGTCGAAAAGCATTAATAGCTGGACTTCAACAAGAAAATCGCCAAATTTTGCAATTACAAAATGAAAATAGGTAATATTATAACATTATATGTATATTATCTTAAGAAACTTCAAACAACATCTTTTAAATCATTTTCTATCAATAATTTCGAATGATATTGAATAACCTTATAAAAAGTAATGCAAAATAGGCAAAATAGGTATCATAAAAATTTTTGGGCAGACCTGTAAAGCAAAAGTATATATTTTTATATAGTACATAGTATATATTAATGTTGTAATTATTTTATATTGCTTATCATATTTGAAGTGGTATATGCTTAATAATTTGAAGTGGTTAATTGAAGTGTGACAATAAACTACAAGCCTCAAACATTTTTTTCTTTATTGATATATAAATTTCAAGAATTTCTTCCTTAAGTTTTTTCACTTTCGGATCTTTTCAGGAATTTTGTAAAATGATAATTATTTTTTAAGTTAGATAAATGTTTCCAATACATTTTCTCTTAAAGAAATTTGTAGAGAACTACGTCATACGTTAGAAATTTTCGAGCAAACTTTACAAATAATAATGCGGAAGCATAGGAATATAGTAACGTTATTAGCTCGGCAAACATCACCTATGCAATTTAATCAAAAGAAAGTTAGTATTTTTGGAATATTGGGATCTTTTTGGGATAAAGAAATTTGTTTTGTTACTGAAATAATTATTGTATATTTTCTTCCTCTTCTAACAGCTCTCATTATTACTGGTTAGGTTGATTTCACTGGCTATAAGAGGCTAAAACGTTTCCAAGCTGCGCAATCTGGCGCTAATAATAAGTAACGCAAGCTATTTCTTTTTCGAAAAAATTAAAATCAATGAGATATGGTAATTTAAATTCAGAAATTTCCATATTTAGTGTATTATTCGTAAGGAAGGTAGTATTCGTAATTTAGCTTTACTTATTTATCCTTTAAAAAAAAATTTGGTTTATTTCATTGGCTTCTCATTTTAAAAAAATTTTTGCAGTTCGCAGAAAATGAGAAGCAGTGGCTGAAATTCGGCGAAGCTTTAAAATTGATCAAGCTGCTGGATGATTGTTTCTCAAAAGGTGAAGCTCAATCCAATCGTGACCAAGAGGTTAGAAATAATTAAAGAGAATTTTAAACTGTCGTTAGTAGTGTGATGCGAAATTTTTAAAATTATTTTGACTTGTTATTTTGAACTAATTAATTTAATCCGCATAACGTAATAATTTAATTGAAATTGGCACATGATGAAAATTTGCAGACAATTGCAAGAGTATCAGCTGAAAATGCGTGTTTGCGAGAACTTCTTAATATTTCATCAAGAAATGAACCAGGTGTTTGTAATTTATTTTGCACTTGGGCTTCATCACAACATAATTTGATAAACGGCTTAATACGAGAAAATCGCGGCATTGAGGAGAGTGAAGAAGGTCTGAAAATTTCCTAAATTTCTGATACATTTTTTTTTCTGATATATAAGGATGGTTGCATAGAAATGAGTGTCTGCTTTTTAAAAATATTAATAATAATTAAGAATAAATCCATTCATTTTTTAAAAATATTCGTTTTTGAAAGTTTAAGGTCGAGAAGAAGCTTCAACACCTAGAAGCACTTCTCAAAATGATTGGGCTGATAGTATTATCGATGATACATCTTCAGTGGTAAGTGGTTATCCCTCTTTTAAAATTTTAGAAAAAAATAAATATAAATATATGACTTTTCCCAGCGTTTCTTTTTTTTCTAATACCACCAAGCTTCTTTTTTTAATATATTTTCTGCTGCAAAGTATATAAAACTCTATATATGAATTAAGCAAACTTGGGGAATTAAATCTTTATTTTAAAAATTTGGAGATAAACAAGATGTTTCATCGCCGGTTTTATATCGTTTATATCGTTTCATATCGTTTAAAAAATTTAAAAATAAAACAGGATTTTACTAGTTAAAAATTTTATGAGTGAAAAATAAAAGGCAAAAAAGTTTTACATTTGATTATTAGAGTACGGCCACACGGATCCCATAAATTTTTTATAGTAATAAAAATTTGGTAAATATGGCCTTATCAAATAAATTATTTATCTATCAATTTTCAATTTTAAATAAAAAGTTAAATAATCTTACGGGATTTTGCCTGAATTATATATTTATTAATGAATTATATATTTATTCATATATATATTTATTAATGAATTATATATTTATTCATATAAACGTTAGAGACATATATTTTAACTTTAATTAATTTTAGTTAAGGAAACCAGAGAAACTCGTGAATTTTAATTTCTCAAAGCAAATATCTCCTGGGAAAAGTAATGCTGTTACTAATTCATTGACGTTATAACAAAGTTTGTTTTTATTACACTTAAACTTTTAAGAATTGTGAATCATTTCTGTAATTTCTGACTTATTTTAAATATTTAAGGATATTGGTGAATGACTGTAAAACGATTTTTTCATTTCTGAACTAAATTGCTTTTCGAGCTAAATGCCGAATGTTTCCCTTTGTAAAAACTTTAAAAATTAATAAATGTGAATTTTTTTCAATTTTTCTTTCACCTAAGACAAAACTGTTGAATTTTTTTAAGAAAAATTTTCCAGCAATTTTTCTGCTCCAAAATTTTGCCATATTTTTATTATTTATTAATTTTTTCCTTTTTATATAATAATGATCTATATTTTTTGCGTTGTTGAATGAAAAAATTGAAAGCAAGGCTGAAATCACCACTGATTTTTGTTTTGATGTTTCATTTTTGTTAAAAAGTATGTTTAACAAAAGAGATAATATTTTGAGCATTATTTTTTGAATTTAAGATTTAGAGGATTATTTTTTTTTGAGGAGCGATTACAATTCTTGACTAGGCTGGATCCATTAGGTGAAGTCCCAGTACCTGCTCTTCGAAATGCAACAATTCAATGATTATTTTCTACAGTAATCAATCTTATTCCTGTTCTTTTATTACGTTTTTAAGACCATATTTTCTGTCGCTTTTATAATTATTTAATTATGCCTTGTTATTGTTCACTTATGCTATTAGATCGTATAGATGATTTGTTTAATAGCTTTTTATTAAACTTTATTTGCCTCCACAAGTTGAAATGTTATTAAAACTTCTCAGGTAAATCAGTTTATCTTTTCTTTTATTCACTTGGTTAAATTATTAAATTATTCAATGCTATTCGATATATTTTCTCTGTTATTGTTCAAAAAATTTTCTAAAAAAAATTTTATTTATTGGTTTAATTGGTTTAATTATTGGTTTAAAGAGAAAATTTTTTCATTTTTAAGGTTCTATAAAAGTTGTCGCACTGCCGTTCGTTATGGGATGTATCATTTTCTATACGACTTCACTCTTAGTTTACGAAGATATTATATATGATCTAAATTTAATAAATTTTATTCGCTTTTCTGGTTTAAAACACATGGCGATTCATTTAAACTGACCGTTCGTTTCAAATAAGGCGTCGCGAGATCATTCTTTCAATTTTAATAAACTTTTTGTTTTGCGGTTTGAGTCATTTTGATATTTTTTATTCGCATTCATTTTTTTACTGTGAAACTTGTTGTATATATTTCAGACGTCTTTATTACCAACAGCATAAATGTTCATATTAACCTTATCTTAGGCTGGTTGCTAGTAATTAAAAGGTGACTTCCATATCTCGGTTCGGTGGTGAATAATTTGTGAATAATAATAGATCTCACTCCTCTTTCTTCCGCTTATCGCCATATATAATGTGTCTTGTATATATTCTGATATATTTTAATGATAATCATGTCAGTAAAGTTCTCATTAGGTCTCGTTCCTGGCGCATTAAGCTTGGCATTTATGGATCATTTACTTACTATATTTCCTATGATGGATGATCATTTCCAAAGGAAGATGAAATAGGCAGCGCATTGATGCATCGGTATCGAGATGATTATCATTAAACAGGAAATCAAGATTGGCTCGTGTTCGAATCTGGCCGATGCACCAAGTCGAGCGGCAATGTCGCCGAAAGCCAAAAAGCAAAGGATGATAAAATAACTCAGTGAATTTTTGCTTATTTTGTTAAATGCATGGAATGCCGATGCTGATGTGTGAACCTTTTGAAAAGCCTGGGTAATGCTGGCGACTCACCTTCTATCGCCAGCTAACTTCCTGGCAAAATTTATCTGGTCCAATAAGTCAACAAAATAAACCTAATTAGTAATGGTAAGTATTCTTAGAAAAAAATGGCAATGCACTATAACTGTGCAACCATTTTATAACCGTATTGTCTGTACATTTGTACAAAAGCAGATTCAATTGTGGAGACTCTTTCGCCCAGTTATGTGAAATTTATTTCAAGCGGTAATGGTTTTTTTAATGGCTTTGATTTTTAAAAAAATTCGAACTGCCCACTGCATTTAAAAATGTAATGGTTTTCATTTAAAATCTAGAAAAATCTACAGCAAATATGTTCGAGCTGTTCGCAAGAAGAAAGATGATTTATAAATACAAAAATGTAATTTTAAGATTATAAAGAAGATAACTTGTAGTTCAATAAAAGCAGAATGTAAACCTGTAAGACAAAAAAAAATTCTTCATCAGTGATCATCAGTGATGTGGTAAGTGCCATGAAACAATGGCCTAAAAAAGCTAACACAAAGTCATAGAAAATCATAAACAAATATCGCCCAGAAATAGGAAACAGAGTTACTGGAGTGATAATGGCAATAATATAGGAAATATTGATAGCAAATAAAGAATTTTTAATTTTTAATTAATAATAAAGAATTTTTGAAATATCATCGAAATTTTTTTTAATTTTAATAGATAATATTAAAATTTTTTAAACTTTAAGACGCAAAAAGAAAAGAAGTCAACATTTAATTGTATCGGTTTAAGGAGATATTATTGAAGAAATCTGGTAACGATCCACTTGCTTCAAGGGTCGTACTTTTTTAGATATTCCAAGAGTTCATTAACATCATCTATTGAGCCCAGGAAGACCGGACTTCTATCGTGTATGAATGTTGGTTTTACATCTAGAATCGCTTCCTTGCCTGTCGTCGCTATTCCGCCAGCTTGTTCAACAAGAAATGCCATTGGTATTCCCTCATATAAGAGACGAAGCTAAAATAAAAATTGATGGCAATTTTTGGAGTGATTGGAAGATTTTGGTAAAGTTAGGAAAGAAAAACTAAATACCTTTCCTTTAGGAGCGGATTTCGATCCAGGATATAGAAAAATTCCACCGTAAAGAAATGTTCGATGAACGTCAGCAACCATCGATCCAACATATCGCAATCCCATCGGCGATTTACCTTCCCCAGGATATTTTTTTGCATTTATATATTCTTGTAGTCCTTTTGACCATGATGCAGCGTTACCCTCATTTATGCTATAGTATTTTCCCTTCCTTGGTATTTGCATATGACGATGAGTTAGGATAAATTCGCCAACGCTCTATAAAATGGTTATATCATTTTCCATACTAGTCTGAAAAAGACAGCTTATAAAATGTGAAGTATCTTCTCTTATAAAATATATCTTAAAATATCTCTTTGCAGTTATAGGCTGAAACCATCTTATATCTTCTAGAATTGTTATATTATAAGAGATCTCTTGGAAAGTCATTTACACATCCAAAATCCGTTTATTTCCCTTAAAAAATTCTATCCATACCATATCCATAACCATACTTATCACTAATATCACGCTAAACCATTTCATATTCTTTAATCTTCAGACATGGTAATTATAGTTCATCGCTCAAAGCCTCGCATTCCTGACATCTTAACTATTTTTCCTCCTCCTTATTCTTTCGCCATAACCTCTTAATAAGTCATCTGAAAGTCTTAGTAACTTCATTATATTTCTCTTAAAGCTCGTTTTTACCTTATAGTATCATTACAAATTAGAATATGAATTTTTTGATTGATTCTATTCAAAAGATTTTTTTCTCGCTTCTTAGGAAATTTGTCAATTTTAATTCTATATAAATTACAATATATTTCAATGTTGATTAATACCATTCATAACAAAGAAATATGATATGAATTGGTAATATAACAGGGAATTAGAGATCATTAGAGAGTGAAAGGTGTTTCACAGGTGGAGAGGTAACATAACAAAATACAATGCAGAAGAAAATATATATTTTAAATATATATTATATATTTTGAGAAAATATATATTAAAATATATATTAAAATTTGGAGAGTAATAATCGCAATCCCATCGGCGATTTACCTTCTCCAGGATATTTTTTTGCATTTATATATTCTTATAGTCCTTTTGACCATGATGCAGCTTACCCTCATTTATGCTATAGTATTTTCCCTTCCTTGGTATTTGCATATGACGAGGAGCACAACAAGGGCCATTTATGAATTAGTGATTCTAGTTGCAACGCTTATCATACTATAAAGGAAAAAAGAGAACTATAAGAATTATAATATTACAAGATGTAGGATTGAGAAAGAATTATTTAATATATTTAGTATGGAATTATAAAATTATTTCGAAATAGGAAATCAATGGAAAACGACAGAGATAAGGAGAAAGAGGTAAAGAGATGATAAAAAGAGATCAAATAATTGATCTTAAAAAATACCGGATCAAGCATATAACTATTAACACCAGCTCCAGTTGAAAGAACAATCATAGTTGCCGAACCATAAATAGCATATCCAGCTGCAACCATATTCCTCCCAGTTTGCAATAAATCATCTATTGTTACTGATCCTTCAGTTGATTTTCTATAAATTCCAAAAATTGTGCCAATCGAAACCAGACAATCTATATTGGATGATCCATCTAACGGATCAAATGTTACGATATATTTTCCTTGTCGTGATACTTCCACTTCAATTACCTATAGAAAAATAATAAATGATAACTTTTATATTAGTTTTCTTACCAGTTATTAGATAACCAAGAATAGCCAGGAAAAATTTAAAAAAAAATTTAAAAAATCTGATGAAAAAATAAAAACAAGAAAAACAAAAATAAAAACAAGAAAAAAATAAAAGCAAAAATAAAAACAAGAAAAAATCTGATGAAAAACAAGAAAGGCAAAAATGAGAGGCAATACTGGACTCAATTAACATATTGAACTTCGGATTATAACCAGGTTCAATTCTACGGTGGTACTTGAACTCATAAAAACTCATAAATGAATCCTCAAATGACTCAAGTCGACAGAATCTTATCCCAACTGCCAGCCGAACCAGAAGTGGTGAATGCCATTAGAAGAAGAAAGCTGGAGTTCTACCCCAATATGCAACAAGCTTAGGTATAAGTAATTCCCACTATAAATATTATAGCAGTTGAAATAAATAAACATCGTTACAAACCCACAACAATTAGTTAAAGCCTCACTTTTTTATAACTGGTATTAAATTTGAATTCAAACTTTTGTCTTTTCGAAATATTGAATATTTGAAATGTTTACTTGTTCATTTTCCTCAGAAACAAGAGCGCACGCTGCATAAGAAGATTTTAACATGTTGATCATAAGTTCGTTGCTCAAAACATCCAATTTTTTCACATCTTCACCCTGAACGTTTTGTTTGCCAACCATTCCTTGAAGTCTCGCAATGCCAGCTTTACGTACTGCTGATGATATTGCCTTAATCATTGCCTTATTAAATAGCAAGAGCTTTAATTAATTAAACTTAAACTTTTAATTAAACTTTTCATTATTATTAATTTCAAACTTCATTCATTTCATTTGCATTTTGGATTTTATTTCAAGGTACCAACTAATTATACTATTTTTGTTTTTTATTTATCCTCTGCAGTTAGTAATGCAATTATTAATAAAATAATTGCTCTAAATGGCTCTCTGCTGAAGAAAGTCATTCCAGCAACCATTATAGCAAACCAAACCAAAAATATTAAGAAGAAAAAGAATAATTACTGATTATTAACTGATTATTATTATTACTATTATTTATTATTATTAATTGTTATTTTTATCATTTTCTTTATTATTTTTATTGTTATTTTTATTAATGTACTTTTATTATTTTTACTACTACATTTTTATTATTATTTTTATGATATGACTATTATTATTGTTATTATATTATTATAATGACTGCTACTATTATGATTAACATTATTATCATATTATTATTACTATCATTACCGTTGTTAGCGTTATTACTTTTATTATCGTTATGATTATCATTATCGTTACCATTATCACCATATCGTTGTTATTATTAATCGTTATCGCCATCATCGTTATTATTGTTATCACTGTCATATCTACCATTATCATCATTATAATCAATTTGACACCAATATAATAAAATCGGATTCTCATCGCAATTATTCCAGCCGAATTACTTTCTTATCTGTTACCATTAAATAATTCTTCTCCTCTCTAATGTTTCAGGTTTGACTGGCTCCTTTGATTTCTATATCGGGATTTTAGAGTTATTTCTATCCCACTGCCATAGAATAATTTGAGAAATAAAAGAATTAGCACCATCCGAATTTCACTTATCACAATGATTTACTCACATCAAGCAGTTGGAATACAACCCAACATGTTTAGCGTAAGCAATAATTCGACTTTTCTGCAACCAATTAATAAATAAATTAATTCTTCTAACATAAATTAAAACGATACTTTAATGGCAGTAAGTAAAGAAGTAAGAAGATTAGTTAAATCTCCCGAAGCATTTGGATGTTTTCGTTGATCATGTAATACCATACGTTGTAGAGTTATCGCATCAGTTTCAATTCCAAAATGTTCACTACTTTTACCTAAAACTTTCAAAATGTTATTTCAGTCATCAGTTAACGTTTTAAAAATTTAAATTTCCAAACAATAATTAATTATTTTCATACCTTTTTGCATTATTTGTCGTTGCACTAATCGAAGAAAGTTGATTTCAGCGAATTTCCTCGTAAAACGATAAATTTTTCTGAAAAAAACGGGCGATTATGAAAAAAATATTTTAATGGAAAATGATGACAACTGTTATCGTTGTTCTTCGATTTCTATTCGCAATTTATATTGATCAATGAAGGTTATGCGAGGCGAGCGTACTTTTTTATTAAATTCTCCTCCTTTTTTATTATATTATTTACAAGTTGAATGGGCAAAAAGACTTTTCCAAAAACTGCTACTTACAAATGTGTGTATTAAAATTTTGAACCAAAGAAAAATGCTATATATGGAAAAAAAAAATATTTCACTTGAATCAGAAATGTTAAAGTAATCATTAGAAAAAAAATGTATGAAAAAAATAAAATAACCTTTTATCTAAAACTTTGTTTACATCTATTTTATAAGTTTAATAATAGTTTTCAGATTTTGAAAGAATTAAAAATTTTTTAACACTTCAAATTTTTTTAAAAAAATTTCTAATCAAATTATTTAAAGCCTATTTCAACTCATTTTTATTTTTCATTAGAAAATATTTTTAATAATCCTACTATTCCTTTTAGAAAATTCCCTCCGGAAAACCTCGTTTTTTACCTCGACATCATGGAATGATTTCGCAACTGTTATAAAACAAAGAAAATTTTGCAATCATCAATGCAGCAAATTATTCTGCCCACAAAAAACAACGAACAAAACATAATTTAAACAATTTGACAGAAAAACAGATCGCACATTTGATTTTTTGCTATTTCTATTTCAGTTCTTGGCATATTAATTCATTCAAAGTATATCATTCATCACGTTTTTTCTCAAATAAAACTTAGCATCTTTTTGTGATGTTCACTCCAGATTATGATAATTACAAGATTTTTCGTTGCCTTCAGCATACATATACATATATTCTTGTACATACATATATCACTATATCTACTAGTTCAACAATCATAAAGACCAGCCAGATTCAACAGGCCATCCCCGTGCCGTTCTTTATTTAATTATTAAATACAAATAAAATATCAATGATCAACCTTTCCATTATTTTTATTTTATGTCATAAACTTGGCTTACGTGAAAACATTCAAGAAAACAAGATTTTAATATGGGCCTATTTATTTTTGAATATAATTGAATATTGAATTAAATTAAAGCCTAATTTAAAATCAACCTACTTAAATTAGTATGAAGATATCTAAAAATATAACTATAAAATGAGTTAAAATTGAATAATTTATAATTTTTAACATTTTAATATCTTAACAATTTTAACAATTTTTAACAATTTTTAATATAATTTTTATATAAACGAATTAAGTTTTAATACATGTGATATTCTAAAGAAATAATTAATTACTATAAATCTCGCTGTTCCAAATTCGTATTTTTTTACTTGACATTTGACCTGCAAGCCAACAAAAAATGAAAAAAGCAAAAATAAGAAAAAGAAAAATATAAAAATATGGGAAATTTTTTCAGAATAATGCAATATTTTAAATTCAACAAAAAACCTCAACAATCCAGATAATATTCAAAGTCAATCGGAAATCCAGTCAACTAACTGTTTAAGAAAAGGCTGTAATGCTGAGAATTTTCAGAAGCTTAGTAAGATAAAAAGGGAATTTTAATAAATCTATTAAGAAAAGTGTATGGAAATATGAAAAGAGTGTATTACAACAGATCAAATAATTTCGGAGATTTGAGAGATTTTTAACGAAATATAACATAGATTTACGCGCCCCTATTATCGCCAATTATTTCCCCAACATCGAAATTTTATATTTTCTCAACTCTCCATACTTTTTCACCAATGATTTAATATATAATGATTTAAATATTTCATAATGATTTAATTATAATCTGTCATGTCTTGTTGTACCAATAATGCAGCATGCCAAATAATCAATGTCGATTTTCTTCAATTTTCCAATCAGTCAAATTCAATTATTATTGTAAAAATGCAAAAAAACCAACCGATAAAAAAGAAATTAATCGTCAACATCAAAATCATTATCATCTACTGGAATAAATATTTCATACTCCTCGAGAAACGATGCAGCGTTTTTCGCAATAATACTGCCAAAATATATCGAACTCGTTATAACTATTAATAACTGCAATTTCCACAATTTAAATTATGTCTTAATAATTTAAATAAAATTAAAAATTGTTTAACAAATGGTTTAGGCAGAGTGCACAACCTGGCGTTTACTCAATATTAGCAAAAAGATTCGACTCATAAGCAGTATTTTCAAATAAGAAAACTCGTTCCTTTAAATCCTCTGTAATGCTTTTTTATATCCCTACTGGTTTTACGGAAGTCTGCGGGATTTTTAACGAAAGAAACTTGTAAGAGATCAATTTTTTAAGCCAACAGAAATTTCATCGCAGAGGGCGCGGATTGAATTGCAGAATTGTTTTTAAAAAAAAATACAATAGTGCCAAATTAATGCCCCGTCAAAGCCTCTATTTCTTCGTTAATAATTTATTTAAACCGTTTTTCTTATATTTCTTATTGCTTTATAAAATACGATTATTTTCAAATTTCGAAGGCAAAAAATTTTATATTTTTAATAAAAAAACTTTAATAAATCCATTGTGAAGAGTGTATGGGAATTCATCAATTTTCGTCCTCTTTTTCGAGATACATTGGCGTTCAACTGACCAAATATTTTTTAGATAACCTCGAATCGGTAATGAACGATTTAAAAAATTGTTTAACCGAATTTTTACTTCTATGTAAAGAACGTCTGAAAATTAAATAATATGAAAGTATTGACCATATTTTATTATTTTATAAGTGCAATTTGACTGAATATGCACTGCTTAAATTGACATATTGCGGACCGCATGTCACCATTTAATTAGCTTCTTCAATCTTCAGAGCTCGGTGACTCGCCGTGAAGAAAAAACCTCCCACCCAACGAGCAGCGACGTCCTCCCATCATCGTTAATCTTTTCTTTCGTTTTAATGCCAAAGTGATCCCTAAAGAAAAGATTTCATCCCAACGGGAAGGTGAACGCCGTTCGAAAGAGAATAAAATGCAAATTTAAAAAGGCAAATAAAATAAATAAATTAAAACATAATTCAACTATTTTTTGAAATAAACTTAAGTATAACCAAATTTAGCGAAATCTACAAAATTGATGACCGTATTCGAGGATTCGTTTTAGGAGTTCGTCCATAGACTTGCATGCGTGCGTGCATTAGTTGCATGCACGCATGCATCAATTGCTTGCATGCATGCGATTCAATTGATAAATGCCAAATGCGGCGGATTCTTCGAATAGTAGCGAAGTTGGCGTGCGAAGCCGTTCATTCACCGCCGCGCCGGTGGCGTTGCCTTCTAAACAAATGTCGATCGCACTTCTTTCGTCGTATGATCTCGCGAAAATTAATTTTATTTATCAACTAAAATAATGTAAGAATAAGTAAGTGAAACGAGTCACAGATTTCACAGATTCTTATTTCTTATTCATTTAACAGCATCTATCGCACTAACACAGCGTTTAGCACGGTGCTTTTTTCACTAGAAAGTCACAGGGATGGGTATTTAAGTGGATTCGAAGTGCAGCTCGAACCTCAGTCGCTGCTTTATTCAGTGGGTGGATGCGACTCCCTGTGTTTAAACCCAGCAGTACCACTCGATCATCTCTCAGAAATATTATTCCAAACTGAAGGAAGCAGCAGATGTACAGTGATAATGAAAAGTGATAATAAAAGTGATAACATAACGAAAATAAAAATTTACAGATTTACATATGGGCAATATAGAAGCAGTCATTAATCATTAGTTTCAATTTTATTTTGTAGTAAAAGCAGATCCATTAAGACCCCAAAAAATACTCATCGCTAATGCGACAACTGCAATTCCACCAATAGCGCCGACTGTTATCAAACTTGGCCTCCATTCGATTTCATGCGATAATCTTTGTTCCGCATTAAAAACTCTCTCTATATCGGTTAATTCCTTCCCCAGCCGCGTCCAACCGTCAGCCAACGTTGTGCATTCATCATTATTCAATTCCTCGATAAAAGAACGAATCTGAATATTAGTTTGTTAATATCATTTATACTTTATTAGATTGTTTTTCTCAACATTAAAGCTGACAAGGAATGATTCGCATAGTTTTGCTAAGCGACCACACTTCCTTCTGACTCATTAGTCAAATAATCAGAAATAAGAAATGATGTCTTTCTAAGCGTACGAAACGGTTTCTACACTTTTCAAGACCACTCATCGTTCCTGCTTAGGCTCGCTCCACTAATTTGTCGACGTTCTAAACAAATTTTGCCAGCAAGCCATCTGGCTGCAATGTAGGTGAGTCGTCAGAACAACCTGAATTTTTAAAACAGCCCTGCTGGGAGTTGAACGATAGCGCCGGCATTTGGAAGTGAACAAACCCACCACAGCCCACCGAGCTATTCAATCTCGTTCTCACATCGTCGTCAAAAATAGAATTAAAATAATTCTTAATTAATCACAGCTAACATATCGGAGTAGAATGGCTCAGTGGGTTGTAACTCAAATCGGAGCACCGATGTTGTTCTACTCCCCACGGAAGTAAATCTGTCCGAAAATCCGGGTTTCTATCGTCAGTAGCCTCCCTGACATATTTTTCCAGTGCGACAATCCAGTGGAGCGAGTCTAACCAGTAATGGTGAGGGCTCTAAAAAAAATTTATATCTTATATAAATCTATATAAATTTATATAAATCTTTTCATGTATTTTTAATTTTTTTATACATTATGTATAAATTTAATGCATAAATTCACATGTGGAAATTCCCAGTCAGTAGATAAGGTGATATATCCGTTATTTTGGAGTATAATTATTTCATGACATGTGCACATAGCCTCACGAACTCGACTTTTTATTTCAATAATAAATTCATTTCGCAACGGTTGCTTGATAATATGCAATGGGTTGTGTTTCGATAAACCATAAAGATTCTGAAGAAAATTATTTGGGCATCTGAAAAACGATAACAGTTATAATATCGAAGGAATTTCGAAGTGCTTTTTCGAAATTATAAATTAAAAAACTATAAATTATAAATCAAAAAAATTAAACAAATTGAAAATTGAAAGGTGATAGTATTTATTCTCTAAAATTGGAAAGAAAATGCGATATTATCAGAAAAAATGCTCGTAACTGTTGATTTAGAAAATTTAAAAAATGAGAAATTTATAAATTTTATTATTTATGCATTTTGTTTTATCGAATTAATCCGACTTCAATAAAAATCGTTCTGCGTCGTTTTGTTAATTAAAAGCAAAGCAAATCAAAACGACCCTTTTATATATTTGAAGAAGAATGGTGACAATTATGATAATTTAATAGCTAAAAATAATTTTATAATTATAAATAGAATGCAAAACCTTTCGGAGTCCGCGATTAGAAGTAATTTTTTGCTATCATTGCACCGTTGAACCTCAGCAAAAATTTCTTGCAATTCTTTTAATTCAGCGACTTCTTTTACTTCGACTTTTTGATAACTTCCAACAAATTTTATGAATTGTTCCTTTAAAGAATGAATATTAAACATGGAATGATATTTATGTTATTCCAAGTTATTATTATTTATTATTTAGTATATATTATTGCTTAATATAATGATTATTTTCGATCCACTGGTAGCTTTTATGAAAATTCGGACAAAATTCGGATTTGATAATCAACTATCCATAAAATTACAGTAAAGTTAGATGGCTAAAAAAATGCTTTCTAAGGACACTATGGAAGTTCAGTTTCAATTCTCCAGGTATTTCTCCATTTTTTTGTAGTAAATTTCAATAAAACTGCGCTAAAAGAAGGAAATAAAAAACAACTTTGTTATTAATCGAACCATTGTAATGATAATAATTCTCGCCAATAATATAAATAGCATGCGGCAGTTTTTTTACCTCTATTTTTTTACTGCCTAATATCGAAAAATTTGAATTTATTATCGGATGATATCGATAACCGATTTTTTCGTTATTTGATAAATATTCATTATAATATTGAATCCATTCTTGAATCTATCAAACAAACACATTAAAGTATGATGAAATTTCAACAGTACCAATATAAATGTATAGAAATTCCAGCTCGAAGCCTAGACTAGATTGCCCTCCAAATAAAATTTTTCATCAGCCTTCTCCTTAAATTTCAAATATTGGACAAAATTTTTAATCTAGATGAGCATTGATTATGAGATAAGGTCGACATATTCATCTACATTCGAATGCATCCTTAGTGCTATATAACCTTACGCCTAAAATGTTTAGGATACGATCTTCATCATCCATCACAGAATGTTGCAAAATTTTATGATGGATGTCTTCAGAAGCGAAATCCCCAGTTATGACTTGGACTGGTGCATATAAAATGATCCAGTGAGTATTGTTTAGATGATGGAAAAAAGAATGGTCCGAGACAATTTCAACCATAGTTTTGACTCGAAAATTTTGGAAATGCCTCATTTTAATAGCTAATAAGTCAAATCAGAAATACTGTTTGAAGAAAAGGAGGATTAAATTTTTGAAGAATTTTTAAAAAAAGAAAATAGTTTTTTAGAACCGTGACAGTGGTCCTCAGACACCTCCAGATGAGCAAGGTTCCAAACTAGATTCACATAATTGTAATATTCTTCCGTGGGCTATTTTAAAGAACCACATCTGTTCTTCATATTATCGTGAATATCATTTATATTTGTTCTTCACATCTGAACCACATTAAAGCTTCTGCTAGATTTAAGCCAAAGATTATGCATATGGAAAAGAATGGTTAAAATTATTAAGGTGATCCATCGTTAAATGACATAATCCAATTAAATAAACATCAAATGATAGAAGAGGTATTGACCAAGATGTTTCATGGTAGCAGAAGATATTAAAGATGTGTTATCCAGAACAACGAGCCCATTTAGTTTTTCAGCAACCGAGCAAATAACCCAGTTGATAATCTTCGGAGAAAAGAGCTTATATTTATACTTGAGTTTGCAAAGTTATCGAAAATATTTACCGTTTGAAATGAATGCTTCGATGGAAACATTTTGAACAAATATCACAATATACTGATATAAGTCTAATTCGATTGGAAAATTAAATTTTCCGTTAAAACGCAATTTCGCAAATTTCCACTCTTGACACAATTTAAATCGAAAAACTACTTTCTGAAGGATGTTTTATCCACGTTTTATAAATCGGTGAAGATCAGAGCTCGCAACACCCATTTCTTTTAAAACCTCACTGCATGAATTGATGCAATTATTATATTTTTTTTAAAGAGTCCTCACCATTACTGGTTAAAAACTCGCTCCTTTGACTTGCTGCATTGGACAAATGTGCCAAGAAGTCCCTTGACCATAGAAGTACAGTTGAGTCGCCAGTATCACCCAAGTTTTTGGACAGATTTACTCCTGCGGGGAATAAAACCTCAGTGTCGACACTTCAAATTGAGCAACAACCCACTGAGCCATTCTATATTTCATAAACTTTAATGATATTTTTCAAAAAAGAGATAACAGACACATTTAAATGGGATTCGATGAAACTAAATTAGTCTTGGTGGTCTCATTTGGCACCATTTCCTCTGCTGGTAACATATCTTCAGGACATCAAGAGATACGTATGGCGAGAAAGCTTTCTTGACAGTTATGGCGTATGTATATTAAATATAATTCATTAAATTTTCTAAATTCAGACGAATTTCTGTTATTTTTGCCCGACAGAATTTGGCTAAGTTTTAGAACTCCAGAAGTTTTAGTTAATGACTGCGAACTTATTTAGAAATGCTCTTTTTATGAAATTTTCCTCATTTTCCAATGTGGATGAATAATTCCAAAATTCGAGAAAAGAATTTAACTTCTGATGCTAGTTTCGCAGTAAAGAAAAATGTGAATATGACGAAATAAAAATATTTAAAAAAAAAATTTTAGCTGACCTGTTTGCGTTGAACGAGACATTTCGTCTTACATAAGAGAAGAATTAATCGTTGATGTTCTTCAAACGATTTCATTTTATTAGAGTTATTCGTGATTCTGGATTTTATCAGTTTTTTAACATTCAAACTATTGTTATTTTTCTCGACATCGATAGAAGATTTACCAAATGTTGACGGAATTTTCGATGAATCAGTTGCGATTTTTAAATTATCATATTTATTTATTCGAATTGAAAAAGATTGAGACATGTGAAAGTAAGTGATAGAAAATATGATAAGGAATAAGGCGAACGGTTCAGGATGCATTTCAATTTAGTTGTATAGAACTGCACTAATCTCTTTGAATCTCTTCTAACTATTATAAGCTTCACTGCTCATTCAGACATACTTCAACATCCACTCGCATTTGTTATCTCCAATTCTATTAATTCTCATTTTTACACCAGTTTTCTACTAATTCTTATCGAAATTTCAATTTCCATATCTCAACAGATTATTACACTTTTAAGTGCGTTTTCAATATTTTTTAAATTATTATTAATAATGGAATTATTTAAATTTTAGATCCCATTTTAATTATTTTAAACGAATATATCAATAAGGCTTTTCACTGTGCTAAAAATTTGTTCTCGAAGTTATTTCTGGAATTCAAAAAAAATTTGATTTTCCGCAAGAGTTATAGAAACTTCACGCTTTACTTTACGCTTACTCTTTAGTGCAAATAAATGATCATTTTTGCTTATATTCACATCACTGACTATTGGTGGTATGAGGAATTTTTGCGTGGGAACTTGGAGATAGGAATTTAGGCGAATCGCCAGCACCGAATCGCTTTAGTGTACATTTTTATAAAATTTTTCTCATACCATACCAAAATTTCTGGTCTAATTCACTTCACTGGCTGTTAGCAGCGAGACTTATTTGCCAGAGAATAGTCACATGGAGACACAAATATACGGTCACCAACTTCACTTGCCATTATTGATTATTGAAATAGATTTAGTATTAGTAGGTTGTATTTATAGGTTGTTAAAGATCTTTATCATACAGTTGAACACTGTTTACATCGATTAAATTATTGAAGTAAAAATTTCCGTAAATTTGGAGCAGAATTTTTTCATATCTCTCTCTTTTCAATGTATAACCATTTGAGCCTTTAAAATCTTTTACTATCTAAAATCTTTTTACGAAATCTTTTCACCAGCCATAAGAAGAAGAAATTGAAATTGTCATTTTTTGCAAAATTATTCTGACAATAGAATCGATCTGAAAATTTTGTTATAGGCCAAGTTTAAGCCAAGGCTATTGTTATATTTAGAAAATTGATTATCTCTGTAGCGGAAAACTTTTGAATTTGCAGTTTTCTTCTTCCGCGACCTTAGAATTTGTCGGCAATCGTTTAGTTTTCTTAATTTAGCAATCGTTTTGAGGGTTATTTTGCTGTAATGCAAGCTAATGATGCTATTACTCTAAAGTATTTTGCACCAATTTTTCCTTTATGCTTACATTTATAACTTTCCAAAGACTGATTTATTTTGCACAGCCCTTTCGTATTGCCACAGCAAGGTTTATAGCCTCTGAAATCAAATGATTCCATTAGAAGAAATGAAGTTTTGAAAAGTTTTGAAATTAAAATAAAAAATCAGTCTTTGTATGCGTGATATGTGGACTGATAACAAAAGAGATTCGAGCATTGAATCTCGAGCACTTCATTCGCGGTTTAGCTGGTTACAATCTTTCAACAATCTTTCACCGTAGAATTACTTGGATATGTGATAGATATTGAGATAGATATGCAAGTGGCTCACCAGCACCATTCGATACCAATTGCAATAATAATAGACCCTCGCCTATAAAGAGGAGAGAATCGAACCTGTGACGCTTGGTTATTTAGTCGTAGCAATATGCCATCGTGCTTCTGTTGAACCACATCACTTTTGTTCGTCTTTACAATAAAATGATAACGTAATAGAAGCTGTGTGTGCCAGCCTGAAATTCATTAAAATCTTCCCTGCTTACTTACTCTTTGGCTATTCGGGAAAAATTGTATTCCCGTGATTTTTGATTCACATTATATTGCTCAATAAAATATGAGATTCTTTAAAGATATCAAATAGAATCGAATGATACGACAATTGGCACCGAAAGATGGAATAAGAAAGAAAAGACTTAAGAGACTAATATAAGCTTTTTATTGACATTATAATTTAAACTAAAGGAGTAACTCTGAAAAAAATTTTCAATACATTCTTTTTGTCTTTCGTTCATAAAAAAATAGCCATTGATTTTCAATTTTTTCGTAAATCATAATTCTGAAATTTTTAAGTTTTGAGATAAATCTCTTTATAAAAGCTTTTTAAGCTTTTTGAAAAAACAAAATATGCATTTTATTTAAATAAAAACGGTAATTTCAAAAAGCATTGATCCATTTTCAACTAACTATCAAAGCTTTAAAGCTGTGAGATAAGACTTAATCCGGAAAAAGAAAAGCGATAGTGTTACAAAAATTTCTGATACTATAAGTAATCATTTGCCTCTTCATTTTAGGCAGGATAGATAATAGGCAGGATAGATGAGGGGTTAACCTTTGAGAAGCACTGTTTACTTTTTACTTACTTATTCAACAGCAAGAAAGGAAACGAAACGGAAATTTAAAATGAATTAAATATAAACTAGCGAGCTTCAGAATTTTCAGATTAACTCGAGGCCTATCTTGCACTTGTAGTGAGCTTAGACGTGATGTATAGGTTCGATCATCGCTCCGCTTGCTTCTTTCATGGAAATGAATATTGTCAAGTAAAATAAGATCTGTATGCTTAGGTAAATCCGCTTGTTTTGATTGTCGTTGGTCTAGTTGTTTTTAGTGTTTTATTTGATACACTCCAGTCTAAAACCTTTGCTAATCGCCATAGTTTTTTAAAATAATAAAAACAATTTCTAAGATATTCTAAGATATAATAATTTCAACTACGGAATTTATTAGAAACAAGAATTTTGCTAAATGGTTATACATTTGCTTTATTAAAATTGCTGGCTGATGCTGAAGGAGATTATTATCGAGGGCTGTAAATGCAGTAATTATCAAAAAATATATTTGTAGGAATTCGATGATGGTTGGAAGTGTATGTGCATCAGATAGTGGAAAAAGATCTAACTCTTTGATCCGATCATTGTCACCTTTAATAACTCGAAATAATCATAAATCACTATTTGTTCGAAGCCCAGTAAAAATTCGCAGGTAAAATAAATATTGGTAATGTAATTTGCAAACAAAAATTAGAAAAAAAGTTTAACCTATATATGAATTTTGTCAAAAAATTGGACCAAGGTCATTGCAACACCTAAAGGTAAGAGGGTAATCACCTCTCGCATTGGAAATAAAAAAGAACCAAACCATCGAATCAAGACAAGATCGCCATCTTTTTCATAAGAAGGGATAAAAAATTACTTTTAATTTTGCTTGAGATATTTGAGATAATCCAAATGGTACCAGGGGTCCTCTCTTTTTCTTTCTTCTTATGGTACTTGACATTTGTGGTTTCTACTGGCTATTTGGATGTGATCTCTTTATTACAGAGTACATTTAAGAATAGAAGTGCAAGTGAATTCTCAGTACTTCACTTCACTTTTGATATCAGATTTCTGTCAAAGGGCAGTGGCAAGCCCATGATGTTTGATCGAAGGAGTATAGCAATTAGCTTTGAGAGTCAAAATAGCCGAGTGGACAGTGGTTTAGATTAGAGACAAAAGTTCTACTCCTAACAGCTAGAGCTATCAGCCAGTGGAACGAGTTTAACTTAACCATTTACTTATCTATTTAACAATCAACCATCCTATCTGCAGCAATAGTGCTGTTTCAGTAAAAAATCGTAGGTAAAATAAATATTGCTTGATGAATAAATAAACTTTTCATTAAAAATCCAGATGACATTTGTGTTCCATGCTTATACTCCCGCTTCTGAATCCCTTATTTTTTTATTCTTGGACCTCTTAAGTCTAGATGTCGATAAAACAACACAAATATTTGCTTAACGGCACAAAGAGAATTTGTCCACAAATTGTTTTGTTTTATATATTAACCACGGTTTTTTTCAGCATAAAAAAGCTAGCCGTTCAGGATCACTTTCATTATAATTATGTAGAACTAGGCGCAATAAAAGTTTCCCTCATCTCATATCTGGACGAACGTTCAGAAACAACTTCTAGTAATAATTTTTTGAATCATAATATTCAAGAGATAATTGATAATTCATCAAAACATAGAGCGACCAATATCAGAATGCAGTTGCAAATCGAAAGCAATCACAAGAAATGGTAATAATTTTCGCTGATCATTTCTCTTAATGCATAAAAAAAGAAATTTCAAATTGAAAGAAAGAAACTAAAGTTAACGATAAAACTTAGACATTTCACTACATGAGGAATTTATAACTAACATTCCATTTTTTTCTAGTTTGATCTTCGTGGTGCTGTGGACCCACTTTTTATCTCTAAGACTCTGAAAAAATTATTGCCCTAAATTAAAGCGCCATAACCAGAAATGGTGAACGCTGTAGAAAAATAGTGTTAACTCTTTAAAAATCCTGATTTGAGTTAAATACTTTAATTTAATATTTTAAATTTTTGATTTAATTTTATTTTATAATAACAAATTTCGATTTATTTCTTAAAACTTTACAGTAAATTGTATGCATTACAATTATATAATTATGAAATTATATAATTCATGTCAATTAGTACAAATAATGAAATCGGAGATTATTTAAATTTATACGATAAAATTATTTAAAGGCCGAAATTTTGCAAGGAAAAGCTTTTAGTTTTAGCATAAGCTTTTAATATTTTAGAAGTTTTAATATAACTGTAGAGGGAGGATGAAAATGAATTTCTGAGATGAAAGGGAAAAGACAAAAATAATTGCGAAGTTTTCTGCGTTATTGACCTACTTAGAAATATGATAGCTCCTAAATGCTCTTGAACGCCATTTGGATGCGGTGTTCCATCATTTAATGGTAGTTAAATTGATATAATATGTGCTAAGATGTACTGATTTCTGGCTAAAACCATCCAATTCCATCAATCCGATTTAATTCAATAAGAAACTTGAAATTTTTTTGCTGCAGTTTATATACTTTTCCGTATTGTCCTCTTTTATTTATTTATCGCTTCTTTATTTCTGTATCATCCATATATCTATTTCAATTGTAGCTGTTTTTTCTTTTAGGTCAGTTTTTTAAAGAAAAATGACAACTACATTTTTTAAAAAATTTGACGGGATGGATGAATGAACCTTATTTTAATTAAAATTTCAAAGCCCCGGAAATTTTCATAAATTTTTGTTCATTTGTGTTTCTTTGAGGGATTCCTTGAGGGATCTCTTAAATGACATAGCTTCAGCCAAGGAAAAATAGCATGGGCTAGCTTTCTTGGAAGTAAAGCTATTCAATATGAGTTGAGAACCCATTATGCTTCAATCCAGCCAAATAAAGCGGCGAAACCAGAAATTTTGCGAGAAAAATTTCTTTTTATAAACATTTATGATGGTTAATCTTTTTTATTTTACACTCATAAATTCATATAAATTGGCGAATTTTATTTTTATTCTTGATTAATTTATATTTTTTATATTTTTTATATTTCAATAAAATTTCAATTTCTTCAATAAAATGGGTAGTTTTTAATAAAAATGTTGATAAGTTCTGTTATCAGCGCGTAATGCTTGTTAATCTTTACAGATAATAGACATTATTACTTACTGACTCAAATTTTACTCTGCGGTATTTTGCCTAAATGGAAATTATTTCCCTGTCAAGTAATTACATCGTTTTAAAGTGTATTTCATTGGCACAGGCTTTGAATTTTTTTGCCGTTTAGATTCATTGATATGCCAAGGCCGTTAATTTTACACAACGACAATCATAAAACGAAAAAAATAGTTATAATCTGAATGTTTTTTGCTCATCTTCAATGAAAAAACTTTTTTTTCTCATGTGGGTGGTCATAATCATTTTCAACTTCAGGTTTACCAGAGACCTGGAAGATTGAAGGTTCTGCGCAATATCTTAGCTGATACTAGCAGTGCGATCTTCTAGTAAGATAGAGCTCTGATGGAATCTCCTAAAGTCACTTTTATAGTTTAGAGGTAACAGTTCTAAGTGCTCCATTTACCACTGGAATTACTTTGGCCTTTACTTCCCAAATCTTCTCTAATTTCTCTTTCCCTAATATTTCCCTGGGAGGAGAAACCCCGAGGGATTATCGCCTTATTATTCTCTACTGGTTCCACAGATTTTCTGAAGAATTTCTATTTAATCTTGGGAGGGTCTAAACCATATACCGAGCAGATATATTAAACTATTAAACTATTTATTAAAACGTTCTCATTTTAATTTGCTGTCAAATTTTTTAATGCAGTTTATAACTAAATTAAGAAATAGTAAACACTTACAATTCAGGGTTAATTAGGCTGGTTCCACTGTTAATACGTCTAAAAATTTTTGCACCACCTGGAATAAAAATGAGGTACTGCCAATCGAAGTTTATAGTAACTTATAGGAGAGCACGAATCGAGATCTTGCTTTTTACACGACTGTAATTAACGATTAACGAATGAATTTTTCTTAGCTTACTGTAATCGGCTGAATACTTAATATTTCCTAAAATTAAATTAAATTTATAAAAATAAGGCGATTTTCAGGTTCATAACGCGGAGCTATAAAGAATTATGCGAATTTGATTGCCAACTTCATTGTTGTGTGTTTGATCGCGATCGCAGTCGTTTGAAAGAATTGACTGAAAGTGATTGTGTAAGGAACAATTTGCGTGTTCAGATTGAAGAATATTTGACAAGACTATCTCAAATCACTGGCAGAAGGCTTATCAATTGTTTTCTTGTACTAAAATTTCTTGAAGTTAGCGTATATAATTTTATTACCAGATTAAATATATTATTAATATCGATTAATATTTATCGAAATATAAATGGATAACGGAGTGGTTCTTCCTCAGGTTTTGTCTTTCGTACATCAAGTTTCAGGCCCCACTTCGACAAGAGTAAGAATGTGATTAAAAACCTCAGCGAAATTTTTGCGAGTGACTCACCCGCACTCCGTGGCAAAAATTTTTCACCACACTAACAGCCAATGGAAATAGTATAGAAATAGCCACTAACCTCTTATTTTTATTAAAATATTATGAATGTTAATTATAAATTAAAATATATCTGCATGAGAAAATACAAGAAAAAATTTAAAATTAACTTTAACAAGAATTTTTAAAAAAAATGATTCTAAGTTATGAAGATCAATGATATAAAAATATCGTAAACTTGCTTAATTCTCTTCGCTTCTTTTTCTAAGAATTTTTGCCACTGATTCGGTTGGCTCCATTAATTACAAGGCAAAGACGTTCCAAACATCCGATCTGCCACTGCCTAAAATTCACTGAGGCCATTTCTTTTTCTATGTCTGTTTGGCAATTTTTTACAATACTTTTATGCAAATTTATTTGTTCAAATGATTATGATCTATAAAATCGCTAAAAACTTTTTTGCGTTTTTCATTCAATTGTCCATTTAACTGCTATAATACGAAAATGTAGAAATATAGAAATGTAGAAATTTTATTATTTTATTTAAAATTTATTAATTTATTTTGTTTTATTAATTCTATTAATTGAACTTATTAATTTATTTATAATTTATTTAATTAACTTCAAAAACTTGGCATTTGTTGAGGTCTCATTAAATATATTTAGATTTAGCTTAAGTACCAAAATATATACCATTTTATTAAGCTTAAACTATTCGATCTGAAAATCAGTAAGCCATTGTTTAAAAAAATTTATACAATGAGAAAAGAAATCTAATGATATATATGATAATATATATCCATAAACCTATCGTTAACGACCGATTTATTCATAAGATTTAATTCGTTTTATTCTCGCAACACACGTTTTTCTAATTTTTGCCCAAAAACTCTCCTATCATCTACATCATTTTATTGCGTTCCTTCATCCTCACTTATTAAATATCTTCCCTTATATTGAAGAAATTATTGGTAAAAAATTATTGTATTTATTAAAATTTCCTTTTTAAATATTCTTTTAAACTAAATTTTTACTTTCAATTCAAAATAACTAAATGGCTTACTATTTCTAGTCAGATTCACTCCGCTGGCTGATCGTACGATTAAGAATTACTGCCAGAGAATTTTCCAGCGATAGAAATACGGGTGGGTCTTACACTCGGATTTTTTAATATTTTAGTCATTTCGAGGAAGCGAAATCCTTGCTTCTCTAATCCGAGCTTCTGTCTAATCAAAAAATACCTTATCACAAAATATTATAATAAAAATAAGGATTAAACGACATGAAAATGAAAAACAATATATCGAACAAACGAAATTCTAAACTCCAATAAATAAAATTAATTTGCTTTGATTTTTAATCCAACGAGTAAAAAATGCGTTTTTGTGAGATTTTTTATAGGACAGAATCTTTATTGCTTATATTTTGCATAAAAAGTTTCGAAATTAGTGAATCTTAAAAAAAATTCTCGAATTTTAAATTTACCATTTTTAATTAATAAAATTTGCAGGGATTGTTTCTTTTTTTTCCACTTTTTCACTTTTTCTAATGGTACTCATTATTTATGATTTTGCTGACCAATTGCCTAATGGCCTGAGAATCTTGTTATATTAAATATTAGAGAATTATTTGGAGAATGAATAGAATAGAATAGTTACAGACATGTCACCAGCGCCATCCAAATTTCATTCCTATTTACTTTATCTTAACCTATTTACTTTTTTAAAACAGGAGTTGAATCCACGATAGAATAATATATCAGCCTCTCCTTGACTTTTCATACCTTGATTTTTCATAAAATTCCAGGAAAGTTTAGGCTTAGATTCATTGACTTACTTTATTTCTTATTTATTTATATTTATTGTGATTAACGCAATATTTCTGTGATTAAAATGAAGCAATAATATTATCTTTATCATTTTCCTATCTATGTTACTATTTTTTTTATCCTTCCTTCAAATCAGAGTTCATTAATATGGCGTGTAATATTTGATAAAAAAATGTTTACGAATGAAACAGATTTACAATTTTACGCTCTTCTTTTCTTTTTATAAATAGTTAATCCAGTAGCAAAAAGTGCGTTCAGTGAAGGACTCCGAATTTAGAATTAAAGTTCTTAATGAGACACAGGTGGTATTTTCGCAAGTTTTTCCGAAAATCGCAGCATTTAAAATCTTTTTATTAACTGAACTTGATATTTTAGCTCGACAGTAGAGGGAACCAATACTTGTTAGCTGAAGAAACGTCGATTAATACACCTGCAATCGCTTGCGCAATTGTTACAAAAGATTTCGAGGCTCAATCATGCGAACAACTCTCTCTTCGGGTTTGTTCTATCATTTACCGGAAATCAGATATGGGCGGCTCAAACTATTTATCTTTTTAGATTAGCAATGGTAGCTTAGACGATAATTGGCCCTACTCTTAAACTGTCTTTTTCTGGAATGAATTGTTCGTGCATAAAATTTTTATCAACGAGTGGCCAGTATATTTGCCCTGATTATTTGCGGAACCGTTTCGATAACGTCTATGATCATTTCATATTTTTGAAGGAATTTAATATCTCATTATTGGCCTTGCATTTACTTTACATTTATTTCTTTAAAAGTAGGCATTGTAATCATTATCGAGGCAATCCAAGAAAAATTCCATTCACTTTTATATTTTATACTTTTGTCATACTTTCACTTTTATCGGTTTATCTAATTAAAAATTCTCTTTAATTGAGGCTTTAATAAGCCGTTCTTAGATCACTCGATTTGGGTTAAAATATTTTTCCATATTTTACGGGATTTCACGCGATTCTGCTGCAGTGATTTCTCATATAGTTCAAGTTATTCAATTCATGCAATGGTAAAATAACTGGATTTACATCTTCGAATAAATTTGTTGTAAATCTCCGTCTTATCAGTTTGTTGATTGTCGCTAAGAGCAAAAAGAAAAGAATTATAAAAGATAATAAATAATGAATAATAATGATAAAAGAAAAGAAATTCGAAATGAAATCGTCTTTTGGACGATTTTTTGGCATTTTTATACTATTTTTTTGTAATTTCATTCGTTTCTTTGATAGAAATTATTAGATGTACGATCGATGCAATTAATAGCTTCAATAATTCATGAAATTATATTTTCTCTGCCATTAAGGTCGATTATTATCTTCGTTAATGTCTGTTGATTAACTTCAAAAAAAAAAATTTAAAAAATTAAAATTACTAAACTAAAAAATTTAGAAATTTAGAAACTAAAAAAATTAAGGATGCTAATTTAATGCTTATTAACTATTTTCTTCATAAATATTGTCATTTTTTTCATTAGAATTAGAATCACTGTTGTAGCGAGCAAAGTTTTGTGAGGGCTACGCTGAGGGAATGATAAATTTTTTGGAAAGAAAACCCCAGAGAATATCGCTTTAATATCCGGAACTAAAGCTAATGAAAAAATGATTTTAGATTGGCGACATTGTATCGATTATTGAAAAAGCATTGCCAGGTAAAAACGGTCGATCATGGTGGAAAGCAAAATTGACAATTGCAAAAGATATTAGATCTAAAGAGATTGGTTCGCAAAATTTTAGGGTAACAAATGATGCCTTTATGAATTTATTGTTAAAAATTCAATTTTATTTAGGAAATATCGAAATATGAACCAAAATATTTTATTTATATTTATTTTATGAAATATTTATACTAACATTTATATAATTTACCTATATTCTTCCACTGCGACACCGCGGTGTATAGAGATGAGGCCCCAGTTACTCGGATTTTAATTTTCTGATAGGTTTATTCCTGTCAAAAAATAAACCAATTTTCATAATCAAAGATGATGAAATTTAATGTGCTGCTTTCAATTCAGTTAATAGAGCCACATTCTGGATAATGATAGAATGGGATGATATTTCAGAGGTCATTCGACTCATAAAGGCATTTTACCAGCAAACATCGGCGAGTCTGTTTTTATGGAAAACTGATAGATCCTTTCCAAAGTAAACACTGGTGTTAATCAGGACTGCGATTTTTCCTCTATAATATTCAATTACGCGATTAATTGAATTATGGAGATGGGTTAGAGACAAAGTCAGTCTCTATATAATAGCATATTATAGAATAGAATAGTATATTATTATAGAAACTGAATACGTACGCTATCTGTTGATGCAGTCCTTTTGCTGATTATTATGAAGAAATGGAAGAGATGTTAGATAATGTATTGGCTATTGCAGCAAATCGGCCTCGAGCTGTTTAGTCTCATATGTGACGCTGATAAAATAATTATATATTTCTTTTTATCAAATCATCTAGCACTGAGGAAACCGCAGGCTTTAAATAATTCGAATAAACACAATCAGCAATACGTCGGGAAAAATTCCATTGGAATCGCCCTAAATCATCGTCAAAACGAATGTTTATATCTAGTTGGCAGCAATACGCACCATTCTGTTATAAAGTTGCGAAACTTGGCCAGTGAGAGTGAAAGATATTAAGAAGCGATCTACCTTTGACCACACATTTACGTGCGGTGAAGATAAAATCTCATATGACTGTAGCTTTGATATATTATCTCAAATACTATCTGCATTTAAAATAGAGTGCCATTTATATCGGTTAGGCCATGTTTTAATTGTTTAATTGTGAAGAGATTGTGAAAAGTGTAAAAGAGATTTTGAGCGCATGAGTTCAGTGAATAGACGGAATAGACGGAACAAGGAGTGTCTTCTTGTGATCTCAGGCATGGCATCTATTCAAACGGCTTAGGAACGCCTTACCTTTGTATTCAGTGGTAACATAACCAATAATGGTGGGAGTTGTCAAAAGAAGAAAAAGGTTTTATATAATTTGTTTTTTTTGTTTGAAGTGAAATTGAAATTTATATTATTTACATCAATATTTACATACATATATCAAAAATCTCAGAGACTACCATCTTCACATGGATGATATCAAGTTGTAAGAAATGGACGAGACATCGCTCATCCATCTAATTCGGATCTACAGCGAGGACATTGGGATGTCATTCAGATTACAGATAATGTAGCCGCATGGTCGTAAAGAAAGAAAAAGTAGTAATGACTAGTGGAGTGGACTTACCATCAAGACATATAGCGAACATATAGGCTAGATATAAGTATCTTGACATCCCACAATCCCACAGTAAGTCTATGAGGAAATAAGGAGAAATGCAACATCTAAGTATCACCAAAGGACAAGACAAACTTTAAAGAATCAGATTAATGGGGAAGAACAAAATCCATACCATAAATATGTATGCCTTGCCAGTCATCAAGTACGCAGCTGGCATTGTAAGATGGACAAAGGAAGGAAGATATGGATGCTGCTAATGTAAACTTCAGGAAACTCCTCACGGAAATCTCAACCCCCAGTCCAATACTCAAAGATATACCAGCTAGGAAGAAAGCGGGTGGGGCTTGGTCAATGTGAAAGCTACTCTCTCAAACTCGAAGCATTCGGAAATATATCAGCAAAATACACCAAAGAGTGAACTGCTGAGAGAATGTCTGAAGCATCAAGCAGAGTAAAATGCAAGTGGGAACAACACATATTGAAAGGTACAACCAAGTAGCAGGCATCATCCACCGAAACATCTGCTCGGCGCATGGCTTAAACCCTCTCAAAACTAAATGAGAGATTCCTCAGAAAGTCGTGGAGAATAATAAGGCGAAAATCCTGTGGGACTTCTCCATCCAGACAAACACTGACTAATACTGGCCAATCAACAAGATATCGTGGTAATAGACAAGAAGTCAGCACTGGTAATAGAAACATAGAAATGGCAAGGAGCGCCAAAAAGAAGAAATATGAGAAGTTAAAGAAATATCAAGGGTTGAAAGAGGAACTAGAGAAGATGTGGAAAATTAAAGACCAAAGTAATTGCAGTGATAATTGGAGCACTTGGAAATGCTACCTCTTAACTAGAAAAGTGACTTCAGCGGATTCCAGGAACAGCATCAGAGATCTCTATCCAGAAGATCGCACTATTAGAAACAGTTAATATGCTGCGCAGAACCCTCAATCTCCAGGGCCTCTGAGGATGTCTACCCACATGACCATACACAGGAAATAAGAAAAAAGTTTTTTTTCAACGTTAAGGGGCGTTAAGTTTATTCCATTATCAAAACCGATTTTTTTTAATTCATTCAATTTTTCAATTTTTTTGGTATTGATTTTCATTTTAATGAAATAACGAGGTAAATTTAGGTAGGAATTTTTCCAAGTGAATGTGTACAGATCTTTGATAGTAAGCCGGATTTAAATATCGATGACAATGTGAGTGAACAAAATCAAATCCATGACCGACATCAACGTCGGTCAATGTCTATTGTATGGACATTGCTTAAACGAAACACTATACGAAATATACCTGTGTTTGGGACAGATTTAATCGAATATTTGCATAAAACTGGACAAGATGGTACTTTATAGTTTGTTTCTCAAGGACAATGTTCCATCCTTCATAATTTTCTCCTTTTTTTAAAGAGGAAAGATATTTATTGTCGCTGAAAATAAAATTTAAGTGCCAACAATCCTAAAGAAATGTGTTGAAGTGATCGAAGAATGTGGAATTGTGACCGGCATTTATCGTCAATGTGGCATTAAATCAAATATTCAAAAGCTCAAGTTCGAATCACAATTCCATTCTAATAATTCCATTTTTCCAAAATTTCAATAATTTCTTAAGCTAGAAAAGGCTCCTAATTGGTACAAATATTGATCAGCATGATTATTTTCCTTCAGGTGTGGATTCGATTCCGGTAAATTGCCGAACCTTTTTCATGAAACAATTCTGAAAGATATTCATAGTGTATCTTCTCTTCTTAAGCAATATTTTCGTCAACTTCCTAATCCTTTGTTCACTTTTGAACTTTACTCTGATTTTGTTGTAAGATTTTTTCGTACCCGCTGGCGGGATTTTTTTGCAAAACCGAAAAATATTCAAGGTAATGAAACATTAATTTGTTAAATAACGCAAATTTTAGTGCGCTTATGAAGCGAACGATGAAAGCAAAGTTGAACGATGCAAGGATGTTCTAAAACGTCTTCCAGATGAACATTATAGGTATGTTTACTCAAACACCACCATAAATTAAAATTCATTCCTCAATGGTCATTTCCACTGATTATGAAAGGATCTGAAAGAAAAATGAATTTTTTTGCTCGAATAGCTTGCACATCATTATGCGTTATGCTGGTTCAACTACAAGGCTGAGACAAATCGTTTCCCAAATCATTCGATTCAGCTTCATTAATTTATTATATAGTTTCTATAACCAATTTTGCCAGCCTTTCTTATATTTCTTAAATCAAAATGCTCGATTGCAGAACTGCGAAATATCTATTTAACCATTTGCATCGACTTTGTCAACTCACCCATTTAACCGATATGAATTCTAAAAATCTTGCTATTGTATGGGCACCGAATCTGTTTAGGTTTTCCTCATTCTTCATCCTTTTATTCATTTTATTTTTGTTTGAACATAATTAAATTCTCAAATTCCCTGCGAATACTCTCTATAATTTTATTCTTATTTTTAATTTATATACTTAGTGCTTCAAACAATCATTTATCGTTTAGATGTCCGCAACGACAAAATGACGACGGCACTTGTATTTTACGTGGTTTAAACGCTCAAACGGGTCTTTGTAATTTTTTGCTTATTCACACTGTTCATTTATTCCCTAATGACACAAGTAATTTAACGATGTGCAATGGTTAGTGCTCTTTGGATTTGAAAAATTTAAAATAAAAATTGATAAGTAGTAATAATAAAAAAGTGATTTATAATTGTTTTGCAGAATTATTATCATGTTCAACAAGAAATGATGATCAGCAAACCATTGCGAATTTTAGTAAAAGAAACTATTTTAATATAAATGGAGGTCCTTCTGCTCTTCCAACTTTTAGAACCACCATCAATCGTCAGAATAGGTTCAACAAATTTTTATTAATAGAAGGGGAGGGAGCAGAAATGCAAATAGATCTCCACCACTAGCCATATTTCACTTTTAATGACAAGACACAACTTTTTACATGCAGTTTTTAGAGGAAATAATTACCAAAAAGAAAATACATGGAGACGATTATTGCGAGAACCTTCTGTCGACAATGCATATTCTAATCTAAAAAATAAATGGAAGGCATTTGAAAAAAAAAAATTGAACGGCGATTATCATTCGCAAACTGTTAAATGGAGGTGGTTTAATAAGAATTTCACTGAATTTATGATATTATTAATAAAATTTTATTATAGTTTAAAGCAATCATTTTATCAATTTTCAATCCAATTTTATCAAAGAAAAAACGATATTCGGAAAAATTTCAATATTTATATTATGTCGAATTTGTCAGTTTCACTTTTCAGGAGCCCTTCATTGGATACATCGGAAATATTACGTTCGAAACGAAGTGCTTCATTAATTTCATTTGTCACAAGAAGCGTTGAAGAATTTCAAAATCGAGTAGTTCAAACTTGGAAAAGTTGTGCGCCAGCAAATCGTTTTACTAAAGATGTTAATTCTATCGAAGATGGTTCAAATGATTTTATTATTCAGAAATCCATTTCTAATTTAAATCGTAATGACGGAAATGGACAACTGATCGCTGCCAATAATCATTCTGTGGTTTGATTTTCTCTGGATTTGCTGGAATTTATCATCTTTAAATCTTAAATAATGAATAAACTTTCGTTTGCCTATTGGAAGATATACAGTGTAGTAAACGAAGAAAAACGGCGAATCGAATGGCCTGAAAATTATTTTAAAAAAGTCCTTTCATTTTTAAATTATATCATCTGTAATTTGTCTAATCATCCATGTATAGATATCTTTTAGGAAAATTTCTTCTCAAAGTTAAATCTTCAAAAACAAGAATTTAATTTCAGAGTTTCAAAACGAATGAAGAACGGAATACAATAGGAAACCACAAGGAAAAAACAAAGTTTTTGAAAAGAGATATTGCTGAGGGTTGTCATTTTCTAGCTACCAGGTTTTGTCTTTTGCTCTATTAATTGCTGGAAGTTGTAATATTAAAAATATTAAAAAATATATTAAAAATATATTAAAAAATATAATAATATTAATATAATGTAATATTAAAAAATATAACAACATTGTTCCATTATTTTCAATAAGAAAGTAAATAAATAAGTGGTTGCCACTCACCATTTCCAAGTAATTAATTCCGCTGACTGTACAGTCAGAAATTTTTGCCAAGCAGTCACCTGGCTAGTGATGCAGATAGGTTGTCCACACTACCGGGAATTCTTAAAGGCAGGTTCAGTTCTGCCAATTTCGAGAGACAGTTTTGACTCAGTTATTATTATTTATTATTATATTCTAATATATTCTAATAGAAGAGAAAAAAACCCACTTCCGAAAAGGTAATTTGGTAACTTAGCTTTGCCTTTTATCATTCTAAAATTAAGTGAAATAAAAAATATTTATTAGCAGTGATATGGAAGAACCAAGTGTTTCATCATTTATTTGCGAAGATGAAACGCGGCAAGAATACTCGATTGTAAAGAAAGTCCTTCCTAATGATAAGCAACATTGTCGTGTTGTTGCACTTGGCAGCAAAATGATAGCAAAGGACGACAGCTGTACCGGTGGCAGTGAATATAATAATGATAATGACGAAGATGATAATGATAGCGATGAAGACGATGACCGTAATGCGGCGCCATCCTCAGATAATACGAGTTCTGGAGATTCGATAAATTTTGAGATAAGCCGATACGATAATGTGTCTCCATCTCCACCTCAACCTTGTAAGTTTTTTACCAATCCCTTTCAAAAAAAATTATTTAACGGCCATCATAAGAACAGTCCATTCATTAATTTTAACAAAACAATTACCAACTACCATCTAAACCACATCAACTAAAATCCGCGTGGGCTGCCGGGAACTTGCCTTTATATTATCTATCTACATCCAAATAACTGACTCCTTGGCGAAGAGACCCCATTCTTAATGGCCAATGGATTTATTCCAACCAGGCGATGAGTATTATTTGATGATAGCGATAATGCAAACTAAATATTCATGTTTAGAAACAAAGAACCAATTTCAGCTATTCAAAAAAAATCGAAACGATCAAAATTTATCGATAATTCACTATTATTTTACGAACTGCCTCATCGCAACAAATCTAATCGTTCGACAACTCAGTTCTATTATTTTTGAGAAGTCATCGAAAAATCAAATACGCAGTCCAGTTAAATGTTTATTTCCAAGGAGTGCCATTTATTAAATTATTATTCCGCTTTAACCGTACAGCGAGAAACATCCGAAGGGGAAGAAATATGTTAAAATATTGCTGTTATTGTAAATGGCTCAATGAAATGAATTCTTTTTTGCCAAATATTCATTGTTGCATTTGAGCAACAAAATATTTTTATTATATGGGTTGCCCAATTAATGAAAAAATTTTATAAGATTTTTTAAAATTTAACATAAATTATGTCTATAAACTATTATGTCTGAAGTATTTTAAAAAGGGCTGGTGAAAACTTTTCCTACTAAAAGTCATCGAAATTTCTTCGTCGATCTTCGAATTCAGCCATTCGTTATTTTGCAATTACAAATACACACATTCTGATATTTTGCGAGATCGTTATTCGATTTCTTCGCAATTACTGCAGTGAACATGCGATTATGAAAGACCAAAAAAGTTGAAAATTTTGATCGAAATACTGATTTTTAATTAGAAAAGAACCAGAATATATGATAATAAGAAAACAAAAATGATGTAGATGACATGCTATACTTCAGAATTAAGAGTGGTATATTTCGAAAAAGTCCCTAAGGACCCGCTTCGAACAATTTGTTTTTGTTTTAAGACATGGTCAGTACATAATCCATTTTGAATTTGATACTGCAGATACTAAAGTTAAATTAAAAAATTCTTTATTTATTTTGGTGAGCTCTTTTTTGCCTATAAAAAGGTTGGTAAATGTAAAAATTAAATATATTAAATTAAATTAATTATCGTTTAATGCAAAATTATGAAACACAAATGAAGATGATTAATATGGAAAGAAAAAATGAATATTTCTCAAATAACTCGTTTAAAATATCTCATTTTAGAAAAAAAACTTTTTTGAAGGGCACTCATCATCATCACTGATTAGACACATTGCGCCGTCCTGCTGAACTAGACAAATATGCTAGGTACTCATTTAGCGATAGAAGTAGAGATGAGTCGCCAGCATAACCCAGATTTATGGGCAGGTTTACTCCTACCCAGGAGTTTAGAATTTCACTATTTCAGTATTGACGCTCCGAATTGAGCAACAACCCACTGAGCTATTCTACTCTCTTTTATTTTTATCCGTTAGACGACAGTGCTGTCTGATGAAGAGTGGTGGGTCAGCGGATTCGAACCCAAGCCTCAATTCTCAGTGGTGAATATCTTTTCACCGATGCACATCGAAAAAAAATTAAACAAAAGCTAAAATATCGCACTGGTAATTCCACAAGATATTTCTTCGACGTGATCAAGAAAAAAAACTTAAAATTATTAGCATTAGTGCTGTTGAACAGATATACGTATTAAATTAATCCTTTCTATTATTACTATTCTACTATTCACTTTTTTATGTTCTATTCTACTGTTACTATTTCAAACTCACTGTGTGATTGAATCAATTTTTAGAATAAAATTCTTAATATGAATTAATTAATGAATGAATTTTTATTTTTCTTTTTTTTATTTTAAAATTCTTGAAAACAGAAAACCAAAAAAATGAAGACTCTTTTTGGCTGAGATTTTTAAGAAATAAGTTGAAGTTATTCGAATTTTTCTAAAAAAATTGTGACATATTGTTTCAGCGACAAAAATAATAAGGTAAAAAAAACAAATAATAAATTTCATTGTTTTTGTCTTTGAACAAGCAAAAAAATTAAATCAAGTTGGACTGTTTGGCTAACTGATAGAACAAAGAATTTTTATTCTCAAGAAGTAGCTCAGGTTTGTCGAATTCCGCTATATGACCATTTTCTAATACAAGAACTCTGAAAACGGCGTTTTAATTAATCAAAAAGAGGAAAGAAATAAGTAAATAAGAAATAAAAAATAAAAATAAACATAGAAAAGATAATTACGAAGGCTGAATGCAGGAAAAAGATAATATTGTTATCCTGCAACACGCAACAGAGAAAGTCAGCTATATAAATTCCGATTGTTTCTTTTTTATAAATCAAAAAAAAAGAAAGATAACATTTAAAAAGAGAAAAATTTAGATACTTCTATCTAAACTTAGGATAGGACCATGAATTTTTTACGTGAATTGCATTCTCAGGAAATATCAAGAGAACATAGTTTTTGATAAGGTAACAAAGTAAAACAATATTCAAGAAAAAATCTGAAGCTAATATATTTCCAATAACATAATAGAGAATAAGGAGGTTGCTAAAAATCTCAAAAAATTATAAAATATACCTGTCGCTGTCAATAACAGTATTTAAACGATGAGCAATAGTGAGTATAGTACAGTCAATGAATTGCTCTCGAATAGTGCGTTGAATTAAAGCATCTGTTTCAAAATCTATTGATGCAGCTGCCTCATCCAAAACCAATATTTTTGTTTGCCGAAGTAAAGCTCTAGCTAAACATAGCAACTGTCGCTGGCCTACACTATAAAAAAAGATTTAATTAAAATTTTCCTTTTTGAAGTTTCTCTAAAACTAGACTAATAAGAAACTTTAAACCGAAAAAATTGCAATGAAAAGGTGAAAGAATTTAGAAAAAATGCTGACATAACATTCTTCAGTAACCATTAAAATAAATATAACACCTGATAATATGATCAAAGTAGAATGAATACCAATAAATAAAAAAGATTACCTAAAATTTTCGCCACCTTCAGAGAGTTGATAATCCAGTTTACCACTCAAAGAAGATATAAGTGGTTCAAGATGGGCTAATTTTATTGCTCTCCAGATAGCTGCATCACCGAAAGCATCAAGAGGATCGAGATTCATGCGAAGAGTGCCCGAAAAAATTACAGGATCCTTAAACCATCATTATTAACATGAATATAAGAAAAAAACGGAAAGAATTCAATTTTGTATCGAAGAAAATTAGCAAGAAGATACAATCCATCGAAATTCAATAATTTTAAAAAATCCATCAAAATAACCAAAATATATATTTATCGATTAATTCATTGACTTTAATTTGATACGATAGTATTTGATACGACAATTTTTATGATATAATTATTAATCGGTATAGTAAAAAGACAATTCCAATACGATTCAAATAATAATATCTCATTACCTGTGGAACAATAGTGATTCTCGAACGAAGTGATTTAAGTGGCATTTGTGCGATATCTCTTCCATCAATGAGAATTCGACCAGAACATGGTTCAACTATTCGGAATAAAGCGAGAGTTAAAGAACTTTTACCTAAAAGCAATAAATCAGAAGATAAATGAAATCAAATTTAAAGATAATATTCTACAGTCAATAGCCTTAGTAAGAGAAAAAATTTCATAAAAATTTAAAACAAACCAGCTCCTGTTCTCCCAACGATACCGACTTTTTCTGACGCTTTGATATTAAGTGAAATATTCTTCAAAACGCATTCGAGATTTGATCTATAACGCAGCTCCAAATTTTCAATGCGTATTTCACCTTTCGAAGGCCAGTTTTGTGGTGGCTTCGGAAAACAGTCTTCATTATCACTACCCTATAATAAGTAAAGAACAAATGACAGAACAGTGAATAAATTTATCTGGTGCAATATTTCAATATTTTGGAAAAGGCTAAATATAAATTAATAAATATAAATAAATATAAATTAATTAGGATTAATCACCTCAACAGGGTTTTCACTATATTCCTTAATTCTTTCCACTGAAACAATATTCGTTTCGAGTTCGCTTGTCATTCGTACCGCCCAGTTTAGTGTTTGAGTAATCTGGACAAAAAAAGTTGAATTTTATGAAATGAAGGACACAGCAAGAATGAATAAATATTTTATTCCAATTATTCAGATTCCTACATTCCTAATAAATGAAAAAAATAAAATAGACAAGCAGATAATAAATGCTTCAATGTATTTTAGGTGAAAATGATGATACAAACGTTTAATGCATAAGTAAGCGACAGCCCTGCGAGACCTGCTGTCACAATTTCACTTTCACCATGCCGGCTTAAAACGGCAAATAAAGCCGAGAAAAAAACTATTAAATTGCCAATTAATTCCAAACGAACCGCAAGCCATCTATAAATAATGGATTATAATAAACCATTTTTTTATCAGACAATTTTCTAATTTCCTGCTTTTCTTATCTCTGGAAATAAAATAAAAAATAAAAAACTTTAGAAGATTTAAAGCTGATTTTGGTAATGACCTATAAATTTTTATATAGTCCTAGTCATAGATTCTATAAAAATTATATATGGTCTTGTTGATATAGATCCTGGAATGTTTTTTGATTTGTCAATGAAAGATCAAACTCAGGTATGACCAATACCAAAATAATTAAATTTAAAATAAAATGTTAACAATAAAATGTTAATAATTTCATAGCCATAATTGCTGAAAAACTTGAAAAAATTTATCAAAATAATTAAACAGATCCTTTAGCTTATCATTATTCCATGCATTTTATGGATGATATGTAAAAAATGTAAATGTAAAATATAAATGAATGTAATTTTTATTACTTTTATTTATTTCTTTTCGAATTCATGTTGTAATTTGGATTCTCCTCAAATAGATATCTCAATAAAACTCAATTTCTCTATATTTTTTGAAGAAGACAGGAAGATTTTTTTGCTCAAAGGTGTGCCATGCAAATTTACCTATTCGCCACTATTGAATGATAATATATAACTAGATTGTCGTCAATTTTCTGTTGTGATTCACGCACAAAATGATCAACACACTGATAAGCATGTATTGAAGTTGTTCCCTGGATAGATTCCTAAAAAAACAAATATTTACAAATAACCAATCGGAAAGAAAATAGAAAAATGAGATACAAATAGTCACTTGAAAATGAGAATAAATTGGAGATCTAGTCGCTGATTCTAGACGTTTCAGCTGCCTCGAAGTAGCCACATAAAAACGCTGAAAATGATAATTTTTTTATTCTAGAACATTTCAAAATATAAAGCATGCACATGCAAGATGTGACTGAGAACGATATTCACTGAGAACGAATGAAAAAGGTTCTCACATTCGTTAACTATTAAAAATAATAATTGGAAATCTTATCCAATGAAATCAAGTGCTAAAAAAGTTAATAAAATGCGAATATAAAAGTTTTGAAAAATTGAAAACAAAAATAAAATTGCTGCTGTAATAGCGCAGGCAAATAATAAATGAAGCATATTAATACTTTTTCTTCCTCAGGATACTTTTTTTCTGCACCATTCATCATTTCTGGCTAGGTTCCTTTCGCTATCTTATCGAATCAGACAAATTTTTTAAGGAAGAAAAAATTAGCAATAGAATCATAGGTAGGTTATAGATATGAATTACAGATGTCGTTAATACCACTCGGATTTTTGAGATTCACTCTTACCGAGATCTTAGAATAAGTGTTCCGCTCACAGCAATAATCCGCTCAGTCATTCTCACAATTTACTTCAGTAAATAAATTTATCTTATAAAATTATAATTTATTATGAATTTGCCCTGAGGAATTATGAAAAAGGTAGTAGAAAAAAACCATTAAATATAGGTAGATAATGCAAATAGCAGCAAGAACAATAGCGATCCATGGAGTGATTATGATTGGAATAATGATCATATGAATGCCTTGAATAATTGCACCAATCGTCGTCATAAGTGAAGATGGTAGTCGTGAATCTAACGTATCCATATCCTTGAAGAAATTTTTCTTTCATGCCTTCATCAATTTCGCTTAGCCACATAATGGGTGATACTTTTTGTTATCAAAAATTGATCCAGAAATTTGCTTCTTTATTTGTGAATTTATATTTTAAAAATAAAAAATAAAAACACCCAAAATGCACTTGAACGAAATATCCGAAAATTAAAGCAATTCGTCAATAAATTATAAATTGTCAATAACCCGTAAAGAAAATTATATAAGCCAAAAAAATTCTTATTTCTTGGTGGTAACAAAGCAGTAATTTGAAGAAATTTTAGGAACTGGTTAATGATAAAGAGGGAGCAAAAAAAACTATATGGTATAGAAAACTAAAATCTTCAAATTTTTTTACCACCAATAGTTTTCAATCAAATACAATAATGAAAGGCTAAATCATGCTAAATTGTAATTGCATTCAATTATTACATAATAATTGTCATGCAAAAAAAAAAAATTCGACTGCATCAAATCCAATTAAAAAACAGTTAAAAAGATTTTGAGCGAGACTTCTTCCAATCACTTTGCTAGCCATTAAAGCATATTCATCAATGCAAGCAATATTATTCAAAAATTACAGCATCATAGGCAAAAATAAATAAATGAAAAACCGAGCCAAAAATATGGGGGCGTACCAGCACATTGAAGTAGATGAAAGCCAGTACTGGGAATATAGCTAGAAAAGATGGTATTGAATAAGAAATGACGACCATTGTCATGGTGACTTCAAGAACGGTGTTAAAAAATGAACGAACTGCGAAACAAAAATTTGTATCGATTACTTCGATATCCTGTAGATTGAAGAAGGAATATGCTTAAATTAGGATTTTCTAACGAAACAAAAAAAATTCTGAATTTAAATTTAGAAAATTCTCTCAACCTCATTAAAATATTATCGACATCTTTAAGAAATATTGAAAATATTGTAAATTTCTCATCAACCAAAAAAAGAAAATAAAAAATATTAAAATGAATTTACAATTAATGATCAATAAAATTATATATTTAGCAAATATATATTTCCACAAGAAATTGGTAAAGAAGCAAAATTTTAGACATTAGTTTTTATTCTCTGATAAAAAGAAAGTTGAATATTAAAAGCTCGAATATAAAATAGGGCCATCATAACAATTAATCCTTAAGTTTATATTTTGTATTTTAACTAACTTTGCCAAATCGATTTAATATTCGCCCTGCGGGTGTGACATCAAAAAATGACATAGGAGAATTGAGCACATTATGCAAAATTCCACTATGTAAAGAACGACCAGCATATACCATCCCCATCGCCAATGTTATTGAAGCAACACATACTGCGATAACTGAAAACTGCTATAACAGAGATCAAATGTAAAACAAAGGAAAATAAACAGCTTTTTTCCGTTTATACCTTGACTCATTCCAAGTGAGGCATAAACACCAAGTCGCCAGTTTGTGTCATCCGCATTATTCACTGAAGTTATATTCTTCGCTTTTGCATGATCAGACCAATCAGCTAACCAAAGATTTGCCAAAACACCTAGTACCGACGAGAATATATATATAGAAAAAAAAAGGCAAGTAATAAAATATCCAACAGCTTTTATATATGAAAGATATATGGTCCATTTGACCTGAAATCGCAGCAGATTGCAATTAGCTTCTTCTTTTCACAAATTTTTTTGAAAGAAATTTTTCAATATCAAAAAATAGACAAAAAAAATCATTCTTTATTTCAGTAAATTCCAAATTCCACCTTTAATTTTTGCCTTATTAAGATATTAAAACAGTTTACTTTTCCAACTTCAACAGTTTCTTTATCGATAAGTTTTGATTTTTCATTAGTTCGAACGGCGATAAAATTTTTATCGTCCAAAAGCGGAACAGCCTCCATTCTTCTTTTTGATATATTATTATTTTCAGATTTAACTATTTCATTCTCATTCTTCAAAAAATCCTAAATATAGTCAAATAAAACTGAAAGAAAATAAATTCCGCCCTCTCGTTTTGACTAATGTTTTCAGCATTATTGAACAAAATCACAATAATTCTTATAAGTTCTTGCAGAAAATTAAATGAAAAAATGTCTATTAACTTCATTCTTGAATCTAACCGGTGCATTGGACAGCTGAATTGATCTTTTGGGACCAGCGGTGAGAATATTCTGATGAGAAGTTATGCTTAAGGTTGATTCCAGTCGTTCTCTTATCCCAATATCTGCTTTATCTACAGCATTCAAAACTTCTTTAAGCTCTGAAAAAATTGCGGAAAAAGGTATAAACGATTATTTAATTCCTCATTACTCATTCCTGCATCTCAGTTAAAAAGCACGAAATAATTTTGCCAATCCAAGAGAAAAGAATTTTGTTTAACACAGAATTTTACGAAAAATTTTATTTTTCTAATAAATTTCGAGCATTATAAACCTTCAACTTGTATTTCACTAACTCCTTCATCTTTCATTTCAGAAAAATATTCCTCAATAAATTCACCAAAGCGGCCCGATTTTGTAAGTTCATCATAAGTTCCAGTTTCAGAAATATATCCATCTAAATTAAAAATGATAATTTCAGAAAAAATTCAATGAAAAAGAAACAAGTACAAAATTTTTTAAAAAAATATAATCAAAATAATTGAGGCAAGCTAATAAATTCTTCGAAATCACCATTCATTATAATTATTTGATCACAATATTTCAAATAGTGCAAACCATTCGTTACTAAAATTCGAGTTTTTTCACGAAGCAATCCAGTATGAGACGCTAAAAAAGTCTTATAGACAATTAATATGCTGTAAAAATAATGCAAAAATTTTAATTAATCAAAATTATAAAAACCACTGTTTCACGAAAAATTTCAAGGAAATAACCGCTTTCTATTGTTTTTTCCTCAATTTAAATTTGATCATTGTCCTTTTAATCTTAATGTATAATAAATATAATAATTTGTTTTATAAAAGTAAAAACTTACACAATACATGATTGAAAATATGTTTTCCAACGTGCATATCAACTGCTGAAAGGGGATCATCTAAGAGAACAATATCCTTATCAGCGTAAACTGCGCGAGCCAAGCTTACACGTTGCTTTTGGCCTCCACTTAAATTTATACCCTAAAATTTCAAAATATATTTTTTTTAAATTTTGACCAATGAAATCCACTGAATTTCTTGAAAAGAAAAAAAAATAAAATTGTCACTCATCACAATCATTCATTCATATTTGTCGAATTTAAAAAAATATATTACCTTCTCGCCAATCTCAGTATGATCACCAGCTGGGAGAGTTTCTAAATCAGTTAGTAATGCGCATGACTTCAAAACAGAAAAATAAAATTGAGAAGAAAATGATTGTTTGAAAAGTATGTTATCTTTTAGAGACATATTTAAAATCCACGCTTGCTGAGGTACGTAAGCAACTGTGCCCCTAACATGTACTTCACCATCATGCTTTTTCATTTGCCCTGAAATACTGTATCAAGGTGGTCAAATTAGATGCACAATGAGATATATTTATTCTGTATTATCAAATAAATATGTGATGAATAAAGGAAAAGAAACTATTTAAAATTTTCTAAACTTAATTATAAATTGATATATAAAACAAAAAAATAATGCTAGGAAACAAACCCAATATTGCTGAAAGCAGGCTGGTTTTACCGCACCCAACTTTACCAATAATCGCAATGAGTTGACCTTTCTTTACAGTCAAATTTAAATTTTTTAATATAATTTCGCCGTTCCACGAAAAATTACCATTTTGAATAATTACCGAATTTTCTAAAATGATGCTGAAAATTGATTGAGAAATATAATATTTACTGTAATAAAAAAAATAGATCGAACCATGCCATTTCTCAGATAAAAAATCCTTTAGCAAAATATGGGCAAATTTTTGATAAAATAGCTTAGACAAATTCTTTTTCTTCTTCCATATCTTTCCATCTAATTGAAATTATCCACCTCATATTGATTTTGCATGAAATATTACAAATATCAAAAAAACCTGATCGATCATCTTCAGTAATTAATGCTGGTATTTCCTCATCAGTAAGAAAAGACTTTATTCTTGAATTGCTGACAAGCGATTGAACGGTTTGACTAAATACCATAGCAAATGTAGCCAAAGGGAAACGTAATAAATTGAAAAGAGATAAGCCAACAAAAGTCACTTGTGGTGTAAGCACATTATTTTCAGGATCAATATTAACATATAAACCAAATGTTAAGACAGCCACCAAGAATGGAGCACAAGCCCACGTAAGTGTAGTAGCAGTATTATAGAAAGCCGCCTTTCTTAATACTCGAATCTCTCTTTCACGAAGCTTTTCAATCTAAATAAATTAATCAATGAATTTAATAATAATTTAGTTCTATAATTTCATAAGAAAAAAAAATTTATGACGAAAATTATCAACATGCTTACCATTGCTTCGATATTTTCTTCCCAAGCATAAAATTTCAACACTTTGATTCCATTTAAAATTTCCGACATAAATTTAAGTCTTTGATCTTTATATTTCATCTGCACGGCCTGCAATACATAGTTTAACTAAATTTGAAAAAAAATTTAGAAAAATCTGAAAATATTTCAGGATTTAGAAAAACTGACTTATTTGATGACATAAATTTTAACTTTAATAAATTTTATTAAAAGGATTTTCATGAGATTAAGGAAAAACAAAGCGAACCTGACATCGCATCATTCGAACGGATAAAAATGAATTAATTGGAACGGTCGAAAATAATACTGCCACTCCAACAAGGACAGATATTCCTAGGAGGCGCCACAAAAAAAACAGAGAAAGAACCATCTACAATTTTGATAAATTATGGACAATAAAAATTGCAAAAAATATCTATAACTCTGAAAATTATAAGCCAAGGACCATTTGCAGAAAAAAATATTCTGAATATTGATTTTGTCCATAAAAAAAGTACCTAATGATTTTTAATCGATCCATCTCTTTTCATCCTTTCATTCTATTTCTTTCAAAAAAAATAAATAGCTGGAATTTAGATGAGGTTCGGTCGATTCAAACAGATACTAAGAAGTACATGGTTGGAAATGACTGCTAAAAAATTTTCATCTACGAATGATAGAATGTTTTTCAAAGCAAAAATTTTACTTGAAAAGGCGACGACCAAAAAAGCATAATATAATTACAGATATCTTGAAATCGTTGTATATCAACAGTCATTAAATTAACAATTTCACCAATTGTATGATTCTTCCTGGCAGCATTTGATAGAGACAACGCCTTCAAAATGAATAAATTAATTAAAATTACTAAAAACAAAACGTAAAAAAGGTACGCATGAAAAAATAACGAAATATATAAGAACTATATGTATCAAATATATTCAAAATTAACATACATCTAATAGGACAGTACACGGAATTTAACGAATATATTTCCTAGAATTCAAAAGGAAGAAAAAATATTCAATAAAATTCTACATACATACCTTTTTATAAACAGCTGATATTAAAGCAGCTCGAACATTCATCCCTAAAGTGAAGGTAAGGTGGAAATACTGCTGAAGAGTCTAAAATAATATATATTCAAGATTAAGAAAGTATTATTTGTTTATATAAAATTCCAAGCATGAAATCCATGGAGCCACTGGTCAAGCTTTTAAAAAACAATGCAAAATAAGATTTAAAAATAAAGTCAGAAGTAAAAAATAAGATAAAACCTACTAATGACTGGACTAAGGCAACGACAAACATTAGCAAAGAGAGTGCAATACCCATCCATAATGGTTGGCTACGATCTTGAATGAACGAGATAAATAAACTAAAAATTAAACCTATCATTTCGATAAATACAGCATATAAATTTCGATATCTTTATTCGCTGAATTTTGAAGAAGTAGAAATTAAAAATAAAAATATTCTAAAAAAATTTGTAAATATTTTAGAAGAGATCTTTCTCAAATATTCAAGCCAATGAAGATCGACGTGATTAATAAAAAAATTAATAAAAAGTACCTTAAAAGCTGAGGAGCCGTGAAAAGAAGAAGATCAAATATGAATTTCAATATGAATGCACTTAATAATGTGAAGCGGTATGTCTTGAAAAGTGCCCAGACTACTGATGGCATATCATTGGTCTTGCCAGCCTATAGTAAACAAAAATAGATTTGAAATACATTTTAGTAGTTTTAACGGCATATCTCCCAAGAACTAAAAATTTAGTCTATAGCGAACCTTAGATGAACTGGACTCCACAGTGACTATCTTGCGATCTTGATAAGCTGAAAACAAAGGCAGTAGAAAGAGTCCACAAAATAAAATAAAACATTTTATGCAATAATCTTTACTCTGAATATTATTATTTTGGATCAAATAACTGGACAGGGGAGATTCAGAAAACCTTGAAATGATGGCATCCAGTGTTTATTGAAATCAGATGCAACATTATCGGATAAATCTTGATCGTTTAAATCCCACAAGTCTGATATTTCCAGTGGTCGTTTATATCCGGTAATAGCCAACTTAGTAAACCAATGAAATGATACTTTGTTAAGGAACGAACAAAATAATTCCGGTGAAGCTGAAATCTGAATTAACAATACTGCAGATCAAAACAAGATAAAAATTAAATTAATTAAAAAATTTTTTAAAATCCTTGGACAAACAATATAAACAAGTTTTTAAACAGAAATCATTTTTCTCCTTTTTAATCTTAACTAACATTGTAATTACCACTGAATAAAGTATTGAAAAATCTTACTTCTCACTTCTCTTCCAAAATAAAAAGATTTTTCAGCAAAACAAGATGAAATAAAGCCGGTACACTTTGATATATAAACAATTAAATGGATTGAAAATTCGATCGCACTATAATGCTGGTCCTGAAAAGATTCAATAAAAACTTATAAAAAAAAACAATGCTTTCTAACTTCTCGATTTTAGTAAAAACAGAGAATTAATTTTATATTTCTAGAGCAAAATAAAAAGAGCATGAAATTTTTACTGCTTCAAAAATTTCAATAAATTAAATTTCAATAAATTAAGCTATTAGTTATATAACTAACCGAATCTATGAAGATAAATAGTTGTTGTTTAAATTCGAACAAACCACAAAAAACCATGAGAAGCCAAAAATTAAACAAAACACCTGAAGCAGTTATACCACGATTTCGACAACCAATCATAAGTAATACTGCTAAACTAAAAGCCACCATCTGCACAGATCGAAGTAGAAATAAATTGGGTTTTATAATGTTAGATAAAATTTGTAGAAATTCAAACAGCGACACAATGATTGTACAACACAACAACAAAATTCCAAGAATCTACAACAAATTGATAGTTTTTTTATAAAACAGAATATATAACTAGTGAATTCAAAGATATTTTAAAAAATATATACATATATACAATTGTTTTTAAAATCTTATCGAATGAAACAAATATGTTTAATCGGTAAAAAAACGTTTGGAAAACATTTGTCCTTAAATTACGTACGATACGAAGTGTAACTGGCGACATAAAACTGATTGATGCATTTTCACTCTTCTTGAGATCGTAAAGAACAATAGGGAATGCAATTAAAAGAAATATAAATGGAACAAATAAGATTAAATTATGGAAACACTCCGATAATTGAACAGCTGTTGAATTATTCGAAATTGAATATTCGAATATCTGAAAATAGAAAATAAATGGTTTGAAAATGCAATATTGTGCATTAAAATAAAAAAAGAAACGATGCTTTTCCGCTGTGTAGAAAGAAATAGAAAAATAGAAAAATAAAATTTTTTTTGAAGCAAAAATTTGTATATAAAAATATAAACGGGGAATAAAAGAAATATTTGCCAAAGACTTAGCTAGAAGCATAAGCATTTTCCTCTTGTCGAAAGAAGATGAACCAGATGAACCATTTAACATTATAGTTTAAAATATAAACCGCTCGACTATTTTTTTTTTTTCAAAGAAATGAAAGATAATTGTTATGAAGGTTATAAATTATATAAAAAATATTCCTCTCATTATTCTAATATCTCGTAAATTGTTGGTCTGACTGCTTCCACTACAGATTTCTTCTTCAACTCATTATTACTGGTTAGACTGGCTCCAATGGCTATAAGGGTAAAGGATCGCGCAACTGGCGCGATCTGGCCATCGTCGACAGTAATAGAAGCCATTCCTTTTTTCATCGTCTAAGTCCATATATTGTTGGTCCACTTATACGTTCAAAATCTTTTCCGATCTTATACAGGTCTTGATTGGCCTACCACGTTTTTAACGCCACCTATCATACGGTTTAGCAAGTAACGAAATACGCGTCAACTCCTGTGGTGGATGACGTAGAACCTGTCCTAACTAGCGAAGGCGATGCTCTGTGATTTATTAGTGGAGGTGGTATTTAAATGAAGGTGGATGCGATCATGTAATACTTTATCCTCTCGACGGATCCGTAATATGTGCCTTAGATAAGAGTGGCCAAAAGGAGATAACTTCTTAATATCCTCCACTATCATTGGCCATATCTAAGAGCCATATAGCAAAATCGAACGGATCAAGGCTATAATAAATGCGGACTTTCATTAACCGGAAGAACGCTTTTCTAGCTACCGTGATCGTGTTATAATATCGTCTTTTGCCTGGCCATTCAGTAATAGAGTGGACTCAAGGTATTTAAAATCCGCACTTCTTCAACCGGCAATGAATTTATAAAAAGAGACACATCAGCTTCTTGCACATAGGACGAAAATACTTTCGCTTCATTTATATTGACTCTGATTCTCGCTGCAGTTGCTGATATGTTATTTAACATTATTTGTATTCCGTCATAACTATCAGCAAAAAGGACTACATCATCAGCGTATTCAAAATCTGCGATACGATGCTCTAGATTGAATTGGACTCGTGTTGGGTGCCGACAAGCGATGTCCATTATCCAGTCTATCGCATAGTTGAATATTTGAGGAAAAAGACACAACTTTGAGGGACACCAGTTCCACTAGCGACTAAGGTAATACGGAGTTTAAGAGTTGTTTCAACCTTCGCTATAGAGCCACTAAAGGAAAAGTACAGGTTGGTCCCGAGAACGACTCGCACATTTTAAGATAATCTAATAGTTTACTTCCAGCATTCACATCCATTTACTGACATAAAATCTCGTCTTAAACGACTTGAAAGTACAGATGGATCAACACTCAGATCTCACCTTTTAAGTGGAAAGAATCAAATCTGCAATGATCGACCTCAACCGAAGTAAGTACCACTCGGCCATGCTAACCCTACTAGGCTATTCATTTAGAAGAAAGGAATTTATTTAATAGATATTCGCTGTAGTCCATACAACACTAAATACTAAATATTAGAAATTAAATTAATTAAAATAAATAAACAGAGTGATAAAAGAAACCAACTTGAAACTGCTGGCCGTTGCAAAAGAAGTTCGACAAGAAATGCATAATTTCCACAGCAAATCGAACTGATGCAAAGATTCCCGAATTATTAATGGTTCCCTTGTGATAAATTGTGAATTCAAAAAATACTTTTTTCGAAAGAGCTATTAAAATTAAAAAAAAATTTAATTTTAAATTGAACAAATAAATAAATAAATAAATAAAATATGGAAAATGAGAGGCCTATAAGTGGTTAGAACTCGGCATTTCTGCTTGCGCGCATAACAGTTGGCAATTTCGCGAAGGAGTCGGCTGGGATTGAAGTAAAGTTGAGCGAGCACCATTGGGTTCATCGGCTTTATTTAACGGGTCCACCGCCCTCCCCACCGGGGACGTTTCTTTAGCGATAATGAAATTTTTTTATCTATTTTTTAATCAAAAGAAAGGGACTGACGCACGATGCGAACCATCCCTTTTTCTTTTTTGCCATAAATTGATTTTTACCAGTTATCGACAATTTTTTGCTGCATTTCACTTGATAATTTAAATATTTAAATTGAACAAAGAAAATATAACCCTACTCGCCGCTGATTTTTACACAATACAATCAAAAATTCGACGAAAAAAGTTGCAAAAACTATTTTCATGGCCATTGAGTCATTAAAAACTCGACCGCAGCCGTAATTTTTTCATCGTAGTGCTGCAATTCTATCGGCTAACGGTCGATGCAGCTATAACAGATTGCTTTGTCCGTATTAATAGAGCGGTGAAGTAATAAAGGACTCGGAGGAGGCTTGGTCAGGTGCTTCAAGCGATAGGAAGTGGTGTGCATAATGAAACAAAATGGGTCCACTGGCATTGAAAATTGCATCCATCTATTTTTTAGACTTTATGTAAGGGAGAAGGAAGTCGAAGAATTCTTGTTTTGTCAACCACTCGAAGTAATTACTGAAGAAATTGATTTACTCGATTATATCAGAATTTTTTTCTGAAGCGTGGATTGCATATGGGTGTGGTGAAATCGATCTGTACTGTAAATGCTGGTGAACGGTCAGTCTGACTCCACATGTTAGCAAAAACCTCGTATGGTGAACTACTGCAATGATATAGGATGAACAGCAGGCGCAGAATGGCAGAGTCACTCAGAAATTATCATTTCGGAGAAGAGGGAGGTGACTGTACTTTTATTTCGAAATGACTCTCTGGCGAAAAAAAACTTGTCCTAACAACCAGTGAAGCAAATCCAGTTAAGTTACTTATTTGAAAATGAGAACTGTTAAAAAAAGACGAAAAATTGACAACATAGGGTTGAATAGAATTGCGCTTGGAAACAGACGATAGCAATATATAAGGGGATTTGAGCTATTTAGTTGCGTTCTTTATTTGCAGGAGATAGTTAGCTGTGGTCAATTAATAGATATTATTTTTAAAAGAATCTTGTCTTGCGTGTGGTAATTAAACCGTTATCGTCAGTTACCATGGAAATTTGACTATCCATGAGAATATATGATCTAGATGGTAATCATAATTGATAAGAAAAGAGTGATAATGATTGCGGATAATCATTTGAACAGATAGGCATCGAGTAATAGATGGATATAATTTCAGAACATAGATGTATTAGTACACTATAGGCTGTTTTACTTTTTTTAATGACACTTCATAACTTAAATGCATAATATTTGGAAATTAAAGGAAATAAAATCGTTTATATTCATTTGTCAGAAATTTCAAGGCAGCCTGAAATTATATTTTACTTTTGAAAAGAGTCAATTAATTTTTTTTTTGTTTCGCTATCCTTCGATCCTTTTGAGAGTCAATTCTATGAATTTCCTCCTGATAAAACGGTTTATCGTACTAAAGAATAGCGCAGACGTATCTTCGATTCATTTTGTTAGTTTGATATGAAAATAGTACATATCCATACAAATTAGTACATATCCATGCTATGCAAAAATAGTCTAAAAAAAATTTCCCTTTATTCGTCATTTCGAATATAGTCATTTTATACAATTCAAAAGGTAAATTTTCTTATAACAGCTCGCATTATTACAGGTTTAATTCCACTGACTGGTAAAAGTGAGGCGCCTTTTGATCCAGAAGATAATAAAGATAATGCCACTTCGATTTCTCAACTCATTTCCAAATTTTTTTGGATTAAAATAATTAATGTATGAAATTTCATTTATTCATGATGATGTCATGTTAAGGAAATGGGCTTATCGTTTTGAAATATGTAATAGAAACTGGCAATTGTTGTTCCTCTTTTAAATCTCTGATAAAATCTTGATATTGGAGATATTTTTCTCTCAAATCTGTATCGTCCAGCAAGATATGAAAATAAATATAGATCTTTAAAACTTGTTCATTAAAATTGATTGTGATTATGTAATTTTTGACGATCTTAATATATCAATCATATGCTGGAAAGAAGTGTGAAAAACAGTAGCATTGAAGAATGCTTTCTAGACTTTTATGCCCTTATAGGTCTAGGGCAGCAACATATCAAGATTGCCACCAGGCACAAAGCCACATTAAATGTTGTATTGGCTCTTCTATTTCTTTCTAAAATATTATGTATTATGTTAATGTCCTTGAACCTTTTTGTGCCACCACAGTATCACAGTATCATTCATGAAAATTAGTGAAAATAAATTATTGTAACCTCTCCTCCTCGATATATTAGAAGCCACCGTAGTTATTAAATTTTTTCCTTGCAGAAATTTGTTAGAATTTCATATTTTGTTTATTGACCAAAAAGTTAGTTTCTTCGATGACACCGTACGAAATTAATATATTCTTCTAAGAAAATAGGCGTTAGGTCTATTCCTCTTCCCTTAAAATCTTAAAAAAATATAACTTTAAAAAAAGCGTAAAAAATGAAACTTTAAAATTAATCAAATTCCCATCTCTCTACATATAAAATATGCTTGAAAAATTCCATGGTATGAATACCATACATACTTTTCTAATAAAAGAAGAACAACTTTTAAATGCGAATAGAGATCTCTTTTCGAATTATATTTTAAAAAAAGTTGTATGTCCACGAACACAAATAACTGCACCGTAATGATGAATAATGAATATTCGTTGGGGTCGTATAAAATATTTTTGGAGTCTTTCAATTATTTTACTTGATTTACGATATCTCGGTGAGAAAGATGTACTGCTGTAGTCAGGAAGAGGCCGAATGAACGCTTTCCACATTTTGATAAGAAAACCTTCAGTTTTGTTCTTAAACGGACGAAAAATATATCTTTGAGGATTTTTTTACCATGGTTCTGCAGTGAAGGCCCAAATCGATTTTCATCCATGATTATTCCAAAATCGTAAATGAGACTTGAAACTCTTCTGATTATATTACCATTAATAAAAAGATCAGGAAAATCGAATTTTTTAGAATTGATATGAAGAACGCTACACTTTTGAAAAGAAAGGTAATTTCCCTGCCATAAATAGCAAGCTGGCTATTCTGTTGAGGTCCTTCTGCAGTGGTGATAGGCTATAGGCTATCTGCTCTACTATGAGAATAATAAATTTTACAATCATCAGCATAAAGATAAATGGTAGAATTTGGTATTACTTTGGTGATATCATTTATACATAATAAAAAAAGCAATCGCGCAATACAACTACCTTGAGGAACGCCGGATTGAACGGGTTTCATGTCAGAAACAGTGCCTGATACTGTTTTCCCATTGTCAATTGGTGCTGACCAATCGGAAAGGTTTGACAATTTTTGTGAAGAAGTAGATTTTTTCGTAAAAATGCCATACTAATAGGAAGATATGAAATTATTGGTATCAAGAAATTAAACAACTTGTTGCAACCATAATCAACCTTTCTACTTTGTTATATGTAGGCTAATAAGCCTGTAATTAGAAAAATCATAGGTGCTTCCTTTTTTATGAATGGGAATTACATGAAACAATTTCCAAATTTTGGGATTAAGGCCAGACTTCATAAGATCCTTGTAAATTAGAAATAGGAGAAAACTCAGAGAGAAAACTGAAAACTGTACTGTTTTTAAATTATTTGCGGAATATTGTAGGGACCAGCTGAAATGAACGGCTTAAAGACATCATAAACATCCATTAGTGTTATTTCAATCTCACCGAGAGAAATGCAACAAATTCGATTTACGTTAAAACAAGTATGAGTATAACCGTCAACAAATGCACTGGAAAAATATTGATTAAATTCATTTGCAAAATCAATATCAGAGGTGATTACCATTATGTTGCAGAATCATTTGTTAACGTGGATGCATAAATTTTCTTTTAATATAAGTCTGGAAAGAATTTCTAGTGATATTTAAAAATTACTCTTCTTTATATGAAAAGTAATTATGAACAGCCTGCGCAAACTCTTTAAGCATTCTTTATACGCAGAGAGGTCACATGGCAATTTGGTTAAATTGTTAATTTGTATTTAGTATAAAGCTTCTTGACATTTTTTTAAAGAAATTTTAGAAAAAAATGTAAAGGCGATTCAGCGGCATATGGGCTGCTTAAAATGTGGGAAAAGGAGTGGTTTCTGTTACTCTCAGGTAGGACAATGGACCCAGCAGCTCACCGTCATGGCAACACCGAAGTCAACCGAACCAGTAACGGTGATGAGAAAATGAAAATATGATAAATTCGCTCATAAATTATATTATCTAAAAGAATAAGGAGTTTCTACTAAGAAGAAATAAAAATGTGCACTCGAAAATCAATGCTACAAATTTGGGATTCGCGAAATCTTGCGTTGATGCAAATGGTTATAGATGAATCTTGGCTAAATTGAATCAGCTGGTTAATCGCCTATGGGTTCATATTTTGACTCGATAATGATATTGACGTTGCAAAACACCGTTTAAGACAAATTTTCTCGTCAATGCACCATTCAATACCTAACAGATGCGAACAGATGATTGAAATGATAACCTAAGCAATACACCACTCGACTACGATAAAATAAATGAATCAGGTAAATAATAAAATAAACCGGGTATAACTAGAGATATCAATGGCTTTGATGATAACGTTGGTGGCAAATCACGCATCCAATTTTCACCCATCGTTATCGCCTCACTTTTGCTAAATGCTTTGCTGCGCACAATAAATCATTAACTAAAATAAAAATAAATAAATATCACGTTAACTTGCAGCTTGCGCACCAAGATAATATCCGTTGCTCGAATCTCGTTAAATTCTTTGCTCAGCTGGTTGCATCCCCTTTAAGATTCTCCCAACCCCACTCCGCTAGTACTCTATCCTCTTAAAATCGTCACCAGCTTCGGTACATTTTCCGCCTCAACAGGTCTGTCAAAGCATTTTATGTTCTTATATTGTTTGCTGGTAAGTCATTGAATTTGCCGGTCTTCTTTACGATTAATTAATTTCTTGACCATATTCTTAAACGAAGCCAAAGACCAAACTCTTTCTTTTCAAATTTTCTCCTTTTTCTCCTCTTTTTCATTTCCTCTTCTCCGTGTTCTCTCCAACTGTGGCACTATTTCTCTAGAAATAATTCCTTCTTTCCGCCTTCTCACTCGCTATTCTAATCTTTTAATGAAAAGACCGAAGTCCTTGGATCTCTAATCCCAATGGTCAGACAAATCGTAACCAGGATAATGACAGCTAAAAATGTGCTTTTCCGGTTGATAAAACCTCTATGGAATCGTCGCGAAATCACCATGAAGACGAAAATCCGTATCCATATAGCTGCAATTCGCTTGATCTTGTTATATGGCTGCGAAAAATGGCCAGTGCGAGTGGAAGATATTAAGAAGCTATCAACCTTTGACCCCACATGTCTAAAATTTTACGGATCTATCGAGCGGTTAATATCACACATGATTGTATCCATCTTCGCTCAAATACACCTGTATTAATAATGTTATCATAGAGCGTCACCTTCGCTAGTTAGCGCAGGTTCTCCGTCATTCTCCACGCGTTCATTGCTAAACCGTATGATGATTGGTGTCAAAAGCGATGTGGGCCAATCAAGACCTGGACAGAAAAGATTTGAAACGTATAGGAGTACTAGCGATATATGGAATTAGGCGGTTGAAAAAGGAATGGCTTCTATTGTTGTTGACGATGGTGTCGAATCGAATAACTTGGAGACGTCTTATGCCAGCCATCCTAACCAGTAATGGTGAGAACTGTTAGAAGAAGAAAGAAGTCGATATAATTGACGTGTGTGAAACGACCTTAAGACCACATCTTTAATGAAGCAAGTTCTAGCGATATTAAATCGAGGAAAAGTAGTCATAAGGATTTTTTTGATTGAAATATGGTAACTGAGATGAGATGAGATAGAGCTTCTTTATTGAGAAATATATTTTTGGCGACAGTCCTTGTTATCCTTTAGGCGAGAAGAAAATGAAGAATTTTGAGGAAGACTCATAAATATTATTACTATTATTATTGTGAATTTTAAATTTATATGATAAAATTGTTGTTAATGGCTCAAAAATTCGGTGATTTCAATCCGTCAATATCCGCCAATTTATATGATTTTATCATATAAATTGCTTCATCCCTTTGGGAAAAATTAGGAAAACCAGAGTTTGTGGACAATTTGCCCCACCTTATACAACTTACTTAATCTTGTGCATTTTAAGTCCATTTTACCAAAAATTGTCGGTTGTATATCGCCTGAATCACCATATATAATTACGTTTAATTAGATAATTACATTTCCTCTGGCTGTAGTAAATCTATCATTAAAAATCCGGGTAATTTTGTAGACAATCTGAACTTTTATCTCCAAATGACTCTCTGGCTCATCCTGTCGGAAATACCGAAATAATAAGCGTTTTCCCGTGCTTAAAATCGTGAGTCAGCTATCTAATCTTCTGATCTTCTAAAAAAATCCTTTTTTTTCTGATTTCCATACATCTTTTAATTAATTTAATTACTTCTAAGATTAAATCATTAAAATTAAAATTAAAATTAATGACTGATGATATAATTCTTTATTAATTTTTTCAGATTTCTTGTCTTTTTTAGTCAAAATCATTTCTTGTTTTAGAGATTTGTATCATATAAGCCTAAAATTAATTTGAAATTCGAAATTTAATGAATCGTGAGAATATTGATAATATTAAAAAAAAACTATATAAATTATTGCAAGAAACCCAAAAATACAAATTTATTCAAAATTCTTTTAAAAAATTCTTTTAAAAGAATTATTATAATTATAATAGCATAAACAACAAGGATAATATTTAAGATCAATTGGTGATTGTTTAACAATTTGCTAAGGCAATGTTCTCCTCATAATATCACACACTTTCACACGTTTTCGGACTGAAAATTACATAATATTGCAGCATACCTTTTCGGGTACTGAAAGTTGCGTATAATATTGCTTGTTTTTTTGCAACATCCAAAGAATTTGTTGAAAATGTGATGGTTGTGGTAATTCGGAATCGGATAATGCCAGTTCCTGGAATATTTAACTTTTATATGAACTTAACGATTCAAGATCGTGAGAATATTGATAATATTAAAAAAAAACTAAAATTTAAGCTAAATTTGATGGATAAATTTGAACATATAGATGGCACAGGGATTAGATGGCAGAAAAATGGATGGCTTCAGTTACTTCCAGATATACAATTAGATCGGAAAAGTCTTTCTTAGTTGCCACTGCAGCCAGCCAAATGAATATTAGAAGAAAAAGAAAAAATTCGAGAAAAAAACAAAAATAAACATCTCCGGTATCGAAGGCATTTACTCGTATATTCATTCCTTCAAAGCAATCTTCTTCGCAGCGAATCTGCAAAATTTTTGTTTTTTGATAAGAAAAAAAAATATACAAGATAAAAAAGATAAAATAACTGGTTTTTCTTATTATTTCACGATGTTTTCTTCTCCAAAAATTTCTTTATATTTTTGTAGAAATATCAAAGCTGGATACATCTTGATGAATGACGTTGGATGAAAATGTATTGTAATCTGGATTAAAAGTTGCCATGTGAATTTGCGGTGAATTCATTTCTGGATAGCCATATTGCTAAATCAGGATATCTCATCAGATAAATTAAAAACTATTTGAATAAATGAAAATTTAGCTGATTTTATTTTGCTGATTATCATAATTTTTTATTTATCTTAATTTCTTAAAAATAAAAGGAAAAAACACGGTAAAAGTGTTATAAAAGTGTTTTGTAACAAAAAAATTAATTCTAATGGAATGATATATATATATATATACTGACTGTAATCGAAGTAATGTATTATGTATTTGAGATGAAATAATTACTGAAATTGTCGGTCTGAAGGTCAGCTCTTCAATTTCAGCTTTGAGACTTCGTGTGGTTGAAGCAGGAGAGTCAATAAAACGATTATCTTCAAAATGTTGCAATTTTTTAACCAAATGGTCTTCGCTCAACGATTCGTCCATTTTTCGACCTAAAAATTAAAGAATTTTAATTACTGAAAAAGAAGTTATAGATTTTCGTTACCTTGAAGTTGATAATCAAGCTTGCGAACTTCCTTTGAACTGATGCCATCTACACATAAAGCAGAATCCATAGCATCCAAAACAGCTCGAGAAGCTATTTCATATTCTGAAATTAGACCCAAAATATTAAAAATCTGGAAAATATTAACCATTTTATGACAGTCTGGCCGATAAATATTATGATTTAAGAGATTTATTGACCTTAGTGGACATTATTATTAACTAAACGAATGCTTGAAAAAATTCTATACTTTTCATCTTCCAAATCTTATATTTATATTTATCTGTATTTATCTAACGGAATTTTTCTATTATTTTTCACCGTAATTTTTTTAGGAAAAAAAGCATTTTTATATGAAATTTATAAATCTCGTTGTAGATTAATTCAATCTAAAATTCGAGATTTTTATTAAATTTTCACCTGGTTCATTATTGGTTCTTCCGCTTCCTTCACCACTTGTTCGATCACCTTTAACCACTGCATCATACTGAAAAGCAAAATTATTTTTTGAAAAAAACAACAAAGCTGCAATGATCAAAGAATATATCTTGCAAAATTAAAAATGAGGAAAAGTACCAGAAGATTATCCCATATTTGGAGCTGTGAGTCAGATAATTCCGGACATGACGCACCCAATGTGCTTTGTTCTATAATCGTTAAATTTTTTTTGTTGCCTTCCTTGAAATGCATAAATATATAGGCTACGACATCAATTGTATATATATTATATAATTTCTCAGCATGAAAAAAACTGTTCCGATTCGATAAAAAGTAAACTTCCATTTTTTTTGATAGTTTATAATTAATATAATAAATACAAGGGCAACAATAAAATTTTCATATAATTTCGATAATAAAATTAGAAAATTACAAAATATTAGAAATTGTATCTGAGAATAGTTCGACGCCCATGCATTATGTGATAATTCTGAATTAAGTAATCACTATTTCTAACCATCATTTTTAAGTAAATTTCTCACTCAGCTAGCTATATCTGGGTTTTCAGGATTTTTTAAGAGCAAGTTCACTCTTGCCAGTGTAGGGAACAATGGATGAAAGTGGTACTCATGGTGATAGAACTACTTATTACCTTATTCAAAGCCGGCTCAGATGAAACTGTTTGTAAACGAATTTGAGTAGATTCTCTTGTTGATGCACTATCGGAATCAACTCGTGTACAAATTAAATAAGGAATCTGAAATCCAAAAACTTTCTTTTAATAATTTTTGTTCATTATTATCATTTAAAAGCAAATGTGAAAAAGTTCTCAATCTACTTAGTCGCAAAACAAAATTCGAACAACAAAACTACCTCTTCACTAGAGAATCTTTTATTTTTGCGGTTGCGCTTCCTTCGCTTCTTTTTCAATATGACAGCTGGAATTGGTGGACCTATTCCTGCTTAAAGTAAAATCTTTGAAAGAAATGACAAAATAAGAGATTTCTGAATAGCGCTATGTGGCTTAAAACCTATTGATTAATAAAGTTTTGATTATTTTATTATAAAATTTATTTTTTTCAATAAAATTAGAAAATATTAAGTGAAAAATAACACAGAAGTCGATAAAAAATAAAAATAATACCTGGAATTTGTGCGAAATTCATCGAATACCCAGCAGGTGGAAATCTAAATCCTGGATTAAAAAAGAAGGGAGGATTATTATGAAGATTAGGAGCAGGGTACGCGGATGTTAATGCCTGTGGTACCAAATAATGAGGTTCATGTCTCATTTGAAATGGGGCTGAAAAATTTCTCATGGGTATTTGTTTCATATTAAATGAAAAAAATTTAATAACCAAATTCATCTTATAGATTTGACCAAAGATTTGCATTTTGATTCATTTGCAATGCAATGCAATTTCAAAGATTACGTTTTCATTTGTTCCCGATCTACGGCAAATTAATAAGGTGAACAGAAGTATAAATGAGAAGTAAAATGATCATTTGGCTATTACTTCATTAGATGAAGATATTTTTTAAATTAATAATAGGGTAACATTACTGGCAGTGCATCCATATTTTAGATGTTTGCTCTGTATACTGTATATTTTCGACCCGAAATGTGTGTCTGGACTCTACTGAGGTAAGGTTTGAACATGAATGAAAAAATTCAACAATGTTTACTGTCTGTTCTATCCACCAGAAAGTGAGCAAAACTGACTTGCATCATTATCACCTAACACTCACTAATTCTGATTCGACGCTCTCCACTAGCTATTAAAATAACTAATTGGACCCTATCGCTCGAGAGTCCAGTGGCGATACAATTAAGTCCCCATCACCACTCGAATTTCATTTTCAATAATAAGTTTATTATCGTCAAGGATATTGCTAATTTATGTAATTGCTAATAAATGAAACACAATGGAGTGAAATGAATAAATATTAGAATAAATATAAATATAGGTAAATAAATACCATGTGGAGTAAATATTGGTTGTGGCATATTAACAGTTGTTGAAAGTTGACAAAGTGGTTGTGACGGTTGGGAGTTGATCGGACGTAAATGTTTAATTGTTGTACAACGATTAATAAAATTTGGAAATTGCATAACCTCTACAACTGTTCCATTATCAGATCTCCAATTAGACTGCATTCTGAATTCAGCACCATTGAACGATTCTTGTAAAATTCGCCGAGACTTTGGAATAAATTCTGGCGCTTTTGCCCATTCTAAAATATTTTTTAGAAGCATTATAGTAGCAGTTAACTCCTTCAAAATTTTTGCCACGGATTCTTAAATGGTACCAGAAAAACCATAGATCCCTCAGTAAAAACATTTTTAAACTTCCAAAATATTTATTAAACTTTCCCTTAAAAAAGTTTTGAATGAATGTAATAAAATAAAATAATTAAAAATGATTTGCTACCATTTAAATAAAATAGAATAAAAATATATAATTCGAACTAGACTTCTCCAGATCTCCTAAGAGTCACCATGGAACTCAGACTCATTCCACTGGCTGTTAGTCGGATGAAGTCAGTTTAGACTGCTGCTTAGGACAGAAGTATAGGTAGATTCTTAGCTTATCGTCCAGACACAGAATCACTTCTACGGAAATCAGTAAGGAACCACTCGATTATCCTGGCTCTATCCAATTCCTATTTAAGTATTTTGCTTATAAAAAAATTTCTTTTGCATTCCCAGTAAAAAAAGCTAATAATAAAACAGATTTTTACGATAAAATTTACGATAACCTACCTCATTTACGATAAAATAGATAGAATGAAATCTTTGTTTAATTTAAAAAATTTAGTTAAATAAAATAAAAATAACCTTTAGGGTCGATTTTAGACGATTTAATCAATGATGAATTGAATTTTTTATCATCAATTGATAAGTTGTCTGCTTCAAGGAATTTTTTATGCCAGTATGATTGTGGTGGACGATCTTCAGCATCAAAATAAATGTGACCAAGCCGTTCCATCGCTTTCACTTAATTCACTACGTATCAAAATTTTTCTTTTCTTTTATAATTTTATAGTTGTTAATTTTGATAAACTGCAATAATTTTTAAAACTAATCATCAATGAATTTCAAACGACGCATTTTGAGATTTTTGAGAACACTGGTGACTTTACTTACGGTTATCCACAAATATACGGTAGCATAGTACAACCGAAGCAAAAGCCCGAGCGCGACATCTGTATGACAGAATTTAAATGTGAAGACAAGAACTTTATGGCCAATTTAGCTATAGCGTTCCCATAAAAATAGGACAGAAATAAACGAGAGTTTCTAAAATATAAGAAAGAACATTTTTGAAATGTCGCATTTATAAATTATATAGAACACTGCTCAAAATAAAGATATTTTTTTCCAAGAGTTCTAAGTTAAAAGCATCAAATATTGAAGCGAAAGAAGTGCTGGAAAAAAGTTTGAATTTTCGTTGGCACACAAAACATAGATAGAAGAGCTGGTCTGTCCCCAGCGCCATGCAGATTTTCATTTTTAACAAGATCTACCATCTACTTTGAGTGCTGTCGAATTACTACCGACTCACAAGTTCCACAATACTACGAAGATTTTAGCTACAACATAAATGGACCAATTACTGTGGTTAATTATAAAAGAGAAAGAGAAAAATTTCTGCTAAATTTCTGCTCTAATGTGAAATAATTTACGATGAACCTCGGACAGAAAAATTCCCGAGAAAAATAATTCTTCTGTGGAACCAAAGTTCTATTGGACAAAAACAGAAAATAAAATTAAAAATCGATATGTAATAAGAAAACTTTCGAGAAACAATGATAGAATGGATCTCAAAATCGTGCAAAGAATCCATTCGATCTTCCTATTTATTTATTTTAAACAAAAATTTAAACTTATTTAGTGAAACAACTGTTGTCTGAAAGAAATACGAATTCACAGAAAAAATTTATAAAGTTTCCACCATTAAAACCTAATTTCTTCTTCATTAGATTCTCACAATCCTCTAAGTTCCAACAACGACGATGTTAAATTACGGTAGCAAGTGCTTTATGCTCGATGCCTTCTACGGTTACGTTCCACTGGTTGTGCGATTTTCGTCCGGAATCATTTGACGGTAAAAACGCAGGTGAATCACTACCAGTAATCGGAAGTAATATGTATTCTTCTAGATTTTATAGAATGAAACAATACAGAACCTGGGAAATCGTTGTGTTAAAGGGCGAAACTCTCGAACAATCAATCATCAATCATAATTGAGCGAGAATAATTCAAAAAAAGCAAACGAATAGGTAAGTTACCTGCCATTATATTTTGGCATTAAAGATTGCAGTTGTCCTCCTTTATTTTCAACCATCTCCCGAACCACTTTTTTTATACTAAATTCGGCAACAATTCAGAAATATATAAATTTCAGAATTATTCAGAACTAAAGACTGCAGCCAACCAACTAAACAATAATTTAAAAGATTCAGCTACACTTATTCCATTTCTTGCGGACGAAATTCCTCATAATTCATCACAAATAAATTCATTATAAATATGAATTATTAAAAGTGCTAAGAGAAAAAATATCGAAAATATCGACAAATTTATGGAAACTGGTCTCAGACTAACACCGATGATGAGTGCTTCAAAAATAACGCAAAACTAAATTATTTCGTGAATCATCTGATAAAAATATGAATATGAAAATACGATCGGCCAGCCAACAGTACCAATTTCCAGTTATAAATCTATTCGGACTCGTTTATCGTGTTCTTTATTCACACTAAATCTATGCCAAAAAATGGGCCAATTTTTGATAATTGATGCAAATGAAAAAGAATTTATCAATTTATTTACTAGAACACGTTAAAAACCAGTGTGATGTACTATGACAGTTCAAAAAGTATAAAAAAAATTCCGATATATTTTTCATATTTGTGCATTAAAAACTTTTGAAATTCACATGTTAAAAAATATTTGAAACCATGAAAAGCAATGGAATTACTTAAATGATCAAAGAAATTGGAAAAATTAAAAAGTGATGATTAGTCACAAGCAAGGAAATTGGAAATATAAAAAATAGACCCTTTTGGATCCTCAATAAATCCACTAAATCCAAACTGCAACGTATTTAAACTAACGAAATATAATTGAAAGTTAGAGCAATAATTTATAATTTACAGAATAACCTTTTGACCAAACAGAATTTCAAAAAAGTTGAATAGAAACATACGCTTAAAAGAAAGAGCCTAATAAATAAATCAAATTTCTCAATCATATTGATAAATTCGCTGCCATATTTTTGCGAAATGTAAGAGCTCAAATATTTTTTCTACACTCAATTATTTACAATAAGCGATTGCAGTAGAAAATCAAAAAAATATCTTTCATTAACAATTTCCACGAAATCGCGGCATTAATGAATAAAAACTATTTTATATTTAATTACATAATTATTAATACAAAATGGATCAGACTTGAAAAGCTAAGAAAACTGGATAAAATCAAGATCATTGTTTTCATGAGGCCTTTTTCTCGAATTCTGCCTCGAATCGCAGTGGTGATTATAAGTTACAGCATTTCCCAGTAATTCGTATTTTGAATCCGATGACTGTGAACGAGTTGTCGGTTGTGTACTCTATAATAATTATCATTATATATATATATATATATATCAATCATTTTAAGATTATTTAAATTTAAATTTATTCTCTCACAAGAAAATAACAGAAGCATAAAAAAAGAAAATTTAAAAAAATTTAAAATATTAGAGTATCGGGAATAATAAAAACAATAAAAACAATAGAAATGGATGGGGTTGCTGAATCTGCCTATTGGAATTTCAGTGAAATAAAGCAGTATAAATCATGCAAGATCAATATTTTTACCGATTTCAAGGTTGAAGAACTATTATGGCAGGATGAATGGAAGGTTACTAAGGCACAGTCCACCACATTTATAGTTAACTACATATTTTAATAGTTAGCTAAATACATATTTTACCTTCTCGAGATATTCCCAATTCAATCTCCAAAAATATATGAATAAAAAAAAATATATATGCCTCGAGAATTAATATGAACAGTCGAGTTAATCGAATTTTTCTTTTATTTTTATTTATTATCTTTTATTTTAATTTTAGAATCACGGAAAATTTGATGTATGGCAAAAGCGAATGAAAAAACATGAGACGAAAAGCGAATAATAAAAATAAAAAATAAAATATAATAAAAATAAAAATAATAAACATTAATAATTAGTACTAGTACGATAGCAATAATAACGGCAATAATAATAATAGTAATAATAATAGTGATAACAAATAACAGCAATTAACAGTAACAATAATAAAAAATAGTAATGATTGCCAATAAATAATTAATAAATAAAAGTAACAGATGTAAAAAGTAATAACAACAATAATAATTATAACAAGGTTATCAGAATTATTAAATAATAATAATTTTGTTGATAATTAAAATACTGTGAATAAAAAAGAGAGAAACGAACTGAAGAACAAATCTCATTGCAGTTTTAACACCTTATTCATTGCGTGAATATCACGGCTAATAGGTACCACAATTTTCGAATTTCTAATTCTGAATTGAAATTCATTTTAATTAGACAAAAAATTATTAACCTGATGCTGTAAGTTAGCATATTCGGATTGAGTAATGTAATTCTGTTGATAAGAAGGATTTGATGGCGAAGCAATACTTTGCGAACAGTCCGAAGGACCGGTGATGAAATGCTGCACAGTATCATGAAGTTGCGATTCTTTACTATTTTCAGAAGATTCTAGACAATTTGAGGAAGATTCGATATCTGTTCGCAACACAGCTTGAGCTTCAGAAACAGTAGGCAACTTAATTAATAGCAATATAAATAAAACAGATATAACAGATATAAAATAAACATTTTATAAGGGAAAAAACGATTCAATTCTGTCTCAAAAAATTATTTTTTTTATTATAGCACATAAAAAAACAAATGAACAATCTAAGAACAATCTAAGAAATTGAAAATCGAACCTGAACTGGAATTAGCTGTTGTGCCCCATTATTTCCTGGCACGATTATATAATGCTGACCTGTAGTTGGATCCATAAGTAGTTGCGCTTGTTGTATAGTGCCCGATGACAGCACCCGCATATTCGAATTCACATCATCTGCTGTTTGATTAATTATACTTGAATAATTAATTATACATAAAAAGAACATAATATTCCATATTCCAAATAAATTCGAATTTGTCTAATTCGGCGAACTTTGAATGTCTGTTGGCTAATCTGAATGAAATCGAAAAAATTTAAAAAATAATACCAGTAATAATTAAATGCTGATTAAAATCATTTTCAGATGACATATTCGGAATATTGATAACATTAACTGGGATTTGTGACGAAAGATCATCACTTGGCTAAAAAATTCCTTGCAGAAATATTTAAAAATCAGTAAGAAAAAGTAGAAAAAATAGAACAATGAAAAATATAGGGTTTGCTAACATAATATTTGAAGCTTAATCCTGCTACGAAATTATTGGCAAATATTACGAAATTATGTGCAGTTGTTACGAGGATATGGGCAAATATTATTAAATGAGCTGAAAATATTTGTGAAAATTGCGAAAAGATTAGGAAGTGAGCTGCAAATCTTAAGAGAACAACTGCAAAAAAAATTACGAAATTATAATTATTTTTTCAATTGGTATATAATAAATTATTAAAAATATGTGAAGGAACAAGAGCAAAGAACTAAATCACGATGCTGGAAACTCGAACCTTTAATACAAATAGTTCAATGTACAAATAGTTCAATGCCTTGACCAGTGAATTTATTACATGGTCCCATCTTCAAATTTTAAACTTAAAACAAGCAATCCATTCTGCATACTATTTAAAAGAAAACAATAAAAAATAAAAATGAATGTAATACCAAATTAGGAGATTCAGTGCCAACACCATCAGAAGATCGCGTTAATGGACGATTAGCTTCACGATATCTAAAATATTTATAACCAAAAATATAGAAACTACATGCTCAAGGAACAGATATCTTGGTCACTAAGAGTGTGGAAGTTCGAATGTAAGGGTAAGTACATAGAAAAACTATTCAAATTCCCAATAAAAAATGGACTCATAATACCATAATACCCCTAGTCTATTGGCCCAATACCATCTTCAAACTTCGGCCTTAAATATTTTCTCAGATCACGTTGTTCCACTATTAACTTTAAAATCTTATGCTTCTTTCAGTCGCCAAATCCACATTATATTGTATAAAAAATCTCATTCTCTTGATATTACTATCATATTTTGACACACTTTCCTTTATATAGCAAATATAATTCGCTCTATGGGCAGGTAAAAAGCACAATTACAAAAATTCAAGTAATATTATAACTAACAAAACAAACCATAATTAAGCTAAAAATTATAATAACGAGCAGAAAAATGGAAAAATTTTAAAAAAATATCTTTTATAAATGATATAAAAGAATTCAGAAGGATTTTAAATTCTGTGGGACCAGGGACAGAGGGAGGTTTAAAGTGATTTTTTCTAAACAGTTGGAATGCTAAAGGAAATACAAAGGACCTTAAAGCTGTGTTAAAAGATTACGATAAAAGATTAAAAAATATAAGGGATTTTTGAAGAGAGTGATTCAGGAACATAACTTTCCAAAGAATTTTTACAAAGGGTTGCCACAAAAGCGAGCGCGAAGGACCGTTAAAGGAATATAAAAAAGCTCGACAAGAAGAGAATGAAAATGGAAGGAAATGAAAGAAATGAAAGGGAATGAAAGGATCAAAATGATATAAAAGAATTTAAGAGATTTTTAGTAATGAAAAACGATAAAAAAATATAAAAGAATACAGGAGCATTTGAGTAACAAAGTGATTTCGTCTTATATACAAGAAGCTGATAAAATGCCTTTTTATAAACTCATTGCTGATTGAGGAAATCCCCAATTTTAAATACCTTAGATCCACTTTAAAACCGATTGGCCAAGCGAAAGACAAAATTACAGCTCGGATAATGGCAGCTAATTTTTCAGGATGACGGAACCTTCTTGCAAAATCACCATAAAAAAGAAAATCCGCTATATTGCTGCAATTCCATCGATCTTGCTATATGGCTGCGAGACAGAGCCAATGAGAGCTCAGGATATTAAAAAGTTATTAGCCTTTGACCACTCATGTTTCAAGTACATTTTGCGAGTTCGCTGACTGGATAAGTCTCATGATCGCATCCACCTTCGTCCAAATATCACTTGCATTAACAATACCATTACGTTAAGGCACAGTATCTTCGCTGGTTTAAGGCACATTCTAAGTCATTCACCACAGTAGTGGCCAATCAAGACCTGGACTGACAATCAGGAAAGATTTTGAACGCACGGAGGAACCAGCGATATATGGGCTTAGACGATAGAAAAAGGAATAGCTTTTTTTACTGACGAGTATGGCATCAGATTGCGCAGCTTGGAAATGTTTCACCCTTATAGCCAGTGGAGCCTATATAAGCAATAATGATGAGAGCTGTAAAAAGAAGAAAAAAGCAGCATTTGACAGGTTGTTTTAAAAAAATAAGGAGATTGAGTGGGAGTAAAGTATTTAAGTAGAGGTTTTCAATAAAATATAATTTTTCATTTTAAAGGTAGATCAAGCAGTTTTAATCTATTAAAATTTAAGGCTGCAATCTTATCTTATTCTCACATACAAATATAAAATAGCATGATATACCTTATTCGATCACAACATTTGATGGCTGATTTTTAAAAAAAAAAGCAGAATTAAACAAAATTAACTTTTTCATATAAACTGTCAATGGTCCCACATAATTGTCGAATCCCAAGGCAGAAAGAGCTGCGAGAAGGTCTTCACCAGTAATTGTTTTACGTCTTTCCTATTAGTAAATAGTTTAAAGATAACAAAAAATTTCTAAATTAAATTTTTAAAAATGGTGTTTAAAAATCATACAAAACAAAGTAAAACAGAAGAAAAAGGCAAAAAGTAAAAATCTTTTTGAAACTTACATTAATGCATCTTTCACTAGCTTCTGAGGTTATAAACGATATGAATTCAGATACGCATTCCTGAATGCATTCTTTTGCATCTCTCGCTACTTTGCCAGTAGAAGGAATCATATTTTTAATTAATCTGGATATGTTTGCTAAAGAACATAATTTAAAATGTACAAAATAAACAATAAAATAAACTTAATAATAATATAAACTTTTTAAAATGATTTTAAAAAATATTTTATTATACCTATTGGCAAGAACCTCTCTTGTTCAAGAAGCACTTGGCCTTTACTATTTTCGTCGTAAGCACCATCTTCTGCTTCATTTTGCTCAAAATGTCCCTTACCTTGATGAATATCCGCTGTAGAAGGCAATGGATCTAACTAAAAAAATTAATCATTGATTAAGTAATTTCAGCGGACAGGACCACTATTTTAGATCATCTCAAATTAATAACGGTAAGTGTCACAAAAGAAAAAAATTTCTGTGAAGGATAATAATGAAAATAATCATCGAAAAGGCCTTCACCATTGGTTGCGTCTTTCCTATGGGTTTATAGTTTAAAGATGAAGAAAAAATAAAAAATTTTACTTAAAATGAAAAAAATGAATATTTGTTGACGAACTTCAAACAAAATTAATAAAAATAATTTACATTTATATTCAATGATACCGATTGCTGATAAAAAAAGTACAATAAAATATTCAACAAGCATGTAAAAAATTGTAATGAATTTTTCATTAAGATAATAAAATTTTATAATAAAACAAACAGCTTCCACAGATGATCGAGCAATTTCTTGCTTATTCGCTGCCAATTTCTCCACTTTATTTGCACGATCTTTCATACATTTTCCATTTGTATTATTAAATTTTGATACCATAACTAAAATTTAATTGGGATTTTCTATTTTTCATTTATAGAAATAAAAATGAACGGAACCCCATCGATTAAATAAAGAATTCTGACATCACAAACTGAAATAAAACATTGAATAACGGAGAAAGCAACAACGATGAAATCAGAACTAATTAAATCAATAAGACCCTGTTTCTAAAATATTAAAATATCAAAAACACAACAAAGCTGCAACACCGAATCGTTCCTCAAGTTTCTACTTGCTTCAAATTTATTTCACATTTCGACTGACTTAGGGCAATTTATTTTTAATAAAAAAAAATTACACATTAGTTTGCTATTGCTGCTATTACTAACTGCGAGGTGGCGGTGAGAAATAAGAGAACGAGGCGACAGCAGAGTTGAAGAAGCCAGAAAGTGCACATATAATCGCACAAACTTGCATGCAAAAATATTCTCTTTAAGCAAAACTTTTAACTAAACTTTTTCTGTGAAATTCAGTTTAAATTAATTTAAAAACTTCCAAAATTTAAATCCATAAGTCTGTTCTATCCGATTATTTTATTTCTATAAAATTTGCAAATTTATTCGATTATTTTATTTTTATAAAACTTGCAAATTTATTCATTTTTACAGAATTATTATAATAAAATGAGTGAATGAGAAATTATATCGATCGCACAAATTTAAAAAATATTTTACAGTCACATTATATTCAAATTTATTTGCCTGCTTCTCGATCATTTTTGGCGACAACTTCGACCTTTCTACTCGCCTCAGTACCACGAACCACCAAAAAAGAAAGCCACACCAAAGTCAAAGCAAAACCAAAACTCTTACAAGAATTATAATATAGTTGGCAATGGGCCATAAAATTATTGGAATTGAGCCAATATTTTTGTAAAGCGACAATTCGAACCAGCCCCATTGCGGAGGTCGTGGTACTAGTGGGTAGAAGCGATAAATCGAGTAATGAACGAAAGAAAACGTGGGCTTCACGGGGAAGACTAACTCCATGTTCAGCTCTTCGTAACTCGTCGTGACGACCCGTTCAGGTCGTTTAAAGGCGTTGGATTATTTAATTTTATTACAGTTAGTTAACGAAATGCAAGCTAAAATGGAGGAAAGTGAGAAAAAGATGCAAGGAATTTGGAAATGTGAGAAAAATTTAAAATTTTTGTGAAAATGTGAAGTGGAAAATTGAAAAAATTTATAAATAAAGAGGAAAGACGAAAAATAAATTCACAAAATAAATTTTTAGAAATTCACAAAACAAATTTTTTCACTCAACAAAAATTATACAAATAAGAAATTCTTCATTTGTTTGATAAAATATATCGAGAAATGGAAATTTCCATATTTTTTTCGTTTCCTTCATTTCTTTTTCATATATTTTCCACAAGGAGGAAATGTTGGCTGAGCAGTATAGTTGTTCGATTCGCGCCGAACTTACAAGTTCGATTCGAAGTTTGCATCCGAGAGGAGTAAAAACGAGACAATAAGGAATCTGCTTTGTGCTAGCCAGCCATCTGTAATTTTATCGCAATAAAACTGACTCTCTAGCAAAATCTTCCAATCGTATTAACTGCTGGCCGTGCTAGCCGCCTAACTGAATAAAAATGGTGGGCGCTCTTAGTTGCTTTTTTATTTGTAAATATTTCCCGCATGTATTCCGAACGAAAGATTTTTCCAACAAATGCGGCTTCGAAAAGAAATTTTTACGCTTATATTTTTTATTTGCAAAGTATTTTAGAAGTATCTTCAAAAATTTGAAAAATCTTAATTAGTTTCAATTTTAACTGTACGATTAATTCGATTAATTAACTGATTACATATTTTTATATTTCTCCCAATTTTTGATTCGCGTTGCCCAATAAATAAAGAATCTGCGATACAATAAATAAATAAATACTTTCGGAGCGTAAAGCACGATTGAGAGAATTCGGATAATTCACTGCTAAATCGTGAGAGAAACGAATTCATGAGAAAGATTACGCTTAGTGGCAGGCAATTCGAAGAGACAAAGCATTCAAGAACACTTCTGTGGTCCTTTCAATATCCACTATGAACACCAACTACAGCGCCATGAATTCACACCACTATTCGAAATTTAGCAATTAAAATTGGAAATTTAAGACATTAAATGATTTAGACTCAGTGTCTTCTGGATTCTTTTACCGAATCAGATCGAACGGCCCAACAAAACGTTCCAAAAGTAATGCATAAACCACCGATTTAATTCATTAAATTCTGAACTGTTCAAATTTTATTTCGTAAGCTTGGCGTCCAATCGATTTTTTGCGATGATGATGGTAAAGATTATGCCGATTCTTGGCGACCATAAAGACATTTAATTTCCTGGATAATTTTCTGGATCTTTCGAAACTATCGGAGAAGTAGTGCTCATCGTCTCTGCAATTGAATCTATGCACTTTGTTGCAGATCTTTTTTTTTCGCTTGTACCATTCTTGGTAATACTTTTTTCCGAACAGTTGGGTCATCGCATAATATGTTAAAAATGGGATAATTTTAATATGGCCACTTGTGCTTCGATGGTCCAACGGTTTACTTTTTTTAGCTTTCCGGGCTCATTCTTCTTCAACCCCAAACTTAACTATCAGCCTTATTCCTTTCTTGCTTCGTTAAAGTCTCACATCCATAGAAATTACTGGGAGTACTATGGTTTGGATAATTCCGAATTTTATAGGCATAGTCGCACCACAATATTTATATATCTTTTCTAAGGCCTTCTTGCTATTCTCTTCAGAGTTTATCTCGGGCGTATTTCTTGATTTCTTGACAGCATGAGCAACAACATCAACGATCCGAATTGAGCAACAACCCACTGAGCCGTTCTATTCTACACTCCTTTTTGCTTATGCGACAGTGCCGCCCGGTCCGACGAAGAGTGGTGCATTGGCCGGATTCTAAGGCAATTCTGTATGGCAGTTATCTTACCACTGAGTACTCACGCGCCAGTCCTTTAATATCATCTCATTATATTCCTTCTTGCTCTCCTATGCACAAACGATGAACATGGTTTTAAAAACGATACCACTTGCACGTAGGACGAGTCTTTTACAAATCGCACTGATAAATAGTAAAATGGGAAAGCATTAATGACACCAAAGAAATCGAATGAAAAATTAACCTTCTTTTCAGAATTCGGGCCATAACTAATTTGAATGAATAGGTACGTTAATTATTCTGAATGGAAGAGTTCATCGGGTTGCTACTCTCATGTCGCGGTTCCACTCGTCGCAGAGATAAGGCTGTCTTTTAAAAACACAGGTGATGCTGGCGACCCATCTGTGTCGAAGCGACTCTCGGGCAAACTTGGTTCAGCGAACTTAACCAAAAACGATGAACATCCTTCATCTGTTTTTATGCAGCCTCTCAAGGCGATAATTTGAATCACATGCGGCCATCTTAATAGATGATTTGATTTAATTTGGTTGCGCAAATAATTTGAAAGTCTGATCGTATAATTTCGATTTTACTCTGTTACTTTTAGCTTAATTCCAAATGCAAACGTTAGTAATAAAAACACATTAAACTGGATAATTTAAGGGCAAATTATAGTATTTGCATTACTTTAAATGTTTGTCGACTGCTTTCGCAATACCAACCAGCCAACACAAACACAAACACACACACATCCACAGTTGTCGTCCTTACGCAAACTATCCTCAGATTTTCCGCTCGCATTTCTGTTTTTATTTTGTACTATGGACGAAATATCTTGGCTACTCTGTTTTACACTGCAATCGCTATGGATCTGTAAATTAGCACTTGCGCAATGTCCTCCTTTACAAACTCCTTGTCGTTGTTCACCATCTGTTTCTGAGCCTGTTGCCATATTTTGTGAATCCGCTGGAAGTCTTTCCAATGTTTTACAAGCTATATTTCAAGCACAAAATTTCCCGGTAAGTTATTTCAAAAAATGAGGGAATAAAGCATTTTAATGATTTAAATAGTATTTTGTATGAAATATGAATAGTATTTTATTTCTTGTAAATCGATGAAATATTCTAATTTTTGCGGCATGTACTTTATTTTAAGATATAAAAAATAAATAATAATTTTTTTGCCGTTTGATTCTTAATCAGTGAAATTTCGATGCCGCGAATCTGCTCACATTCCATTCCCAAATGACCATCTTGTGAAAAGAAAGGGCTTTATGTAACAATCAGTTGAATCAACGAAAAATGCTATTAGCTATTAGAAGAGGAGGAATATAGTAACTCACGAAGAATTTTAGACTTTTTCATTCATTTTTGCAGGTTTATTTTCTAAATATTTTTGCTTTTTGCGGAAATATTTTTAAAAATATTTCATTGACTGAATAAAATTCTGCAATCTCATTTCTCAACTTTTTTGAGTGGATTCACAATTTTTTGTTTGCTCAATATTTTACCAGCTTAACCAGTTCATCAAACACTGTAAATAATTAGTCGATGGTTTCAAAACATTTCATAAAATTTTTGGCAGATCAGTTTAATCCAAAAGTCTTCTTTCCATCAAATTCGATTTATCAACCATTCATTTTAAATTTCTGTTTTGGAACTGAAGAAAGTAGTTTTAACGCCACAAGCTAGAAATTTAAAAATTTTTAATTTTTTTGCCGTGATAGAAATTTTTCAAATTTAATAAATGCATTGCATGCATAAATGGTAAACAAAAAAATAAAATGAAATAATTCAAGTACAAAATCGTTTGATTCCCAAGATTTTTATTCTAAGGATGCCTTTGCACCAATAAAAATTATTGAAAACTTCTTTAAACTCATAAAAATTACTGAGGACTCCTCTAAACTTGTGTAAAAATTAGTGAATCATTACTGAGAATTGCTTAACACTCATAAAAATTATGGAGGATCCCTTCACGATCATAGAAATTGTCGAATCCATTGCACTCATAATAATTATAGAACTCCTATTAAATTTTAAAATTTAAAGGAGAAATATTTATTTAATCGTTTAAAGTTTTTCCCTTAAATGAAATCTTCATCTACAAAATTTAGACAACAATCTCCTAATGCTTATACTCAATTCTCTAGTGCATCTAAACTTTATAAGATTTAGAAGAGTGAAAAAGCAAAAATCCTGATCTTATTATCATGAAAATTTGCTCCCAAAAACCTTTTGAAAGAGCTTCATGAATCGCCAAGGATAGAGAGGCCAGACTTTGAGAACAAAGGCTTTAAAAGGCTTTATGATGCGGCAGCTTATTCTTTATATTCTTTATACAGGAGATGACATCAATAAGGGAAATGTGGTGTAATTTGGAATACTAAGCGGTGCTATCTGATTGATGAGTGAGGTTAATTTAGTGAATTAAATTTCAGATAGACTCACTACATATTATCGATACGCCAATATCAGCAATCCCTCAAAATGCATTCCAAGGTTTTACAATATTGCGATTGGTGCTTAACCGGTGTGGACTATCACAGATTAATGATGGAGCTTTCAACGGACCACTTTTGGATAGTTTAGTCGAAGTGGACTTTACTGATAATCAGCTGCGAATGGTACCACAAACCGGATTACCTAGATTACGAAACCTTCGAAAGATTTATCTGAATCGTAATCGAATAGATCAGTTGCAGCCGAATAGTTTTATGATCTATGAAAGTCGTGATCTTATCGTTAAGCTTGAATTATCGGGTAATCGTTTAACGAATCAAGGTTTAGGTGACTCGCTTGTGTTTTTTCCGCTACGATCATTGCAACAACTGAGTTTAGAAACAAATGCATTAACAGCCATACCAAGTGCTTCATTAACAAATCAACGATTAACTCTAACAAATCTTAATCTCGGACTGAATCAAATAGATCAAGTACCTGTTGGAGCCCTTGATTTTCCAAATCTTAATTCATTGTCACTGGAATTTAACGAAATCACTAATATTTCGCCTGAGGCACTTCAAGGAATTCCTAATTTACAATATCTTTATTTGACTGGAAACAAATTTCCATCTTGGCCACTTCAAATGTTCCAGTATATAAATCAACTGCTTACTCTTTCTATTGGAGAAACACCTATCTCTGTTATTCCATCTAATGCATTTCAGGTATGATTTTAGTTGATTACTTCCATTCTAATAACCAAGTTGTAAAAATCGGCAGAAAAAGTGAAAGAACAAACAGAATAAACGAGATAAATAATCGCATAAAAAGGTAAAAACCTAAATATCTATTCGGATTACGAGAGAAAACATTGATACTTGAATTGGCGGTGTACCAGGATTTTCGCAAAATAATGGAGAAAAATTTATTTGCCTGATCGATTGCTCGGATATGTCACTGATTTAAGATTAAACAGTAGTGATCAAAGGAATATAAGAAACAAAGGAACATAGCATAGAATTGCTGAGTAGCAGCGACACTGGTTGAGGACGTTATAGAAATTGAACGGGATTTTATATCAAGGAAGTAATGAAAGGATTTGGCTGCCAGAATGGGGCGATGTGCAGGAAGTTAGCAGATTTTAAGGTGATCTTTATGGCTTATAAAGAAACGATATGAGAAGCATTTAGGGAATTTAGGGAATACAGTGAATACAATGGAATAAATGATGGCCTTAATGAGCCTTGTTTTAATTGGTTTTAAGAAATCATTAACAGATTGTTAAAAAAGCACCAGAGAGGTTAGTGAAGGTTTATAACATTACATGGTAAGGCTATAATAGGTTCTATGAGGATTAAGACAGGGTAACAGAATTATTTCACCCATTTCTTGATTTGTAATAAACAATAATGGAATTTTAAAATTTGGCTCATCCTACAGATTTAATTTAACTTTCATAATTTCGCTATTTTTTTACTGAAAACACGTCGCTAAATCATTATACTTATACTTAGAATTAGATCTCCGGGTGATGCTGGCGATTCACCTGTATTTCTATCGCCAAGGGACTCCCTGGCATACTTGTCCAATGCGACAAGCCAACAAAGCGAGTTTAACCAGTAATGGTGATGCCTCTTAGAAAAAAAAGGAATTAGATCTATTCCATTATATTTAATAATTTATACCATTTTATGCGACGCAACTTATTTGAACGAAGTTTAAATTATTATTTTAGTTTGAATATGAAATAATATTATATTTTATTTATTCATTTTAGTTTCCTAAATTTTTACAAGAATTATAAGACATCATTTTCTTCAAATATCAAGCATTATGACATCAAGCATTATGAGCTTCTTAATAGGAGTAAAGGTGAAGACCTGATGATGCTGGCGATGCACGTTGTATTTCTGTTCTCAAATGATTCAGATGGCCACTACTGTAGAAGAAGAAAGAATAAAAATGAGATAAAAGATATTGGCAGGAGAAAATTTGTAGAATATGATCTAAATTAGTGCTTAATGTTAATGATTACTAGGTTCAATGAGGAATATATGTTTCTTAATTGAATAATATTTAATTGATTCAACTTTTAGCATATTCCAAATTTAATTCGCCTTGAGATGTCTGAAGCAGCAGTTGATACGATTGAAAGTGGTGCTTTTCAACGGACACCTCACATTCAAGCAATTATACTTAATAAAAATCGTTTATCCGTGTAAGGTTATTAAAACTGTGCTTTAATCGAAAATTTTTGATTTTAAAACTTTCTATTTCACATTAATATATGAATATACTGATAGATAAAGTGGTAGGAGGTGTAATCGGTGAAATTGTCTTTCAAAAATCTGGCGGTGCTGATAGTTTACTTATACGCCAAGTGGCTTCACGGCAAAAGTGATTTGTCTGATCCGACAAGCCAGCACAGTAAGCTTAAAGATAGCCATCATCATTTTTGGTATGTTTCGCTGATTATTCGTATATGGTTAGAAATGGTAAGTAGAAATGAAGCCAAATTATTTAGCGATAGAAGGTCGCCGGCATCAGCATCATCCGAGTGTTTTGAAACTTTGCTTCTTCCGGGTGCATCAACTCTTTCCTCTCAACTCTACAGCTCTACTTGGTTATCCTATATTAAACTAATAAATTAAGTATTTATTAAATATTTCATACCGGATAATTGAAGTGGCTAAAAAATTATTTTTTTACATGAGTTATTACTACTGGCTACTTATTACTTTTTTAAGTTTTATTACTTTTGTGCAAAGAAACACATAAGTAGATAAGTAGATGAAGGTATAAGTGTGGAAAATGTTTAACAAAACATCGGTAAACTAGAATATTACCGAAATTTGTTTGCTGATGCAAAAATCACTTAAATTTAGAAAAATAAACATTTAATTTGTATTGGCACAATGATTAAAACATTTCGATGAATGAAGAAAATCTCTACTGGGATTGTTCAGTTCAGTTATAAATATTTGATATATTTCCAGTTAAATGATCATAGTTATTAATTTAATTATTTGTTCTTCTTCTTCTAGCAGCTTCCACCATAAGGTTAGGCAAACTGTCCGACGCTATCACTGATAGTAATAGAATAATAGAACACATTTTCATCGACTCCTCTAAACCTCCAAAACTTTTCTTGACTGTATCAAGGTCTTGATTAGCCCACCTCGCTTTTGATGCCATCCATCATAGAATTTGGCATAACGAAATATGATTCAACTTTTGGGATGCGCGACGAACACCATACCCTGACCAGCAAAGGTGACGAACTATAATGGTAATGTACGTGCTATTTAAGCGAAATAGATGCAATTATGTGATATTTTGTCCTTTCGACGAACCCCGTAAAAAATAACGTAGATATGACTGGTGACATAGTACAACTCCAGTCTCATTAGCCATATCTTGGAGCCACATAGCAAGATGGAGCTGCAGCTATATAGACCCGGACTCTCGTTTTTTACAGTGATTTCGCGACGACTTCATAAAGTGTTCGTCAATCGGAGGAAAGCATTTATTAACTACTACTACTGGTTGCAATTTCATCTTTTGCCTGGTCATTTGGGATTAGAATAGATCCAAGATATTTAAAGTCAAACAATCCCTCAGCCGCCAATGAATTGATAAAAATAGATATTTTCTCTTGCATATAAGATGAAAAGGCCTTCTTTTTATTTATTTTAAACCTGAGTCCAATTTTCGCTGCAATTATTCACCATTATTTGGCATTTGCATTTCATCAGAATTGTCAGGATTATATCATCAAAGTCATCAACGTATTTAAGGTCTGTGATATTACAATCTGAACTAATCTCTTGAGTGCCGACATGGAATGTCCATTATCCAATACATTATCGCATAGTTGAATATTGGAGAAAGGGACAACGTTAATGGTCCTATTTTCGAAAGGATCTATCAGTTCCCCATATAAATAGACCTATGCCGACTTATGCTGATAAAATGCCTTTATGAGTCGAACGATGTGGAACAACACCATATTCCATCACCATCCAAAGCGCTTCTCTATTAACTGAATCGAAGCTGCAAAGTCGATGAAACATGTAATGGTTTATTACAGTTATTTGAAAGGATATTCCAACATCTTTTATTTGGTCAGCAACTGGATTTGCGTATGAATCCAGTGCCTTCTCCTATCCCGTACTTCCATAAGTCTATTGAGTAAAAGGAAAGTAAAAATTTTAGCGAAGTTATCTAATAGGCTGACTCCTTGGTAATTATCACAGTATGTCCTGTCACTTTCCTTGCGAATTAGGAACAAAATTGATCTGCTCCAGTTATCTGGCATTTCATTCTTCCACACCAGAAGTTCATTTTTTAAAGGTGTATTATGAAAAACGACGGACATTTGAAGTCTGATAGTTGCAAACATGTGGCTCGACAAGCGATTCAGCTATGCCGGGTACAACAGATGGCACATTATGGTCAAGTTTGGCCTCAAAGAATTCCATCTTACGAGGCGATCCTTAATGTTTTTAATAGGCATACCATTGGCATTCCGTACCGTTTCACTAACTGTTTCCCAAGTTATAGTTATTTCGTGAAGAAGGCGAAACAGTTTCCTATTATCACCTATCCATCTCCATTCTCAAGGCCATATTGCTCCAATAGCGATTTGTGTCCCGACGTACTATTGTCATTTTAATTTTTCAAAGCACCGGTATTTAGAACATTCATACTTTGGCTTTTCCAAACAGACAATTGCTTCCAGTACCCAACTAACCTACTTCGTACTAGTACGTTCTAGCATTAAAGTGACTAACTTTCGGACACATTTCTTTAGCTGGGAATCAGTATTCATCCGTCGCTCCAAAGATGGCATTGATATTGATTTCAATAATTCGATTTGAAATGCGCTAACTGTCCACGAATCTTTTTATCTGAGATAATTGAGACATTGTTTCTTGCGAGTCGACAAATTTGTATGGATCTTGCCTTTAACCATAATATGGACAGATTTATAAAGATTGCCCGTTTCCTTGCCACAGTACTCTTCCAACGGCTACTGATTAAAATATAATCAATCTGGTTCGAGTGTTGGTTATCTGAGAAGTTCCACGTGATTAGATGTCTTTTATGATGCCAGAAGGCAAAGCGAAGAAGGTGTTTTCCATTGGCGCATTAGACTTGATGCCATATTCGCCAATTGCCTCACCACAACGGTTCATTGCAACGGCATCATGGCCTACACGCGTTCCAGTCTTCCTCCATTATGACCATATCATGTTTCGATAAGATAATATTAGCAATTGAAGTTCCGCATAAAACTTATTTTTATTACGGTCATCTCCAGAAAAAGTTGTTATATATATATATATATATATATATATTGATAACCAAAATATTGCAGAACTTACCTTTAAAGCGGGCATAGGCTATATGGTCGTTTATCGCTTTCCACTCAGTCAAAGCGGAATGGGTCAGATATGACAATCGCTATGCCATTTCGTCTCGGGGCATCCGAAGCATCGTAGTCAGTACCTCTGTTCCGAGCCAGTGTTACTCGAAACCCGAAGTGAGGAGGACGGATTTCCGACAAAAAGGCGATATCCACACGATATTTAGAAAGGATGTGGATAGTGATCACTTGACTTGCAATATCTTTAAGTGTTTTCTGACGTTCTACGCTGCTACGGCTAAAACCTCGCCATGCATGCATAGAGCCGTTTCTCTTGATAGGGTTAGAACAATTATCTTGGCTCATATTTTATTCACAGGTCTTGGGATCGTTTTACGCCCCAATTGTATCGCATGTACCACCGAGCTGGGCATATAATGTGAATCAAGACCAAATCCTTTTAATAAAGAGTTCCTTGTGGATAAAATTACAAGTGGGTTCCCAGCAACCACTCGGATTTTGATAACATGACAGGTTTACTTCTTTCTGAGACAAAGATAAAAAATAAAAAAATTAAAGGAAAAACACTTTAAAAAAACACAAAGTGTCGAAACGTAAATATTTCGAGAAATATTATAGTTATCAATAAGATTTGTTCTCAACAACCAGTTATTTATTAGTTACTAATTATTAACAAAAATGTAGCGTTCATTTCTGGTTTGGTTCGCTGCTTTGTCGGATAAGATAAATTTCACCAGAGAGTTACTGGCGAAAGAAGCAGTGGGACGTCAGCACCAACCGGAATAATAATAAAGAGCACGAAAAAATAATGAAGTAGGCAATTAATTTTTTATGTGTTTTCAATATTTCTTTTATATATCTCTTATTAAAATAAGTATTGCAGAGTTCGAAGTGATTATTTCCGTGATCTTCAGGAACTTTACTCAGTGAATCTTGGAGGTAACCGCATTGAATTATGTGAGCCATTAGCATTTGCAAATTTACCAGCAATTAGTCACCTGGATATAAGGTTCGTTGCAATATCTCAGTAATTAAAAATTGTATATTCTAAGTTCAAAATATTAGAACTTCAGATTATAAATAGGTCTAATATTAATTCTATTAATTAATTAATATTAATTCTATTCTAATTAATTAATATTAATTATATTAATATTAATTCTATTCTCGTGAATGGTTGCGTTAGTCATTCTCTCTGTTTTTCATTATTTTATTGTATTGTGCTTCGCTAAACTATAGAAGGAATACATTAATCTTATNATTTATCAATTTGAAATTTGTATTAATTTGTACGGTGTACATTGTGCATCATACAATATACATCGTACATTTTGCATTGTTTTCGTATTAAACACTAGATGGAAGATGCGATTTGCGGCTTTTGCGATTCCAGTCTGCATGATACGACAAATGCTTCTACTGAATTGGTGTAAAATGGTGCAATTTGTTCAGTATTCAGTCACTTTTCATTTTCATTTTTTAATGCAATTTATCCAATTTACCGAAAAAAAACCTATACAAAATTCGAAAAAATAAACTGGGCAACATAATTCAAGGACTCTGTGAGGAATCCAAGAAAAAAATTCTGGAAAAGAACTGTTTTCTCTCGAATATTTATAAAAAATTTTTCAGGCATGAAATATCCCAAAAATTTTTTATTTATGAACAAAAAATTCTCCAGCATTAATTTAATAATTTAATTATAAATATAATTTAATTAATTATGAATATAATTTAAATAAATATATCTAAATATTTAATTTTTTTTTTTCATTATTCTATTCTCGTGAGCAGTTGTGTTAGTCATTCTCTCTGTTTTTCATTATTTTATTGTGCTTCGCAAAACTATAGAAGGAATACATTAATCTCATTACATTCGTCTGAAAGATATTCTCTTCAAAAGTATATTGATCTTATTGCTTTATACCGTTCACTTGTAAGATAAGAGAAAATTCCAAATGGCATCGAAAAAGCTAGCAACTTATGGGGCCGTTTCCAATAATGATGTTTAAATAAAACTATCAAGGATCTGAAGTCACAACTAACTTCCATTACTGAGAAATATGAAAAACAACAAGATTTAATTATGATCTGTTGAAATACTTACAAAGATCAACGAAGAACTTAAGAATGATATTAATAATTTGAAAGCTTCGTCTTTGGGCAACTTCGAGCATTCAAAAATCGAAACTGAACAAGTATTGGAAACCATTGAAGAATATTTTGAAAAGAAGGAAAAAGAACCATGTCTAGTTGGCATAAACATTCCAGAGAAATCTACGGATGATGAATCTGCCGATAGGCTCTTGGCAGAAAACATTGTTTTGCCTCTGGGTTCAAGACTGGATTCATTAAGGAGGTTCGTCGTCATGGAAGGAAGGGGACAGGCAGGCCACGAGTACTTAAAATAAATTCGTCTCGAAGAGCATATGGCCATGTCTGTTGTAAGGATGTGCGCTTGATCGTTCCCCTTGGAAGTTTTTTGCGAAAAGATCTGACGAAAAGA